TAGTACTTTGTCCTCCTCTCTCTCTCTCTCGATATCGTAACCACCCAAAGTCCTGGCGACCTCCGGAAACCGCGGTACAAGTACCGATACCGACATGCAACTTTGACTTTACAATTTGACGATCGATACCCAATCTCTGCATCTTGAGTTTTTCCCAAATAACCAACCCTTATCGCAATACTACCGTCACCAGTTGACTGCTCTTTGCCGATACCTGCTAGACATCACACGCATCCATGTGGCTGTCGCGCTCGATACTTTCGCCGGCCATAGCCCTCCTGGGCTGGTCAGCCCTCTACCAGCCCGCAGCCGCCCAAGTCACAACTGACTGCAATCCCATGAACAAAACTTGTCCGCCCGACCCGGCACTTGGCACAGAATACTTCTTCAATTTCAACCGGACACCGCTCTTCCAGGCCTGGGAGACAAAAGTCGGTCCTGTGACATATGACCCCGAGTATGGCGCCAAGTTCACCATCAACAAGCAGGGAGACTCTCCCACAATCCGCTCTCGCTTCTACATCTTCTGGGGCCGTACGGAGATCATGCTCAAGGCCTCCCCTGGCACCGGCATCATCAGCTCTGTCATGTTCCTGAGCGACAACCTCGATGAAATAGATTGGGAGTTTTTTGGCGGCAACACGACCGTTGCCCAGAGCAACTATTTCGGCAAGGGTCTCCAGGACCACCACAACGCCGGCTATCACGTCATCGACGGCAATGTGCAGTCAGACTACCACAACTATACCACCGTCTGGACTAAGGATTACCTGGATTTCTATGTTGACGGTAACCGCGTCCGTAGGCTGCTCCCTGAGGACGCAAAAGACGGTTATACGTATCCACAGACCCCCATGCGCTTGTCGCTTGGTATCTGGGCTGGTGGCGACCCGAGTCTTCCGGAAGGCACTCGTGAGTGGGCTGGTGGTACCACGGATTATTCTCAGGGCCCTTTCGACATGTACGTCAAGAGTGTCTACATTGAGGATTTTAGCAAGGGCGCCAAGGAGTATGTTTTCACCGACAAGAGCGGTTCTTGGGAGAGTATTAAGATCGTCGAGTAAGTTGCATCTGGATTCTTGACCAGGAGGAACATTTGCTTACAATATTCAGGGGCAACTCAACCGTTTACGAAGCCCTTCACAAAGAGCCTGAAAAGACCATCGCCGAACGCTGGGCCGACTTGCCACAAGCTGCCAAGCTCGCCGTCTACAGCGGTGCTGCTGCCCTCGGTGCTATCATGATCGGCTCTGCCCTGCTGTACTGCATCCGCCAGCGCCGTCGCGGTGCCCGAGAGGCCAAGCTCGCCGAACAACGTGCCGAGCAGGAGCGACTGGAGCTTGAGCGCTTCAAGAAGGCCGGTATTGATCCTGACAGCTTCGCCTCCAACGCCAGCGAGTACAACGCCAAAGAGATGCGCCGTGAAGGGCTCATGGACGATGATAGCTACAGCATCTCGACTCCCGTCAACCCTGCCTCGCCGCTCGACAATGGTGCCAACAACTTGAACCGTGGCTCTGCCGTCGGCATGACCGTTACTACTGGCGCTGGCGCTGCTGTCGGTGCTGCTGCCGCTGCCGTTCCTCCTTCTCCCCACAGCCCGACATCCCCTCGCTCTCCTCATGGGCCAATGAGTCCGACCACCAACGGCCCCCCGAATCGCAGCTTCACTAGCCCGGCTCCTGGCCGTGTGGCTTCCCCTGCGCCATCCCAACGCAGTTTCACTGGCATGGACCGGTCTGCTAGTCCTGGAGTGGGACAGCCGCCTAGGAGTTATACCACTGGGCCCGGATTTGAAGGTGGTGGTGGGAACCAGGGGTATTGGGGGAATAATGGTGGGAATCAAGGTCGCTTTAGGTGATGATGGTGTTCAAGGAAAATGAAAGGATGTGGAGGAGAGCATCACTCATCATCTGAGTCAATTCGGGCGGCCGATTTATTTCTCGTTTTCTTGTCAATTTTCTACCCTATTGGTTTGTTCTGCTTGCTGGTTCCTGGAGCGCTGCGCGGTACCCCCTGCATGACCCCTAGTTAGGCTTGATGATGATTCTCCTCCCCCCCCCTTTCTCTCTTGTGGATAAGTTAGCGGTTGGCTTTTGCGGGTTACGGTTTGGCTGTTTTACTCTCATGATGCGCGTTCTCGTCGTCGTCGTTGTCGTCTTCTCTCGATCGATCGGACAGTACATAAATTCTTTAACTCCGCTTATGCCTATACTTAACACTACACCACATCCACATATTTACAAGGTATTTAGACGGAGGGATCTCACAACACTGGTACTTCACTGCACGTCACGTACGTACGTTAGATATCGTCGTCATCATTACCACTATTGTCGCTAGACATGGTTGGCATCGTTATCTTGCGGGCGTTCGAGTTAAGATGTGTGACTTCACGACCAGGGTTAAAGTCAAGTGCTGCCGGTAATATAGCCGCTATAACCCCATTACGTGGTTCGCTGGTTCAGGTTTATTCGCTTGCAATCTCGGAATCTGAGTCGAATAGTGTAATCTCTTTTGGGCCCAGCTTTGTATGTTTCTGGGAGATGTCAGTCGAGCTTTAGACTGAAGCTCAATTTCATGTTGAAGTGTTGAAAACAAAGGATGTCGTTAATGATAATTAAAACCTACTTGATCATGGAAGATGTTGCTTGATCCACTATTCGGTCCCGGCGCCAACAGCCGGCAAGCTCCGTGCGGGACGGGGTCAAAAGGTCCACATCTCCATTCGCTGGTCAACCCTGTCCTTGTTCGTGCCCACCACCACGCACACAAAAATCTTGGAACCTGAACCTTGCTGCTACCCTCACCAGCACGACAGAGGTTTTTCTGCTTGGTCCATGCTAGCCCCGAAGTCTACTACTGGAATAAGACCTTCCGACTCACCCGCCTAACCAACCAACCCAGCAGAGAAGTGGTTAGTTTTCGCCTGGCCCGCCCGGCTAGTTCAATCGGTAAAGCGTGAGACTTAAAAGAATCCCTTCCAAAAAGAGTTCTGGAGGATGAAGAATTGCTTCCGACATCTCAAGGTGGTGGGATCGACCCCCACGTCGGGCTCAATTCCCAACTATGCTTCTGGATGGGTACTTTGTTCCTAGTTTGTCTGTTTTCCTTGGGCCTATGACGTTGTTTCCGTTTGAAGTTGAGCTTTGTCTGGTGTGGTCGTATTGTCATCTTTAACCCTGATGACCCCTCCACCTTTTTTGAAGTCTGGTGTGGGAGAAGGCCTCACTCTAATTCGACTGCCCAGCGTTTTTGGGCGTGACCTGGCTGCATGTGGCGGGGGAGGGGCAATGTCCTTTCAATCTCACATACATACGTGGAGGGGTACTTAACGCTGGTTAACGTCGACATCCTTCCTATGGACATGGATGCGACCGTGGCTTATGGAGGATGGATTCTCAGCTTCCTGCAGTTCTTTACCGTGATCCAACCTGAACCGTGGGGTTGGAAATGCTGTTGGCTATGATCTACCCAACAGGAAGCCAAGTCTGCGGATTGTGGGCAAGCATCAGTTCAGCGTTCTGTAAGTTTCTGGAATGTACGAGCTGTGTACGCAGTTTGCTGTATCTGCACTGGAAGCTGGCTGTAGAACGCATCGAGAGATTCAGTCCTCTCCCAAGTCCCAATTCCAGGTGGCGCTCGTATGTCAGATTGGAGCAATGATTGCCACACAAAAGGCAAATCACAGCAAGAGCGAATATCGGTTCTTGAGCAGCTCCCAGTTGCTGGCTGGCTGGCTAGCCAAACATCTGGCTGCAGGAAAAATTGCCGAGCGAACCATGAAAAGCTTCCTGTCTTCTGGGACTTGGACTTGGACTGGGACATTGAGTTGCCCTCTGCGGGGTTGGTGACTGGTCTTTGTCTGGCATGGTCCAGTCTGGTAAAACAGTGGGGGTTCGAGGCTTCGAGAGAGTGCTTTCAAGTTCGCAAGCCAGGATCAGCCAGGTCAAGCGGGGAAGATGATCTTCTAGCGTCCACCTCTCTCACAAGGGGAACAAGCTAGTACGGAGAAGTCGGCAAGTTTTGACAGCACACATCTTAGCGTCCCGTTGCCATGGGTAAGGCTGTCTGTTGGCTCAACTGGACAAGAAAGAGAATCCCTCACCGGACTCTGATTGCCACATACGTCCCCAGTCAGTCCAATATTCGTATATCGCGGCTATCTACCAGACATCCCAGAGATACGGCACGCCGTGCTCGGTTCCCTTCGGGCAGCATTCACCCCAGTCTCTCAAACTTGGCTTTTCTTGTCCCCAATGAACCCTAGTCCTCCTCCAAGCTGAACGCTGCCCAATGCCGGCCACTCAGCCATCCAGCCTATCACCCCTCGCCCAGCCTCGCCAGTCCTGCGCAGAATGTCGTCAATCTGCAGGTGATAGAGATATTTAATAGTACGTCACCGGTCGTTCACAAGGGTTTTTGCTGGGTAGTGCCAAGCGATGGATTATGAGGGAGGAGAGGGGGATGTCTTTTCCCTGCGGGTCACAGCTGCTGAGAGGCCCGGAGCGTTTTCTCCTAGCCATGCTTTTTGCTGGGCCCCTAGCCACGGGCCGGTATTGTACTCAACTGGACCGCTCTCAGATACGACACTGGGCGACCTCAGGTAGGGTACTCCACGATACGTGGCTGTGGCCACTGGCAGATGGCCAGCGCCTACCTCCGCCGCCGGCACCCATCATGAATGATGGCTCCACGGTTTTTTGGACAGTTAGACGCGCCGTGCCATGGGGAAAATTCCATATTTAATCACCGTGGTATGGATGCCAATCCCAACACACTTAGACTCGCACATTGATGAGAAACGATGGCTCCAAGTCTTGAACACTGGTCGATTCCACTACCAACCATATCTCTCTGTCAACCCTTTGGTACCTCCTCTTCACTTGCCTCTGTTCATGTGCACAGAGTACCATACCACCCAATGCCCCGCCTGCGGTCAAAGCTACCTCATCTACGTCGAGTTCTGCAAGGACTTCCGCCCGCCGCTGGTGAGGTGCCCCAAGGGCACGACCGTCAGCCGCATTGCCATGAAAGAAGGGGGTTGCACAAGCAGGCTGTGTCCGAATGGAAAGAATGGAGGGTGTTCGTCTATGTGAGTTGAGTTAAGGGCAGTTGCGTCGGTGTAGTGTCACAAGAGAGGGGATGGAGGGGCTTCTCGGCGAGCAAGACAGCAAGACGGCGGTTGATCCCGAAAAATCGGGAGACAGGCTCCACTGCGAAGAGGCTTGTGGCTCGGAGGAGCCGAGATCTCGTCAGCTCAGTGTGGCCGCCTTTCAAAGCTTCACCGGTTTACCGTCCGGATCCACTTCGACGACCTGGTCCAGCCCTTCGTATGGCGGCAGGTCGAAGCCATACTTTTTGGCGATTGCGGGGGTGACGAATCTGGATTGTCAACAGCTCAGACACAGTTCAAGAAGTGAGAGAGCAGTGGTACGTACCTCCCACCAATGAAGTGCCGACCCTTAAAGTACTTGACCAATGGCTTCGGCGCCGTCAGACTGACGAGGACATCAGGATGGAAGTTGCTGCCCACGCCAGACTTCGGTGGACCGTTTTCGATGTCCCAGGATGATGGAGCGTCGACAGAGGTGACGGGTACGTTGGCCTCTGCCATGGCGTTGATCACGGCTGGGAAGGGCTCGCGGACTTCTCCTGAAAAGCTAAAGCCTGAGGTGGATTAGGAGAGGGGTTTTGGTGAGCGTAGGGAGAGGACCATACCAAAGACGGCATCGATCACATGATCGGCTGACTGTAAGGCAGCAGGGAAGTCGTCGGTGAAGGGCACTTCGAGGTCTTCGAGTTGTTTTACAAGGCGCTTAAGGATATTAGCAGTTATTGGCAGGAAGGTGTTATATTCTAGAGTTACCCAAGTATATACCCAATCCCAACATCAATAGTTGAGGTGTCGTTCTGTTCAGCAAACAAAAACCATGGAACTCACCTGATATAGCTCATTCTTTCCCCGCTTCGGATAGTAGATCGTAGGCTGATAGCCATAATGCCTTAAATGTCTCGCCGCAACCAGCCCGTCGCCTCCTAAATCAATGTCAGCGCACTGACCACCCCTGAAGTCAACGAACACCAGAGACAGGAACAAACAAACCATTGTTGCCGGGGCCAACGGCGACCAGAATCCTCTTGCCTTTATGAGGAGGATGAACTCGATACACTGGTTATTATGAGTGAGCAGCCAGGGTTACAAGACAGTGTTGCTGTTGGGGAGGGCTCTCACGGACCAACTTGGGAGACAGAGAGTCCCGCTAGCTCCATCAACTGGTCGATGGAGAATGCCCCAGTGCTCATGAGCTCTTTATCAAGAGCTACTGCCGCAGCAGCGCCAATAGTCTACATTAGAGTTGGAAGTTCCGTTAAACCTAGATGGTCTTTGTTGTGGAAAATGAGGTCGAAGATAGTCGACCCCACTCACCTTGAGAGCCATTGTTAACAATGATGCCGGAGTTTGGATGCTCTTTGACAGAAAAAAGTGGGATTGTGTAAATGTTTTAAATAATAGAGAAAACTTCAACCGATGGAATATCTAGCCTGTGTTTACCGTGCACACCAACCAGAGAAAAAGGAGGAAGAAGACAACAACAACTTGACATCACATTACTCCTCTCACATGCTCTAGGTGGGGACAAGAAGTGGGATGAACGCGAGTGTTGACTAAGCACTCCTCCAGGACAATGCGCAAGCTGATTGGCTGACTCAACATCGGTCCAAAATTTCCATGGCTTCCGAAGGACCCGCTCTAGTCGGTGCGAGCGAGGATTGCAGCAGACGACGACGACGAAGACGACCGAGAAAGCTCGACGACGGCTCAACATCATTTACTTAGCCCTTTCTCTGGTAGCAGATCAACCGAGTCCCTTTCGATTCATTCAGCACGCAAGAAAACGTAAAACGCAAGATGGTCGTCAAGATCCGCCTCGCCCGCTTCGGGCGTACCAACCAGCCCTTCTACAACATCGTCGTTGCGCACGCCCGGTACGCATCCTCCCTGCTCGACGGCTCTTCAGCCTTCCGGTTCTGACAAAAACGTTGTGTAGGACCGCCCGCAACAGCAAACCCCTCGAAGTGATCGGTACCTACGACCCCGTCCCCAAGAAAGACCCCTACGATCCCTCGGGCAAGTTGCACAAGGACATCAAGCTGGACATCACGCGCGCCAAGTATTGGGTGGGTGTCGGGGCGCAGCCGACGGATACGGTGTGGCGATTATTGTCGATGGCATGTCCCCCGCAAGATATCGAGAGATTCGAGAAGGGGAGACTAACGGAGAATGCGTGCAGGTGGGCATTCTCGAACCCAAGTATCGTCCCGGTCTGCCGCCGAAACATAAGCCTACCGTTGTTAAGGATTAAATTACAAAGTTCGAGATCACGGCTCTTCGATATTGTCAAGACTTGTGTATTCTACAGTTCAAGTTAGTTTGTTTGATTTATAACCTCCGGTATCATATATGTACGATACGGCGTTTTTGTGTTCGAGACATTGGACTGTACGTTAGCGAAAGCGACTAATGGACTGCTTACAACCACTTCTCCGCTCGGATTATATGTGTTCAGCCCTGTCGTTTCGCATCAGGGCTCTGTTGACTAGGGATCCAGTCGGGAAAGGGATCATGAAGGCCAACAAAATGCTTCATGCCGAAAACATCACTTCATATCAAAGATTGCCATTTTCAATCCTCCATGCTAGGAGCGCTCAAGATGGAAACTTTGCCAGGAAATGCTGGTTTCTGTATTGAAGCTGACATGCAGATTGAACCAAGCTCTCGGCTAACAATCCCAGTCGTCCCAGCAGAAAGCAGCTAAGCTGTATACCCTATCTCAAGACATTAACAGAACCTCTGGATACATCTATCTACTCCATGGTCTGTGTCTCATCGAAATACTCATATGTTGAACCAAGACGCCCAATCAAGACCAAATATGCCTGATCCCCGAACTTATACAGCCACCTCTCTCATATGTAACGTAATGCAATGCGATATCCACCCAGATCTCAAAATACGTTCGTACCCATGACGATATGTGACCGCAGAAACACACGAGATAACCCATATCCAGACTCCACCCCTAGAAACTCCAATCCTCTTCACTAAAACATCTCTTATCTCTTGCCTAGTGGCCTTGCAAAAGTATGCCCCTGCTTAGCGGAAGAAGGCATTCATACCCAAGCAAATAAACATCACACATACCCCGTACACCGACAAAAACAATGCCATCTTTCGTAACAAAACCGTCTCTAAATGTTCCAAATCCCAGCGCCACTTCCTCCTCCACTTCCATCGTCCCGTGGCCGCTGACTTCGCAGAACTGGCCGTTGACCTCAAGCTAGCCACACTACCCTCCAGAAGCCCGCTGGCACCCAGGTCACCGGCGCCTTCTTCTTCATCGCCACTCTCAGAAACCCCGCCGTCAAAATCAGCGTCATCATCTTCCTTAGACAGACGTTGATGGTAGATACTATCGGGGTCGCTGATTTTGTAGTAAAACAGGCCAGGAAGAATAAACGAAATCGCTGTCGATCCGGTACTCCCCACATACGCCAACACCCTGTCGAGCGAAGAAACATTCAGCGCGGCAAGGTAACTCAACACGAGAATAGTCGACGTAATCAGGGCAAACCGCAATTCTGACATAACCACAACCGGGGCACCGTGGCTGTCAAGGACGGGCGCGGGGGCAGAGATGCTGGCGGAGGCGGCCAGCAGCGGCTGGCTGCCGGCAGCGGACTGGGAGGTGCTGGCGGAGCGGGACTTGTTGGGGCGCCAGCGAAGGACGGCGTCGAGCGAGGCACGGCAGGGATGGATCTGCAGAGGAATAGAGAAGGTGACGAGGGCGACGATGGCTGCTTTGGCAATGGTTGAAGCAACCGACGGAGGATCTGACATCTGTTAGAAAAGTTAGGGGCATAAGACAGGTTGATGTCACTTACACATTCCCACAATGTTGCCCTTAATATCGTTGCCAAAAGTGAGGTAGCCGGTAATAGCAACCAGGATGTAGACAGAAGCGGCGGTACCGATACTAGCAGTAATAACAGCTACAATGCTGCCAGGCGAGTTGTCCTTGATCTCGTTGACAATCGAGAACATCTGAAGGAGTCAGCATCGCTCGTACCCGGAAGGGAACAACCTGGCTTACATTCTGGTGGCAGGTATAGGCAAAGATGACAACCGGCAAGCTGCTGAGCACGGTAACCGGGCTCTCCCATCTAATAACGCGGATGTCCCGATGGTTCGGGATCTCATCAGCCGCAAAGTGGTAGACGACCAGGATAACCAGGTATCCAATGGCCATCAGGGCCACGACGCTCGTGTACTTGAGCGAGTCCAATTTTTTCGGGAAGCTGAGCGGGATGATGAAGATCAGAAAGAAGATCGTAATCCAAAATCTGCGGTCCTCCAGATATGGTAGATCCATTGATGTCAGCCCAAAAGCCTCTGCCACGCCGGGCATGAGGTCCCCGATGATAATCATGTACGAGACGCCCACGCCAAAGCACTTAATGGCGATAGCGGCGTCAAACACGACAGCAGCGTTCGGATAGGTAATCTGAGAGAGGGCGAAGAACGAAGATGTGCCGCGATCTAGGTAGCGGGCGCAGCGCGACTGCAGATAAAGGCCCAGGGCCGAGGTGAAACCGCACCAGATGATCAACAGAACGCCGAGCATGACGCCAAAATGCGACATGGCCGCAGGCATGGCCAGCGTTCCGGCACCAATGACTGCAACCACCTTTGTCTCAGCAAGCAGTCTAGGGGTATTTCAATTATCATGACGTACTGGTATTGAGGAGGTTGATATTGCTGCTCATCATGGAAGCGTGGCCGCCACCGCCCATCTTGGGGCCACGGACACGACGTGTGCTGGAAGGAATATTCAAGTTAGCATCTCTGCAGCCAAGCGATGCTGTATTGGATTGACTTACTTCGCCATTCCCCCTGCTGACGAGGTGCCAGAGGCGATGGTCGAGTATCCCGTCATCGGGGGAGCCTGTCGCCAACTGCACAGGCTCGATATATGGTGAAGAGGGGAAACGGAATTCAACGACCCCACAAAATGCGTGGGGGTCTGGCAATGGGTAAAATCAGGATGGACTCGATGCGGTGGACTACGGGCCCCTTGATATCGCCATTAGATGGATCGATCGTGGACCACAGAACACCTTGCGGACAGTGTTGGCGAACCCCTGGAATTTAGCGGGCGATCGATGGAAATGAGTGTTTTCAAAAGCTCGGAGAATCGTCTCTCAAAAACAACAGTCGTACGGGCTCGACACGATGAGATCGGGCACAGATCGGTGTAAAGATGGGTGCGTGGGTGTTGGGAGGAGAAGGGAGATGGCTAAGGCCAGCAGAGCAGAACAGAAAGATGAAAGTCGCCCCACAGATGCTACAGATGCGACAGCTTCAAATCCGGGGACGCTTTCTGTGCATCCCAGCAATCCAGCATTTCTTAAGCAGGCATGCAGCGTTAGGACCAAGCTCGCCAATCAGAGGGCACTATTTACATGACGCCGCTGATCTGCTGGCCTCCACTGACGGCGCACGCGAAAGCCGATGGAACTCAATGTCTCCACCGTACTGGATTTCCAGCAACCAGCCTCAATTCCCAACCGCTCAATGGTCTCGCTGGATCGTGTTCGCTCTAACATTGAAGCATTCCGTCATCGTCATCAGCCCTACGAACACTTCAACTTCAGCTCAGCCCTGAGAACAGCCGGGGTAACACACAACAACCGCAACGCATGCGAACAATTGTCGTCTGGCCAACCGCAGTGTCGGCAATTGCCCATCCCATAACCAAGACGCTCCCACGCTAACCGCTGCACAAACTCTCAAATTCAAACCCAGCGGTAGTGACCAGGACAAGAACGCCCCGTGCGCCCTTCGAAAACCGGATCTCAAGCCCGCCTCAACCCCAACGCCGACGTCATGGATCGCTCCCTGGACCAGACTACCCTGGAGACCATCGCGCTGCTGGAGTCGCGGCTCCATCGCCTTGAACGCCTCCTCTATGGCCCCGCCGCGCCGCCGAGCCAACCGCCCAAAAAATCGGTGCTGCGGTCGCTGGCTGACCTCGAGCGCCGGTTCGCCCATCTCATTCGCCACTGTAGGGCATATTCTGATATTTTGAAGCTCTGTACGCTATCCCATACTAAAAAATCATAAAGACGAAGTACTGACTATTACTAGACCGCGCTCACCCCTCCCTTTTCCAACCCTCTTCCAGCACCCCGACAAAAGAACCCCCTACCCAACTCTCCCCTGACGCAGTCCTGCAAACTGTCCTCTCTTATGCATCCTCCTTTCCAGCGACCGCATCAGCCCTGACAGCAGCCACCTCCGACGAAACCATCCCTGACGCAGCTCAGTCCGCAGCGCTGGCGGCCCTGGTCCCGCGCATGCGAGCCACCGAGACGACGCAGCTTGCGCAGGCGGCCGAGATTGCGGAGTTGAGGAAGAGGAGTGAAGTTGTGCTCAAGGCGTGGTATACAGGGTGTGTATTGAGACATGGGGAGAAGGTTGCAGAGTTGGAGAAAAGGTTGGAGGGGGTTGAGGTTGGGATTCGGAGGGCTAAGAGGGTGAAGGACTTGGAGGAGAAAGTGTGAGGGACTATGAATGGGTATGTTTTGACCCTCGAAGGTCATCGTGTCCCCATCTGCTGGGCTACGGCGCTTGGAGGATTTATCCAGCTTCTTCGCTGAGCTTCCGGCAATCGCGCCGTCGATTCCTGCTTGCCAAGTGACGATATCAGCATTGTTTGTTTACGGATCGAAGAAGTCACGGAACTCTCAAAGCCCTAAGAAGCAGGACACAAAGTCACAACACGCTGATCAACAACTTGCCTCGAGGATGCCGATTCAGGCGCAGGATAGACGGTACTGAGCTTAACACCGTATGATGAATCAGCCGCGTCGATATGTCGTTATTGTCGGCAACAGGAAACACCTTCAGGCTTCAGCACGCCACTTCTGTATCGTCCCTACAGCTACCCCGCTTGTGCTTATTCCACCGCCGACCTTTCGAGGCCCTTGAAAGTCCCAGATCACCTGGTTGAACGCGCATACATATACTGAGCCTCTTCCGATCATAACCCATGAAACAATTCCTGATTCTTCCTGGAGGACATGGTTTTTTTCGCCGTTGTGCGACATACTTCCAGCCGGCAGCTGGATCTCTGTTTGATGAACCACTTTATTCCGCTCAACAGAGCTGCCATGTTGGAAATCACGGCTGCGTTTTCCTTGGAAGCCCAAGGCTTAAGAGACTCGGGTGGGAATACTAGGGAGATGTCTCGTTCCACGACATTGGCTGGTCAAGTCGCATTGCTGTGTAGAAGAACGGTCTCCTCGGTGATGCTCTCATCGATTTAACGAAGATCATATTCATTTCCCTTGCTTCTGCTAATCAATTAAGTTTCCATTAATTCTACTTAACAGCCTGAGACATCCAGCGCCCTGTGCTGTATCAGATATTGTTGATTATCAGGAAATTGAGAAAAGTATAGGGCATTCCTCTCCCACGTCCATCAAGTCAAAAAGAGAAACGGGGCAAGTTGACAGCCATTTCGTAAGACCAAGAAAGCATTGATAAACAAAGAGCGGCATTTTGTGAGCAGGAACGGTGTGTCTTGTGGATTCCCGGAGCGAAGAAAACGGGCGAAAAGAGAAGAATTATCTTGCCATCCTTCTTCTGTCGCCTCCGGGAGTGCTGGTATAGTGGCCATGACGCCGACATAGCGTTGAAGTTTTCCTAGTCGTTGTCGTTATTGTCATGATTGCTGTCATGGACATCCTTGTCGCTGTCGTCTCCTCCGTCAGATTCATTGTCCTCCTCATTGTCCTTGCCATCCTCGTCCTCATCCTCCTGCTCATTGGTATTGTTTGCGAGATTCTCTGCGTCTCGGACATCTTTCTCGTTATCTTCGTTGTTCTCGTCATCAGTATTGTCATTGACATTGGCCCAGGTTATTGGCATTATCGCTGTTGTTGTCGTTCTCGTCACTGCTGTCATCCGGGTTAATCTTTTTCACCATTGATGAACGTCAGCTCCCCTGGTGAGTCCGAGCTGCATAGCGGAATTCTCATGCTGCTTGAACACTCCAGTCCTGACCAAACTTTAGCCTCATACAGGGCCTTCTCTTTCCCTGCTCTTTGTGGGACTTTACAAAGTCATGCCCTCTTTGTAAGGATCGCTTCACCCAGACCGGGGGATACGTCTTGTTGAAATATTTGCTGGCTTCGAACTCGCTTGAAGAAAAGATCGTCAGCCTTCAAATATCCCTGAAGAATGATCACTATTGGGGGAAAGGGGGATGTGCACGCTTTGGCGTTGCGATAAACCCCATAGGGCAAACATTGCATCTCAACGCCTTCCCGAAAGTCAACTGACAATAGTCTATGCTAAGAGCCCATTAAACCCACACTTCCTTGGTTGTGAAGTTCTCCCTAAAGTAGTCATTTGTTGTTTCCGCATTTTCGATCGTCTGTTTCTTCATCCTATCATGGTAACTGCAAAGCTCGCCCTTCCGCCGATTGCAAATGCGTATCCCTAGCCTTCGTACGTACACTCTCTTCATACGTGTTCCAGTTATTCTAGACTGGAGTTCATGGCTTGAACCTTTCCTGGCCACGTTCGTCGATGTACATCTGAGGGGAGTAGCCACTTAAGTAATCAGTTTGGTGGATTTAAGGGCGAAATTTGCGGTTTGAAGGTTTAGAATTATTGTCAGAATATTATCCGTCCATGTATTTTGTTCGTTCCGATCAAACCTCTGAGGAGCTGGCTCGGGTCGAGGTTAGTCTGCGGAAGTTCAGGCCCGGGTTTGTGTGAGAGCTCGTATGCATCATCTGGAAAATCTCGGAAGTGGGATAAGTCTTCGTATGGAGCCGAGGCTTCACCAGCGTCAAACTTATCCAAGTCAGGCCCATCGTAGCCAGCTCGAGATTCGCCTTCATATCATTGGCTTCAGCAGGGTCAGCCTCGGGTCCAGCTTCTCCAAAGCCACGCAGTAGATTGATCCTTGTCAGACTCGGTCAAAAACTCAGCATCTTCCGGCTCACCAGCATCACTATCGTTAAAATTCTCATCGTCATCATCAGCTTCATCAGGACCAGCATCAGGACCAGTATCATCAGAGCGAATTTCCTCAGCATCGGATGGTTCTACCTCAGCTTCAGAGTCATCGTCTTCATCCGGCTTTGTAAGCCCTAGTTCTCACCTCCATCTGTCATAAGTATCTCGCTCATAGTCGGGCATCATGCTGGGACTAGAGGTCAAAGCAACTAGGGAGCTGGGTCGTGAATTAAAGTGACACTGTTAGTCTTCAGAATGTGATATGGTAGTGATCATTGATCTGGCTATGACTGCTTTCGGAGTGGAAAGGAAATAGCTTCAAACCCAACGTAGAATTTCAGCTCCGAACTTGAGAAGAGGAAGTCCATCTGATCTTCCTGGAAGGGAAAGCCCATTATACATTGTACATACTGCGACCTGGCACATAATGCTCCGCTAGTGGTTAGGATTTAGGAGCCAGTATACTGGAGCCAGAGCACAACTCGGTGTTTTCCAAGGCTTGTTAGAATCCTGTCTTATCAAAACACAACTTCGGCACAAAAACTGAGTGCAGGTCGATCATTGGAGAGCTCTCAAGGAACAACCGAGAGGAGTCTTATAAGAGGCAAGTTGGCGAAGTGGTCATGTTGTTCTGATAAAACTTGCTATCACTCTCTGAATGCTGTTCCCAGAACTACAAGCCAAGGTCCTCGTTCTCAACGCGATAGTTTGGTTTAAAGAGTATTGGCGTAGGTAACACATCCTCACAATCCTCACAAGTAACAACATGCAATAGAAGGCTCTGATGTTATTTACTCTGAGCCTGTGATAAAGCTGGCAACTAGTCGACTAGATGACTACATAATGGTAGCTAGATAACAATACGAGAAGCTTAACAATAACCTGGAGCCACTTGAATCCAAGTTGAACAGAGTTGAACAGAGTTAGTGGATCAAGATGGCTCTGTGATGGAGATATGCATGGAATTGAAACTTGGCTTTTTGGCTGCATGTGAGGCACAGGTGAGTTGAGTAAACTGGATTTGAGCCTTAGCTCAAAAACTTTTCAACCTAAAAAAACTTTCAACCTACTTGCTCTTCCACAAACAGTGGCCTATACAATTCCTAGGAATTGTCGCATCTTGTTGAAGTTAACAGGTTTCTGATTGCCTCATGGGTTCACATAGCAGAGATTCTTTGGAGGATGGAGTTCCTCATGGTTCATGCGAATAATGGTCAGTAAAATTCCAGAACACAAAGATAAATGAACAGTAACCTGTTTTAGGCTTTTTGCTGTCCTTCGGGTTCAGGTCAGGAGTTCACTCATTCACAGCCCTGTCGTTACCAGCACTGGGTGCAGCTTGTGGATATCAGACAGCCTTCTCGTGATGGGGCTGCTGACATACAGTCTGATCCCTTGCACTCCGGCAAGAACTCTGGCAACGCAACTGAGCAGAGCGCAACTGAATTGACCTTAATGCCACATTGCAACCTCTCAACGTCTGTGTCCTAAAAAACCCGGCTCGAAGTGGCGTTTTGACATCTTTCCCCAAGGACACATCACATTCTCATCAAAATGCAATTGTGTAGCGGTGGGGTTCCAGCAAAGTTGAAACAAGGACTGCCAGTCCCTCAATCCCCTGCATCGGCTGGGCGGCGATGGGCACAGCGCCAAGGCTCCAGGGGGGACGGCTGGTTATTTCGGCCAATCAGCTGCCTACTGGGGTGCTGCCCTCGCGTTAGACTGACCGAGCGAACGGATGCGTGGGTGGGAGAGATCTTCCAGGCTTGAAGAAGTCAGTTGGCCAAGATCTTTTCCCCATATGGTGTTGAGATGGATCTCTGAGATCTTTGAGAGTTTCGGATACGTATCGTGCCGCTGAGGCTATGCCATTGCCGGCAGAGTCTCACTGAACAAACGTGCAGTCTGTGCCGTATGATAACATAGCTATCAACTCATAGGAGATGCTGTTGTCTCACTCTTGCGGTGTAGGCCACGTCGGTGTTCTAAAGGATGCAGAAAATAACTTTATGCTAGTTATCTCTTAATCAGCAACTGCAGCAAGTACCATGAAGAGTTGAGTCAGCGGAAGAAGTTTCTCTTCCAGGCAGCGCGGAGCCAGCAGCTGAATTTTGCCAAAAAGACGGCCAGCTTATATCCGTAGCCGCTTGCCGTCAGCATAGCTCAAACATTCTTAACAAGACTTGTATTCGAAAAAAAAATCCAAACAGCCGGTAGCCGCGAAAAGATCGCAACCCACATTAGGGACCGGACAAGACGCCTCGATCTTCTGCCTTGCAGATAGAGGTGGAGATGGCCCGAGCTCGGGACCTCAGGGTGTTTTCGGGCTTTGTGCAAGCGGAGACCCACCCAACCATCCGTGCTGGATCCATCCAATCAGCGCAGGCCATGGTCCCCTGGCCATCCGGTCAGGTCTCACATCGCTCCAGCCAGTGAGCCCCCCTTGGCAGTGCTGCCTCCCTTTTTTCGAAGCTCAAGAGAGTGGGAGTGAGCGAGGAATGCTGCGGTGCCTGTGTGCTGGGGACCAAACCCAGCGAAAGCTGCTGCTGTTGGCTGCTACTACCACTCTGCCACTGGTCATCACGCATGAAATCCATTTCTTCCCTCCCCTCTTTTCCGTCCTTCACTCGCTGTCATCATCCTAAACTTTGGCTTTTTTCGTTCTCACACTCTCTCTGTCAGCTACTTTCTTTTCATCCCGTTTTGGGCCTGCATCGACTCAAACTGTTTTCGGTCCCCCATTTTTTTTTACGACAACAACGACAGCGGCGCAATTCTCGACGTTGAGTGCACCACGCTGGCCGTCACTGCGATTGTGAAAACAGGAGGGCGTCCCACAACTGACCGGCTGTTGACGCTGTGAAGGCTTGGGCGTGTGCTAGCTGGCTGAGAAGGGACTTGTCGAGTTTTGCGTGGCAGCGAAATACCACACAACGCTTTCCATTCCGTCCATCAGTCCAAACGTCAGCAAGCCAGTCCCCGACCTGACGACTAACGTCCGGGTTGCGCGGTGTTCCGCAGCCCACTTCCACAACCGAACATTCGCTTTGCGCTGCTGCTGTGCCGTTGGCGCGACCACTCGCCCGGATTCAACAAGCCAACCTAACTACTCTCCTGTTGTCGATTCCGATTTTTGTGTGAGCGACCGCGCCACGCGAGCGATCACGAGTGCTCCAGTTCTGGCATCAGTCTGGATTCCAAAAGACTGAAACGGCCTTTTTCCGATTTCGCTCTCGACATCACATCTCCTGTCGCCGTACCTATCCGTTCGTCTTAAGTCCGCAAGGCACAAGGCACACTCACTGATTTGACGAACCCCCTCATGCTCAGCAGCGAGGCGCGCATCAATTGAATCGCCACTCAGAAAAATATCAACCAAGACATCGGATCGACTGTCTCCGCTGTCGCGTCGTCAACCGTGCTTGTCTGACCAGGCCGGCGATACATGCCTTCATACGGTTCGCTGCATTCCCCGTCGCTCAAGATGGAATCAAGGCAATATGGGCGCAAGGGCATCCATATGGGGAACATCATTGGTGATCCCTTTGCCCTTGCGACAATTTCAATTGCTTCAGTAAGTTGCGTTGGGGTTGGTCACTTGGGCTCTGCTAATAGTCGCAGCTTGCTTGGATCATCTCCTTTGTTTCCTCCGTCATTGCCCATGTCCAAACGAAAGCTACTGATGTCCAGTTCCCTCTCTTTACATACTGGGCGCTAGTATTCTACTTCTTTGCCATCATCGGCATTTTTGTCGTCGTGGCCTCAGACAGCATCCAGACCTATCATGTCGCTGTTGTCGGCTACCTCGGCTGCGGCCTTGTGCTGTCAACTTCAGCCATTAATGGCATGATCTACACCAGCATTGGCGCTCGGGAGGCTGCTGCTGCCGGTTTCATTCTCTTGGCCATGGTGACGGTATGTCTCTTTAGAAGTAATGTATTGTTGGCTACTAACAAGTTAGATCGTCTGGATCTTCTACTTTGGCTCTGCCCCGTCGGCCGTGCCCCGGGCCTACATCGACTCGTTCGCTCTGTCCAAGGAATCGACGTCGGTCAACCGCCAGACCATGAACGGCTACGCCCGCCGCCCCGAGACATCTACCTCCGTGCAGCCCCCACAAATGTATACGACTCAGCTCAACGGTCTTGAGAATGCTTCGCCCTCTGCCGGGCTCTCAGCCATGCGCAACTCCACGCTCGGTTATCCCTCTGCCAGCGGCGCGCAAAAGACGCCCGTTGGTGCGGGAACCAGCACCGCGCTCGATCCCGACACGGAAATCCCACCTGCGACGGAGTACCCTTATCGCGCGAAGGCAATTTACAGCTACGAGGCGAACCCCGAGGATGCGAACGAGATTTCGTTCCAGAAGCACGAGATTCTCGAGATTAGCGATGTTAGCGGGCGGTGGTGGCAGGCGAGGAAGGCGAACGGTGAGACGGGCATTGCGCCGAGTAATTACCTTATTTTGTTATGAACGGGTAACTTCAAAGGAACGGAGATGTGGGTGCGTTGGTATGATACCATGGATGGTTTTGACGGAGGCAGGGAAAGGGAATGCTACGATTTCTTTGGCTTGGCTTGGCTGGGTTTTTTTTACATATGTTTTTGTTCGGTCACTTCCGTCTGTCTCGATGACTGGATGGTTTTTGTCTTTCGATTTGATTGGAGTTATCGCAGATTTCTATATACCCAACTTACCTACCTCTACCTTGCGATGCACACCGACAAGACTCTACTTCTGACTACGCGCATACCATACCGATATCTCTCGGTCGATCTACGCGCTAACCGCAGGACTGGAGTTTATGTGATGGGAGGAGCCAAGAAGTATTTTACGGTTTCTATCCTGTAACAGCTGGCCGCATAGCTAAAAAAGAATATGGGTACTTATTTTGGGAGATATTTAGTGTGCATGGTTGCGTTGCTGTTTTAAAACGGAGACATACTCCTCCATGATAGGCTTGGCTCTTTGAGGTCCATCGGATAACAGAATATTTTTTTGAAAATGGGGCAGTGGTGGGCTTAGGTCTCAGCTCGGTTTGGGAGGGCCTTGTGGTTGCGATGGCGGCTTGTTCCGAACTCGAGACTCTAGGCTTTCGGGCTAACTTGGTTGGTTTCTTCGGTCTTTTTTCATGGTGCGCTTCGTTATACGTTTTTGTACTTCGCATTGTCTGAAATGGATGTCTGTTTAATCTGTTGTTTTTCCCTCGTGTACTATCTTTGGTGGTATCGCAGATAGCGGTAGGTGTAGTGAATGGGATGCTATTGTGAAGACTTCATGAACCTCAGGTTTTGCGGTCCCAGTATTACGTCGCGCCGATATGGCCCACTGAACATCCCATCTGAGAAGCTTGGCGCTTCAAGAGCAATGAGTATGGGCTGAGACCTCGGCACTGAAGTTGTGTTTTCGGAGTAGATTCAAGGGTGACATTCTGATCTACCTGATGTCAAGGTGGACATTGTTTGCTGGTAATGGATGGCAAGTTACCATGTAACAGCCTCTGCTCAACGATATTTATCCCAAATTGTAGGGTCGCATTCTCCTTTTCACTCCAGCTCTCCAGGCCTTCGGTAATCTGTGACCGAAGGGATCCTTGGTGTTGAGATTCAGCATCAAGGGTTGAGGTAACGTGTTGTGTGGGTTGGGCTGCCTCTTCTTTGAGACAGCAAAGCATCGTGGTGATGCTACTCTAGTGAAGAGCCTCCTAATTTGCCCTCATGACCGTGACCCGCTTGCTGGTTCGTAGAGTGATCGTGGTCAGTATAAGTGACGATATATTGGTTAAGGAATCTAAGAGAGGCTCGGCAGCAAGAAGATTGGTAGAAAGGTCTTCAACTGCCCCTCGAAAACAACTGGCCCATTTGAAGTGCAACGTGAAGTTAGATTGGTTGCGGTAAGGCGACCGAATGGCTTCGCTGTCGGCGTCCAAATTGTAGATGGACCCAATGCTCCGACCGTGAATTGTAATCTGCAACTCAAACCTCTTGTAGGGGCGAGTGTCAGACTCAGCTGTGGGCTGTTCTTGTTAGGGTCGGTCGGCTCAGCATGCTGTCTCCGAAGGCCCCCATCCAAAGGCTGTCGGATCGTACCAGTATAAGGATACAGATTACTCATCCCAGAGCCTCTGCAAATTGGACTGACCGCTCGTGACCGTCGATCTGTTCTCGCCATCGATGGGAAAGCCCATAAATGCAGGCCAAATGACCATTGGTTCCCAGTGATCTTTAAGTCCTGCCCATCAAGCCTGCTCCAGCCTCAACTTCAACTCCCTCTCCTTTTGCCTCACCTCCATCTCCAGCCTCTCAACACTATACTTTAACGCCTCCTTCCTCTGCCTTACAACTTTGGCCCTCAGAGCCGCCTCCCCATTCAGCGGACGACTCTTCCTGAAATCCATCCCCTGACCAGAGAATTTCCCATTGTTGTGTCCGTCGCCAGAGTACTGCGACAGTCTCCCTGCGTTGAGTTCTGCGCGCGCCTTGAGGGTTTCTATCCTCCTTGCCTGGCGATCTAGATGCTTCTCGGCACGGTCGAGAAGGAGCTGGATAAACGGGCCGATTTCGTCGCGGAGGGAAGCTTCTGCGGCGGCGAGGGTTGTCTGGGGGATTAGTTCGTAGTGCTGTAGGCATTAGTGAGCATATTAATTCTTTGAAGAGTAAGGGGCTAAAGGGGGACGTACACGCACGGTTCTGAGGACGTGGCACAGGCGGGGGAAGTCTTGGACGCCGTTGTCGAGGGTTGCGACCGAGGATTCGAGGAAGGCGAGGGAGGTCCGAAGAGAGCAGACACAATCAGCGTAAGATGGGCTCTGACGCGACATTCTAGATTTAATACGCCAGAGGGAGTTGTTGTCATCACAGATTGGCTTGTAGTTGTGACGTTGATTGCTGATATTAATTTCAGAGCCCAGCGCCCAGGAGCATGTATCGCGGGGCATGTGGGGCTCCAGGTGGTTGCTTAACGAGGAGGAAGAAGCTGATTGGTCAGGACTGTTTGCAGCTTTGCTCTTTTTAGGACATCGAAGAGTGGCAACTCGCTCTTTCAGTAATGCAGACGAAGATGCGTTACAAAGCATGTTCTGTGGTTTGGAATAATGACTCAGCGCGTAATTGAGTCTTCGCTTTTTACCACTGTATGCCAGCCGCCACGGCTCAATGGTCTAGTGGTATGATTCGCGCTTCGGGTTATTCACCCAGTTCCTGAGGGACCTCACCCCGAAAACAGGTGCCGGAGATGTGCGAGGTCTCGGGTTCGATCCCCGATTGAGCCCAGTTGAGTGGTATCCTTTTGCTATTTTGCACAGTTTTTGGTGGTGGTTTGATTTTCAGCCGAGCGATGACGAAAGTAGCCATCAGAAAGCGGGAAACTATGTGGTGGGCGCTAGCAGTGCTTACCTAGCTGACAGAACGAAAACCTGGAAAGGATCCTCATTTATCTATGATTTATTAGCTTTGGGATGCAAATACGCCCAGGGTTGGCTGAACCCTAGAACTGAAGTTGGAGAAACGACAAAGCTGGGCTCAGCATCAATCATGGGATTGCGGCTTAGAGCTTTGAAGATGCGCTTTCCTGGGCTTTCAGCAAACACACCATCCCTTAGGCGCTACATGGCAGTTGCTTTCAAGGATAAATATCATGGCATCATTCGCATACACCAAACTCATGCAACTTACCACGGATGTTTCCTTAACCAAACAATCCACCAGTCGTCATTCTGCTGATCCTATAAACTCTTGACCAGCGCATACCTCAGCATTTTAGTTCTCATGCTTACCGATGGTTCTACGAGAAGACAGTCGTGATGATGTGTCACGGCAAAGAGGCCGGTCCTTCGGACCACGCACGTTCCAAGCACCGCCCACAGAGATGGAGATAGACATGCTACTAGACACTCGGAATGATCTGGAAGCGCAGATGGGTGAGGATGATTCACTATTTGTCCCCGGGCCGGCGCAACTTGTATTCCAGGTTTCTCCATTCCTGGCACAATTTGCCAGTTCCCAGGGTCTGAGATCGCGTTCAGATGAGGGGGAGGAGACACCCCCCCCTGATCTCGTAACACCAACCGAAAGCTCGGACTTGGACGAGGGCGATGGAATGAATACTGACGAGCAGTCCACTCCTCCCACGCCGGACGGTGTCGCCCCTCCGCAAAACAGCCCTGTTCCATTCTTTCTGCCAATGCGGCCGGCAGCATCCTCCATTGAGATTCCGACAACAGCAGCCGGACCATTGGGACCACCGGCAGAAACCCCAGATCCTGCGGCTGGACCCTCGAATACCCAGAACGAACACACCAAGGCATCGACAGGATCTCCAGAAAACCAGGCCGAACCCTCAGAGGGTTCGATAGAGGCCCCCGAGGTCACTAATGCACCTGCCGATGCGGGGGCCGAACATCCGGAAACTCCAGAGTCTCGGGGAACACAAAAACCTATGGAAGCACTAAGTCGTCCCTCCAATCCCTCGATTGAGTCCTCCCAGATGGCTGGACACGCGGGATCCTCGGCTGCCCTTCCAGAAGCCTCAACTGAGCCTCTAGAACCAGTGAATGGGTCGTTGGAGACGTCGAATACAAACCCCGAGTCACCTGTCGATCACGCAGAAATGTCACTAAAAGCTCAAGAGACAAAGAGCGGGCATACAACTGAGGTATCGAAACCCTTGGTTGAGTCTCCTGACCCCTCGATTCCTCTTTCAGCAACCCCAAGCGGACCACACCAACCCATGATCGAGCCCTCGGAAATCTGTCAAGAGTCTCCAAGCTCAGTCACTCCCTCAACGTTGTCCAATCCGTTCGCCTCCCCTTCACAAGTACCTAGACCCGACACTCCCGAAACTTCGATCGAACCCCCTCATCCATCCCCTGAGCCCGAACCAGCCGCCGAACCAACCCCAGTATCACTTCCAGAATCAGCTCCCGAACCGGCGCCAAGCTCTAGCCCCCAACTTCCTAGACATCTTGAAATCCAAGAAATTCCCGAGTTCAAACCACGCAACCTGCACACCTGTCAAATTTGCCTGCGCATGCTCCCACAGGACGAAGGCCAATCCACGTTCAGTTGTCCCCATTGGCTTTGCGCGGGGTGCATAAATGCCTATTTTAAAGCGGCGTTGCGGAATCTGAGTATCTTTCCGCCTCGCTGTTGTGGGAGGAGGATTATCCCGAATCGGGCCGTCATCACAGAAAATGTGAGACGGGAGTGGGAAGATCGCATCGAACTGATGGATACTCCTCTAGAAAAGAGACTGTTTTGTGCTAATATGGCTAACTGCGGGTTGTTTATCCCATTGAGAAGAGTACAGTCGACGCAAAGGCTGGTGGAGTGTAAGCGTTGTGGGAGGGTAACGTGCAAGCTGTGTCGGTTTTTGTGGAGGTTATGTGTTTGTCCCGGGAAGACTTTGAGTAATCGGGCGAGGGATAGGGTGAAGTGGTGTCCATGCGGGGAGTGCGGGGAGAGCGTAAGTTTGTTGGGAGGAAACGAATTTGGATGTGTTCTGTAAGTTCTGGTCTCATCGGTTTATTGGAGAGAGTAGGCTGTAGGCTGACTGTTGTTGCAGGTGTGTGAATCCTAAGTGTGGTGCGCCACTTTGCAGCTACTGCGGGAACCTGTATCGCACCTGTCAATGTGAGCAGGTTTTGAAGGACCGGGGACACCGCGAGTCGAAGGCGCAGCAGACCAGGAAGCACGAGTGGTTAAAGAGCTTGAGGACGTGGAGGTGGTCATCGGACTGGTGATCGCGTCTGGTCGGCATTTGGCAAAAAAAAAATGATTGTAGGATAGCGTTAGTTATTTGAGAGAACATCAAAAGCGCTGCCCTTAAGAGAGCGTTGAGAGTTGAAATCCAAGAAACCTCATGGATTGTGACGTGCCCCGAATGCCAACTATGATCCTGGCTAGTTGATTTCGTCTCGAGGATGCTGCAGCGTCTCTTGATATCACTGTCAGGGATAATCTGAGCTTCAGTTAGCGTCTAGACCCAAATGTCCATATTCTTTGAAAGTTTCATGAATCATGCCGATCAGCTGCTCGTCCGAAGTCCATTTAGTGACCCACTGGCTGTCCACGACAGGAACAGGTCCTCAAAATTGCTACTCCCACACCCGGTGTGGCTCTATTTAGGTCCCGGCTACTAAAAACCCCTTCCGGCGAGCACGTCTTTTCTGCTGTTTCCACCTTCAACTGTCACCAAACAGCATTATCGACCCTCCCAGCACCTGAACACCCTTGCGGCCTCTGCTTCAACGAGGCCGCCCGCACTAGTCTGCAAGAATGGCCGCCGCAGCTGCATCTGCCGCCGCCAACGTCCGCCGCTTCTCCGTCTTCGTGTCCTAACTTGTGTCATCAAGAGGACCTTGGCTTGGGGACGCTGGCCGATAAAAACCTTTTTTGTTTCGATTTTTCAAATGATTTGCTGCAATGGAATCAGACGGTGCCGATAACAGCTGCTGACGTTGAGACTGCTGTTCAAACCTTGAGCGACACGACCCTTCTAACTCCTGAAGTTGATCCCGACCTCGCGGCATGTCTTAGCGCCCTTCAACCTTCTCTCGCAGTCTCAGTCTCCGATGACTCCTTCGTCGCGTTTCCTGTTACAAGCCTGTCAGCTGGCTCTGGCAGCTCGCCTGCCGCGCTTTCAGACAGCTTGGTGACACCACAAATCTCAACAACGCTTACCCCGGAGTCAGCAACCATCACATGCAGCCAATCGCCATCAGTAGCTCAGACAACTTCCGAAACAAGCGATACCTCTACGCCGGGGCTTATCCCGGGTCTTAAGCTCCCTCCTCCCAAAGAACCAAAACGTCGCCCCGGTCGGAAACCAGGCTCGTCATCAATCCTGCATTCGGTTGCGGATGGGCGGGTCATCAAGACTTTGGGAACTACAACTCCTCAGATTCAAGAATATGAAGTCGACGAAACGACCCTCATTCGTCGGTATCGCAACAATCTGGCTGCGAAGAGATGTCGACAAAAGAAGCTTGATCGGATCACAGAGCTGGAGGAGGAAGTCAAGAGGGTGATGAGCGAGAGGGATGAGCTGAGGATTGCGCTGGCAAAGAGGGAAGCGGAGGTTAGGGCTTTGAGGGAGATGTTGAGGTTGGCTACTAGTACTGGGGAGAGCTTGAAGGTTGGTAACGGGGGTTTGATCTAGGTCGAGGAGGTTCCGATTCTCGGATACCATGTAGTCTTTGGATAGGGAATCGAGCTATTGTGTTTTTCATATTATGTCATTGGTTGGCTGCGCCTTGACCATGGATTTTGGTATGATGGTGCTGGTGTTGTCAGCCTACTGTTTTGTAGTCAGAGCAGTCGTGGAACTTGGCCGAAGACACTGTGCCCAAATCATGTTGGAAATGGAGCCCATTCAAATCCAATCCGACATTCAAGCCACAAACTTTGAAAGAATCTTCCATCCTGAATCTTGGCTTCAGAGTCGGTTTGATTTATCGCATCCGCGAGATTGCCGATCTCGAACAAGTCGTTATCGTCACCTCATCCTCCGTTCAAAGCGGGCCATCCCCTGCCCCTAAGCTTTAATACACCCCGCCGTTAATATAAAACATGATTCATTGTTCATCACAGCTAAGCTTTCCCCAAACTCTTTGCCCAACCCTACTCCACCACGCTTTTTATCCCCGCTGTTATCACCGACAAAGAATCCACTTTTGTCAACCCTAATCCAAGAAAAACGGCGGTGAGCTTTAAGGATGGGAGATTTCCCAGATCCTCTTCCCTGCGGAGGAATTTACCTCCAGCCCAATCAACAGATGGGCTTGCAACGAAGCTGATTTCTAAGCAATCTCATCCAACGGGCAGCATGGCTCTCGTCAATCCAAGCAGCTTCCAGCTCCAATCTACCAGCAGCGGCTTGGCGGGGTGTGTTGCGATTGGCTCATTTGGTGACAATCCATATTTCCATGTGCCTTCTTGGCTGCTGCAACCTCGCCGATGCCTTACAAACATTTTGTCTGTTCAGATGCTTGACTTGTCTTTATAAGATGCAAGGCTGCTCGAGGGACGAGGAAGACGGTATGCATGGGCTTTGAGTTTGGGAATGCTCATGCTAAGCTGAGGTGGAAGCAGGTTGATCCGTGATTATCAATCATTGTCCCCATCGTCGACAACATCACGTTGATGGAAGGCAACTGTCTTCCATTTCCAGCTCGGCGAAGAAGGCATCTGTATGACAAAGCATCTAGAGAATAGGAGAGACAGGCATCACCATGACGTGGACGGGGTGTACAGCATCCGGCATGCGAATACCGGCGTGCCTGCCTGCCTGCCTGCCGGGACGGGAACGGATGAACCAACGACACCACGTTGTACCGAATCCCAAGCCAAACTGGATCCAGATCCCTCGCCTCGCGGGTGCAGGGCTTGCAGAGGCTGCACGTCTGAAGCGTTGGTGTGCTTGAGGATATCGACACTATGGATAAAGCTTGTCTGCAGTAGGCGCACTATTAAACCCTTCAATGCCTAGCCTCACCATGCTGTAAATGCGATGAAGATTCTTCCGTGTCTTTGTCCAACTGACCAGGGGTCATTGTCAGGCTGTAGTGTTGCGGGCTGGCTATCTCAGCATTATCGACAGTATTCTGCCTGAAGCCCCTTCTTTGCAGTGAAGGTTTTGTTCTTTTACATCATTATCTCTTTTGCCTCTACACTTCAAGCGATTCACTACGTTAATACCGCCATTTGTTTTCATCACTGCTTTCCTTAACCCTTCAGCCTCAGCCATTGCCAGCTCACTTCAACACAATGCGGGCATCCCAGTCCGCCTCAGAAGGATATTCCCATCCCTCAGATGTCGGTCCAACAGCTCTGCATCACCGAGACAAGGTTGAACTTAATACTACCCCAGCAGCAGCACCACAAGCCACAGGTCAAGGACCTTTCAGCCGAACAACAGCCGCGCCATCTCCCCCCGAGGAGGAAGGAACCTGGGGCGAAAGGGACGTCGGTGGCCCAGTCAACCAAGAACTTGCCCTCCACGACTTCGAGGAACTTCAACGGGAGTTATCTCGCATCTCAATCGCCAGATCTTATGCCGCGACCTCACAGAATAATGGCAAATCTCGGGATGGACTTCTGAAGAGAGTTTTCTCCCGCGAGGGAGCTAATGCCCAATCCCAAGATGAAGAGAAAGGGTTTGACACTCAATCAGAACACGAAGGACTCCCCAGCAGCGATGAGAGGGCGTTCCCGCTGGAAGTATTCCTTCGCACAGGGCATTTGGGCAAACACACGCCATCTGGAGACGCTGCCAAGAAGTTGGGTGTCATCTTTCGGAATTTGACAGTCAAGGGTGTTGCGCAAAAATCAAGTTTCGTCAAGACACTGCCGCAAGCGATTTTAGGATCCTTCGGGCCGGATTTGTGCCGGTTTGTGTGCAAACTCTTCCCTAGGCTCAAGGTTGGACTGCGAGACGAGGTGTTGAGGACGATCTTGCACGATTTCACTGGTGTCGTGAAACCAGGCGAGATGTTGTTGGTGCTTGGGCGGCCAGGAAGTGGGTGTAGCACTTTGCTCAAGGTCCTCGCTAACCAGAGGGAGGAGTATGCCTCAGTCGAAGGGTCAGTCTCCTACAGCGGGATTAGTGCCGATGAGTTGGCGAAGCATTACCGCGGTGAGGTGGTTTACAACCCTGAGGACGACCAGCATCTTCCTTCTCTCACTGTCGGCCAAACACTCCGCTTCGCCTTGCTCAACAAGACACGCCGGAACTTACGTGAAGAAGTTAACCTGATCGTGGATACGTTTCTGCGGATGTTCGCCATCAAGCACACGGAGAAGACATTCGTTGGAAATGCCTTTATCAGGGGTATCTCCGGAGGAGAAAGGAAGCGTGTCAGCATTGCCGAGACACTTGCTACCAAGAGCACGATCGTGTGCTGGGATAATTCTACGAGGGGGTTGGATGCGTCCACAGCGCTGGATTTTGCAAGGTCGTTGAGGATCATGACGGATGTTTCTAAACGGACGACCATCACGACGCTGTACCAAGCTGGAGAGGGGATTTACGAGCTTATGGACAAAGTCCTTGTCATCGAGGGGGGGAGGATGCTGTACTTTGGTCCAGCAAAGGAAGCAAGGGGGTATTTCGAGCACCTGGGGTTTTATGCTCCTTCGAGACAGACGACACCGGACTTTTTGACATCTTTGTGTGACCCGGTGGCGAGGAAAGTTCGGCCGGGATGGGAGGAGAGGGTCCCAAGGACGGCGGAGGAGTTGGAGAGGGCTTTTAGGGAGAGCAAGGAGTATCAGAGGGTTTTGAGGGAGGTTGAGGAGTTTGAGGCGCAGTTGGAAAAGAGTGGACTGCAAGAGAAAGCGAGGTTTGAGGATGCTGTGAGGGAGCAGAAGAGTAAAAGGGTTGCTGCTTCTTCGAACTACACGATCCCCTTCTGGCAACAGGTTTGGGTGTGTGCAAAGCGGGAGATATGGCTTCTCTGGGGCGACAAGACGGAGCTCTACTCCAAATACTTCACCATTATCAGCAATGGGCTCATTGTCGGGTCGCTGTTCTACGACACTCCCTCCTCAACGGCAGGTACATTCCTTCGCAGCGGCGCAGTTATGTTCTCAGTTGTCTTCCTCGGCTGGCTGCAGCTTGCTGAGCTGATGAAGGCTGTTTCCGGGAGGGACATCCTTGCAAGGCATAAGCAGTACGCTTTCTACCGGCCGTCTGCTGTTGCCCTAGCGAGAGTATTGACTGACTTCCCTGCGCTATTTGGCCAGGTGGCGGTGTTTAGCGTGATTGTGTACTTCATCACGGGGCTGGATCTGACTGTGAGGAAGTTCTTCACGCAGCTGTTACTTACGTACACGACGACTATCTGCTTGACGGCATTGTATAGGATGATGGCGGCGTTTTCGGAAAGCATCAGTGATGCGGTGAGATTTTCAGGAACGATGTTGGATATCTTGTTTGTGTTTACGGGCTATGTAGTTGCTAAGCCGGTGTTGTTGGAGAGAAAGTGGTTTGGGTGGATTTCGCATATTAATCCAGTAAGTCTTCTTGTGATGCAGCCTGCGACAAGATGTTGACTCTACTAGCTGAGTTATGCGTTTGAGGCTGCTCTAGCGAATGAGTTTCACGGCAGAGAGATGGAATGCGCACCAGTTCATCTCATCCCTCAGGGTCCTGGAGCTCAGCCAGGTCACCAGGGATGTGCTCTTCCAGGATCACACTCTGGAAGCATGACAATCTCAGGCGATGACTACCTCGCGAATCAATTCGACTACCACTGGACACACATGTGGCGGAACTATGGCATTATCGTGGCCTTTACTGTTTTTTTCTTGCTCGTCACGATCCTTGCGGTCGAGAAGATCTCGTTTCGCCAGTTGGGTGGCGGTGCTTTGGTATTCAAGAAGTCCAAGCGTAGTCTGAAACAACTTCAGGACAATGTTGTGGATGAGGAGAAGGTCAACTCATTTACTACTGCCCATTCTATTGACGGCTCCCCTGTGCAGAAGGATGCAGCCGGCAGTGCGAGGGTATTCACTTGGGAGAATGTCTGCTACACAGTCCCAACTTCAGACGGCCCCAAAAAACTGCTCAATGACGTCTCCGGCTATGTCAAGCCCGGAATGATGGTTGCCTTGATGGGCGCCAGCGGCGCAGGCAAGACCACTCTGCTCAATACCCTGTCCCAGCGTCAGACCGTTGGAGTCGTCACTGGAGAGATGCTTGTTGATGGTCATCTTTTACCGGCCGATTTCCAACGCAGCACCGGCTTCGTGGAGCAGATGGATCTGCACGAGGAGACGGCTACTGTCAGAGAGGCGATCGAGTTTTCTGCTCTGCTTCGCCAGGGTCGGGACGTTCCACGCGAAATGAAACTCGCTTATGTGAACAAGGTTCTAGAATTACTCGAGCTGACCGACATCCAAGACGCGCTCATCTCTTCGCTTGGAGTGGAACAGAAGAAGCGGCTGACCATCGGCGTTGAGCTGGCTGCTAGACCGTCTTTGCTGCTGTTTCTGGATGAGCCGACCAGCGGGTTGGATGCACAATCCGCCTTCTCGATTGTGCGTTTCCTTCGCAAGCTGTGTGCTGCTGGGCAGGTCATCATCTGCACTATCCATCAGCCATCATCGGACCTCATCCAGCAGTTTGATCTCATTCTGGCTCTCAACCCTGGGGGGAAAACGATCTACTTTGGGCCTGTAGGCGAGGATGGTGCTGCAGTAGTGGGCTACTTTGCTCAGAGGGGCGTCCACTGTGAGCCAGGGAGGAATGTCGCAGAGTTTTTGCTCGAGACAGCCATCAAGGGCGGTAGGAAGCCCGACGGGAGCAGGATCAACTGGGCCGAGGAGTGGCGAGTCTCCAAGGAGAACCAGATTCTGATAGAGGAGATCCAGCGGCTCAAGACCGAGAGAGCCCAAGTCCCCCCCTCAGACAACCCTTCAGCATCAAACCATGAATTCGCCGCCCCAATCGCACAACAAATCATCCTCCTAACAAAACGCATGTTTCTTCGTCAATGGCGAGACCCCTCTTATCTTTACGGTCGTCTCTTCCACTCCGTAATCATCGGCATCTTCAACGGCTTTACCTTCTTCAACCTCGGCTCGACCGCTGCCGATATGCAGAACCGCATGTTCAGCTGCTTCCTCATAATCATGCTCCCTGCTACGGTCTTGAACGCAGTGCTGCCTAAATTTTGGGGGAACAGGGAGTTGTGGGAGAAGAGGGAGTTCCCAGCGAGGATGTACGGCTGGGTTGCGTTTTGCACGGCTGAGGTACTGTCCGAGATCCCAGGATCGATCATTGAGGGAGTTATATACTGGTTGTTGTGGTACCTTCCTACGGGCATGCCTCGTAGCCCCGGGGGAGCAGGGTATGTATTTGTAATGACGCTGCTCTTCTTCTTATTCCAAGCCAGCTGGGGGCAGTGGATCTGTGCGTGGGCGCCGAGTTTTACGGTCATTAGTAACTTGTTGCCCTGCTTTTTGGTGGTGTTTGCCTTGTTCAATGGTGTTGTGGTGCCGTATAGCCAGATTCGGAGTTTCTGGAAGTACTGGGTATGTTTTTGCTTATATCTATGCCCTTCTGCAGCATGCTAACTGATATCTAGATCTACTGGCTCAACCCAAGCTCCTACTGGATCAGCGGCGTTCTCTCGGCCACACTTCCTTCGCAGCCTGTCCACTGTGCACTCCACGAAGCGGCCTACTTCAATCCCCCTATCAACCAGACCTGTCTCTCTTACGCTCGTGACTTTGTGGATCAAGTTGGCCGAGGCTACCTCATCAACCCAGCCGCCACCACAGAGTGCGGGTACTGCCCTTATGCGAACGGTTCCGAGTACCTTGCTTCGCTGGGTATCGATTCGGGGACGAAATGGCGCAACCTGGGTCTCTTTGCCGTATTCTGTGTGACGAACTGGACGCTAGTGTACTTTTTTGTGTGGACTGTTAGGGTGAGGAAGTGGACATTTGGGTATGGGACGCTTTCGAAGAGCTTAAGGAGGGGGATGAGGGGAGTGAAGGGGTCGCTCAAAGTCGGGAAGGCATAAAGATGGACGCAGGACATAGAATTGGGTAGATAGGCACCTACTCTAGATGGACTATAGGCTGGCTGTTGAGGTTAACCTAAATGAGGAACAATCCAGTGGCTTACTTTTCCATTCACTGCTATCCCTGCGCACAAAGACAGCGTCAGCGTAATATCAGGAAGCGTAAGCCCTCCTCTCCTACTATTCAACTTTTCGCTAGTGGTTTTTTGGGGACAGCGCAGCTAAACTTTGAAGAACCCTTCAAGTTTAGCGTCAGTCTGTTTCTTTGCGGGGCAACAAACCATCAGCTTTCCCTTCGGTCAGGCGATTCCCCTCTCACTGATCGTTTGCTGCGGCTCCGGAGAAACAAAGCTTACGGTAGCACTGGGGATTAGCACCATTATTGCGGGGCACACCAAGCTATTTTAAGGGGTTTTGCGGGTCGCTATACAAGGGGCAGCATACTGAGGAGTGGCCCTGCTTATGTCTTGGCATGGCAGACCTTTCCCATCGGGTCAGCACGTTGTACCGCGGACGGCTACATTGACATCATATTTTGAAATACACGTCGTATTCAAATGAATTTCAGTGTTGACTTTGATGTCTCTGTCAAAAATAAATGATTGTTTCCTCCGAACACACCGTACTTTATTCTAGAGAAGTAATGGGTATGTCAGCAAAAGGATTCAGGGGCAGAGTCAGCGGTGAGTAATAATGTTCACTTCTGGGGCCTCATTACTTTCCCAATGATACAATGCTGACTTCATTCACACAGTACAGAACAGAAAGTCGGAATTAGCCCTTGACATTTAAATCTAAGATTGAGGCTTACTACATGGTGGAGAGTCGTCGATCAGCTTTCGACATGGCTTGGTTTGCCACTGCCGAAGTGAGATGAACTTAACGTTGATCCGACTGTATCGTTCAGGACTACCAAGAGGAGGAACATGTCTTCAAAGTTTCCAATTATGGGACTGTTGATGGAATGTTGAGAAAGTTCGGAGTTGCAATGACAGAGGAAAGAGAATATTGTAATGAGAAGGACTTGCAAACGTCGAAAACAGGGACAACGCGGGCGAGTTGCTGGCGTGAACCGAATGCACTTGAAGCCGTTCGAGGTCTATAAAAGGACCTGTCCTCGCTTGAACAATCATCGCTTCTACGCCACCAAACAACTTGGTCCTTCTCACCAAAACAAAAGAGTAAACCTGCCCATCGAACGGCTTCAAGCAAACCCCGCAGCTTATAAATACTCGAAGACGTCACCATCACTACCGATTGAAACACCTTCAGCAACACTGAAACAACACTGTACAGCAGATCCAATCCACAAATATGAAGTTCCATCTTCTCGCCGCCGCGTCATCCGCCTTCCTGGCCGCCTGCGTCGCCGCTCTGCCTCTGCCGATCACCAACGCAGACGACATGGCGATCGTCCAGGCCCGCGATGCCGCCATGACAATTGGCCCAGACTTCTTCGATGCCGAGGTGCTCGTCGCCCGTGACCCTGGCAGTGTCCGTATTACCTCTGAGCCTGAAATTGAGAATGATAGTGAAGAACTGGATGGTACCGGTAGTGCGGTCGTGGATAATCCTGATGTTGAGGTTGAGAGATTGGAAAAGAGGAATTTGGGATGGGGAGGTGTGATTGGCGATGACGCGGATGGCCGGCTTGTGGGTAATGCTAATGTCGAGGGTGAGGGGGAGATTTTGGAGGCTAGGGAGTTGAGGGAGGGGGATGAGGAGGTTGGCCCTGGTCAGGGAGAGGATATTATCGAGAGCGAAGAGCCTGAGAAGGATGTTCTTGAGGAGGGGGATGTGGATATAGAGGAGGAGCCTGAGGAGGATGTTCTTGAGGAGAGGGATGTGGATGTAGAGGAGGAGCTCGAGGTTGGCTCGCGCCAGAGCAAGGACATGATTGAGAGTGAGGAGCCGGAAGAGTTTGATGTTGAGTTTGGCCTTGAGGCTCGGGATGTTTCGGAGGAGAATGATGAGTCTTTTGAGGAGAGTGAGTCTGACTCGTCTGAGGTTGACAACCCTGATGCTGGTGTTGAAGTTTTTGGTGCTGAAGGGAAGACTGGGGAGTGATGTTCCCGGAAAGATATAAGGTTTACAGTTGGCGCATTGGACAACGAGCACATTTTTCTACCAACACTAAGTTGAGCTCTCCTGTAACCTAAGTAGCAGAATTCTATGGTTTTTACGCAGTATTTCTTTCACGGAAAGTGTTTCTTATGCCAATGCTTAACAGAGAAAATACTGTAGATTTATATTTCCGCATCAGAGAAGCTACGTTCTGTATACACACTGAGATGCTAAAGTGTTTCTGTTAGGTCTTTATGTTATTGGGAATATACTGAATTATAGGGAGTCCAGAGTCACAGCCCTAGTGCATGCATATCATGTCCTTAAACAGTCTGAAGACAATTCCACAGTAAAATCTAATATACAAGTAGTTGATCTCGTTCTCCTTCAGCTATTTGGTAGAACTTCTAATCGGATGCCATTGCGGTGTCAATTACAGAGACATGTGCAGGCATCTTATAGGAACATAAGGCAACTGATAACATAAACATTTCCTTGGTTTGTTTCTTGCTGCTATATCACGTGATATCACATGGACACGGCAGTCTAAGTAGAAGAAGTATCCTTGATAGTCGACATATAGAACACCAGTGACATGAGAGCTGAAAAGGGCACAGGCATATCTGATTGGTAGAGCCTGGGAAATATGAAGGGTGGCCAAGAATGAGTTAGATAACCTTGCCAGGCCGAGGAGAATCCCTGAGGATTGCAGGAGACCGCGAGGGACTCACAAGGGCAAATGGATTTTATAATGAGAACTACTTGGACACGATGAAGGATTTGTCTTGGTTTTTCTCTCCATCATCTAAACCATTTGACCCATTGTCAATCCCTGCCTGCAGCAGACCAAGTCACCCGTTACAGGTGATGTGTATGATTGAGACCCTAGAATCATGAACCTTTCCTTGATATGTCTGGCTCTAGGGATTGATCCAGTCTGAATACAACGCAAGTGAAAACGATTCGGCAGTTATAGCTCCTGCTCTATCCTTTTCGTGGCAATTGCTCTCGGTCAGCCTGATTTTATCCATTTCCGCCAGTGACTCTTCATGTGCTCCGGATCTCGGAGTTTGTAAGGGATTCGAAAGAGTGAAGTATTCATTAAACGCACGGACAAGTCCTCTTTCTGTATTGTGTTACACGGCGAGTTGGGTGCTTTCTCCAGGGTCTTGGAATTTATATTCTAAATCTCGAAATCTGTCTCAAATGCCTACGTCCAAATCAAGTTATTGGAAGAAGCAAGCGTCTCACAATCTGAAAATGAGTTGATATTGATGTTTGACAGCTTTCCGTTCTTGAGATTTGCATGGGATTGGGTTCTAGAGTCGAACTGAGCATTTTGGGTTCTCTACGGTTAATTGCCTTGTTGATCCCATCCCAACCAATGATTGATTTCGCACAAAGGGAAGCTATCTTCACGCAAAGATGCAGGTAAGTTAAGAGGTAAAGATCCACTCTGAAGCATATCCAATCATATTCCATGGACTGGCAGACTGTCATACGTGTTGCAGAATTTTTTCAAGGAGCCTTTCCAACCGAGCAGATCCATGTTTTTGTCGATCAAAATTTGCCTTGTCTACAGATGAGATGATCTGGAAGGGACGGGTACCGCTCACATGTTTGTTGAGCATCTGTTGGATGTAAAGGATAATGGTGGATGTGGATGGGAGTATTTACTTGGGCGTTGCCCTGCAGAACAGGCGGCCCTGAGGGAATCTGTCAAGCACAATGGGTGCCGCAGAATAACAACGCTCTACCTTCTAAACCACACACGCGTGAAGGTGGATGAGCAGGGCTCTTATATAAGGTCAAGTGTGCCCCTGACCTCAGTGGAGCCCGGGCTGACCGAGTTAGGTCAACGGTGACCACACCGTGGTCACTTGCGGCCAACAGCATCCGAAAATCGTTCATGAATTGTTGGCTGGTAATGGTGTGGGAGAGAACCGCTACCAACAAGCCATGAGTCAACAAAGGGATATAATCTTCCATCCACAAAGCTAAGAAGTGCGGAAGCCATGTAACCGGGTGTTCCTACACTCACGCCAGTCCAGAGCTTGCTGCCTGGTATTCAAACCGGCCAAAACCAACGACCTTCACCCGCAAGTATGGGGTTTTGGATTTGATCATTACATTCTGAAAATGACAGCATCTAATACAACCGTTAAGTGAGAGTGAGCAAGTATAGAAGCAATAACAGTATGCTTACCTCAGGCTTGAGATCGTGGTTCACAGTTTGGAATGAAGCCAGACCACTAGAGCTAATACCTGCATCACCAACAGCCTGACCCCGCGTGTAGTCATAAGATCTTCAAGTGATCGAATCGAATGGGCACTGCTAATCAAATAGGCGAATGAGAAGCTCCGCAATACATAGCTATTTGTATGAACAGTACCAAGATGTACTACATCAGGGAGATAATTCGCGTTTGGAACTGCAGCTTGATCCGCAATAGACCCGTCACTAGCTTGACTTGAGGCTCCGAGGCTCTCAGTGGATGGAAGGGGATGATCGAAAGAGTGGAAATTATGTAGTCATAGAAACCTAATTATCAACTGGGCGATAAAATATGGGCTCTAAAGAAAACCAATGGGGCTAGTCGAAAGTTTTGCGCCTGGATCAGAAGTCAAGTGGCCTCATAATATATCGTCTGCAGCTCAAAGTCGCTTGTTGGGCTTAGTGATATTGCATGCAGCCGTAAGCGTCGGTAGAGCAACAAGGCTGTCATCTTTTCTCTGTTCTTCGGGTTCTCAACCTTTCCCTCTTTTCTTCTTCGTGTTCTTGAAACGAACCAATCAGAGGAAGAGTTCGCAGGATCAACCAATCAGGAACGGTTATCCTGAGCGGTCACCCACCAAACACCAGCCGTCCTGCTCCCAACTCAACCATGGCGCCAGCCAGCGACGTCAAAGTCAAAGAAATCAATGCCCTCGTCTCTGTCGCCGAAAAGCTCTATGCCGCGCTCGAGAATGTTGAGAAGAGCCTCTCTGGACAGATCGAGAAGACGGTCGCAAACCCCCCTCTCCTCAAAGCTTCACTCTCTCCTTGTCCAGGCGACCTGCCTTCTCCACCTTCCCCGCTCTTGAACGACCTGCCGCCCAAAGCCAGAAGTACCTTCCAAAAAAGTTGGTCATAGTCCAGAACCTACAATCTTCTGCTAACCACCAAGGATCACGCACATACGCCCGAGCGCTTAAGGACCAACCAGGAACCCTAACCCACCAACCGATCGGATCGATACAGCCGTCCCCACCACTGAAAGAAGACGCCAAGCGCAGGCTCCTAGCCGGCGCTCATTCCTCAAAGTTAACCATAATCACCCCGACTGGCAGTTGGCGACCCCCGCTGGCGTTATAGACCTCTTCGTAGAAAGATTGGCTTTCCACGCGCTGATATCCAGAGTATACGCCATCAAGTCAGGTTTCTGCATTGAACTTCAAAGAGCTCCCTCAGCCCATGGCTTCTGCATTGAACCCGAAACGGTTACATATGCTTACCTCTGATCGAATGTCCCCAAAACGATTAAGGCATATGATGGCAGTGATCGCCCAACGGAGCCCCTTATTGCTGAGGAGGTTGAAGTGACCATTAAACAGAAAGCGCAAGTCCACCGCCTTCATACCCGGGCTCCTATTTAGTCGTTCTCGGTGTTTGGATCCGACTCAGCCAAAATTCTCCCTCGCAAATCCCGCTATACTTGCACTAAGTGCTTTGGATTTCATCACGTCGACAAATGTCAGTAAAACTCAGTCTGCGGAGAATGCAGTGGTCAGCTCCGGGATCACAAGCAACACAAATTAATTCCACAATGCCCCAACTGCCTCGGCCCTTCATCAGGACTGCCCTACGAAACCTAGAGTCTTGCAAGGCAGAGTAGTCAAGCCGACCAAAGAACAACGCTCTTCGATCAGAAAAAGCGGGTCGCGCAGCCTACAAAACTAAACTCGTGGAGTCCCGCAACGTGCAGGACGCTACGCCATCGCCATTGGATCCGATGGAGGCCGAACCCTTGGCGGCAGACACGTCTCGCCCTCCACTCCAGGCCATAGCGACCATGGTTCCCTCCGAGGAATGGCGACAACGCCTTCGAGCGGCTTTTAGGATGGCGACAGCTAGGTTCCCGCTGAACGAAGTCATCGCAGAAACCCAACGACTCATCACGAACAGGAACTGCGATGCCAGAGGTTTTATCGACTTCCTAAGCTCCGGCAGACTCCCATCCCTGGAGCAAGGCTGCCCTATGTTTGCTCAGCTGCCCTGGGATTCCCCTGAGGGCATCGCGACCCTCAACGAATGGCAACATATTCGTAGAGAGACCCCCGCTCGCCGCCCGGTCAGGACAAGAGGCCACGCCCAGCCTTCAACAGACGGTACTATACAACCGCTCCGGGCAGCTACGGCCCCTTTGTCCTCCTCTTCCCCTCCCCTCCAAAATCCTTCTTTACAAGGCCCTGATCGACCATCGACCGATATCGGCGACACTATCTTCGTGAGATACTAAGTGATGCTACCCTCTCTCAAAATCATCTCTGCCAATGTCCAACGTCCCATAGCCAATACCGACGGCATCCTAGAGCTCGCTGTCAAACGTAAATGCCAAACTGTTTGCATCCAAGAACGTCCTTTAATCTTCGGCAAAGTGCGACGTCACCCGGGCTTCACTACCTTGACCCTTGACCATAACGATACACGCGCTGCCATATACGTGGACCGGTGTCTAATTTTTGACCCGGCCCTTTCGCCCCCGACCATACCATTCTCGGCAACTCTCTACCATCGATCACGATTATCAATATATGCCTGCATCCCAGACTGGATAGGGCCTTTCCAGCCTGGACACGCCTTAGAAACATACAATGCATACAACGCACTCTTGGCCTTGGCCATTTTAATACATGACACCCAAACTGGGACCGAGCCCTACCGAACCCCAGAAGAGACATGCTCGCTGCCTGGATTTCGACCGTGGCTTCCACATCCTAAATCCGCCCGGCTCTACGCATCGGGCCGGCGGAGTACTAGATCTAGCCCTGGGGCCGCAGACAGCTTTCGCTGTGTTTGCCTACTGGGCTTCCGACCACAGAACCCTGCTGGTGCAAGTGGACAGAGCCCGCCTGATACCACTCCCTCCCCTGAATTGCTACCAAGAAGCCAGTTCGACGAAGCCTCCGCTCTCCTAGAGGTCTTTCTGCCCCAATTAAGGCAAAATCCTCACATTTCAAGATCTCGAGGACTATGCTTGGGCAGTCTATGACGCTTTGAAAGGAGTAGTGGGTTGTTTCGCCGTTCCCTCTGGCCCACACACAAAGAGCACTCCCTGGCGGTCTGAGAAGCTCCGGGTATCCAGAGACTCGGACCCCCCGGTCTTTAGGAAAATCTATAGATGCTCGCACGAACTCCTACAGAAACCAGGTTTCCTCCGCCGCCACCCCATCTGACTGGGGTTGCATCTTGCGATGGCACAAAGGCTTCTCGGATGACCGCCCATCAGTAATCTTATTCAGTGGGCGTTCTATCTTGATTTTAGAGGAATTAGTAGCTTACCTTGCCGCCCAAGCCTTTCGCCCAGCTGGTTTGCAGTCCGGCTCCAGAACGCCTTGGTCCGGATCAAGATTCACCTCAGACTTACGGATCAAGTTAAACATCCCACCCTCGGACGCTGAACTCACTGGCAGCTTCCTTGGGGCGACGTCTATGTAACGGGCGACTTGGTCTAGTGCAGACAGGGATCGACAATGAGTCAAATGGGTTAGATGATGGCCACTGGCGATGTGGGGTGCACAACGAAGTCGATTGCCATGTGTAATAATCTTAGTTGGTCCTCAGTGTCCTTGTGTTGGAGAGATGAAAGCCAAGAGAAATCCCTTATCCTGTCCAAGTAGGTCCCTTTATGAAATCCATTTGCCCTTGTGAGTGCCCCGCGGTCTCCTGCAATCCTCAGGGATTCTCCTCATCGTGGCAAGGTTTTCTAACTCATTCTTGGCACCCCTTTATATTTCCCGGGCTCTACCAATCAATCATACCCTTCTCAGCTCTTATGTCACCGGTGTTCCATATGTTGGCTGTCAGGGATATTCTTTTTAAACTGCCGTGTCCATGTGACAGTCTAATACCCCGGGTCCTACAAAGGATGGTGGCCTATTACCTTACTGTCTTCTTCGGTAAAAGTATCGGGGAAACTTTGCGAGAAGGATGACTTCGACCGCGTTCTTATCAGGTGTTTCCCCCCCAGATGTCGCCAGGGCTCTTCCATCAAGATCCGCTCTAGACCTTGTCCAGACCCATGTTCATGATGCAGAGACCAAATCACTCCAAGGATACCACGGGCTACTGGTCACACTGGACGTCGACTCGGCATACCTCTCAGTTCAATCAAACCTACTCAAAGAGTTTCTAATGGACCAGGGATGGCCCCAAAACATCTGAGAGGCGGCAACGACCTCCTGCGAGAGGTGCCGCTTCTCCTTCAGGCGGGCACGACCTACTTTTCACGCGGACACTGAGCTGCCCTAAGGATCCCCATGGCCACCAATACTCGTGCTATGCTCTCTACCGATCATCATTTCTTCACAACAAAGGGCATTGTTCATGTACAAGAACGACCACGCGGCAACACTCTTGAAGCCGGGGTCTGACCCAGCTAGCGCTCCAAGCCGTCCTCGGCGTCCAGTCTCTATGCCAAAAGGCGGTCTTGGTCTCCGAGTAGATCGTGACAAAACAGATGTCCTGTGCATTCCATCACGCGAAGCAGGCTCGAAACGACATAAGACGGACCTAGAGCGGCTTACTTTTTGGTCTGGCGACCTTACCGTTCCTTCCAAGACCTCAGCGAAGTGGCTCGGGGTAGTTCTAGACGGTGAAGTGAGCCCTCAGCCCAAGCGTCCGCTATGGCCTGCGTGGTGGGTCAAATTAAAAACTCTCCAACACGAAAACCAAAAGCAACCTTCCCAAATTTGGACCTACCATTTTCAACATGGCAGTGGTGTCCTCACTAATGTATGGCTCGGCTCAACTCGACATAGGCTCTTCCAGGGCCGGGGCTAGGGGTCGACTAATACCCATCAGCCTCGGTGCGGTCTAGGCAGTCTTGTCCAAAGCCGTCCACACGGCATTCAGGGTTCTCTTCCTGGTGCGGCGTACAATCCCAACGCGTGGCTATAGTGGCTCGCTGGACCGTACCCACGGTACCTGCCAGACCGGGAAAGGTACAGATGGCAGAATCGCGTCCAAACTCTACCTCCGGACCTTATGCGGCCTGGGAGAGGCTAGGGAAAGTCTGAGCCAACTCTGGGCCCCGATGTCGTGGCTCCCAGAGAGGGCCTGGTTAAATGCCTTGGGCTGCTTGATGTAGATGAGACCAGTCTTTGTGCAGAGAAGCCTGTAGCCTTCTTCATATTGGAGGGTCCCGCCTACGGATATGGCGTCATGGTGGAGGGCCAATAAGCCACAATCCAGCCTCTGGGACGGCCCTTCAGCCAAACCTTTCCTCAGCCTGTTCAACAGGTGTCTCGCTAGGTGACTCGCCGAGGCATCGGGACACGGTGACTTTCTCGAATACCATGTCCGGTTCAACCACCCCCCGAGTACAATCAAAACTTGCTCTTGCGGCGCGATAGTCTCTAGAGGCTTCTTTCTCCGGTGCCCCCTCTTCTCCTTTAACAACCCACTTGCTGGCCGCCTAGACTCTAGAGCGTTTCGGCACTCATGCCAGCTATTCTAGAAAATGACAACTCGAACTTCACGGCTCAGCCGGGGACAACCAAACAGGACATACCAGCCCTATTCTACTCCCTGCCCGCTCCCCCTCACTCACGACTATATAATCTCGAACGATGGCCACCTCTGACGACGAAGAATCGAAATTAAAAGCCTCTAATTTGGATATCTACATAACTCAGGCTCTCCCTTCCTAACCTAGTTTTGTTATTTTGTCCTAGAAGTTTTTTCCCCTACATCCCTTCCCTTCTCAAACACAACCATTCATCTCACAGATGCACCCCAGTTTTCCCTTTTGGGTTTTCCCCGCATGTACGTAGGCCAAACTAGCCAGTGCATATGTAGCTTTTGCCCGCCGGCGTCGTGGGCACATCAGAGCACCCTCATGGGTGATACGAGTCGGAAATGCAATTTAATTCAACTCAACTCAATTCAAATATCGACAGCAGCACTGAAACACGATGAAAATACTATGTAGTCTGCCTATGAATCAATCTACCTACAGAACTTAGGCCATCAACGGCAATGATATTGAACAACATTCTTGAGAGGTCCAAGTCGCGACGGCAACGCGGGAAGAACGATAGGTTTGATGTGCCCAAGAAGCCGGAGAGACAGAAGAGCCTCCATGTCCCAAGCTGGAAAGACTCAGCAGGTTCATATTCTGATTCAGAGCTTCCACACACATAAGTGATTATCGTTGATGGTCGCTCGGATGTCAAGCTGATCGTGCAAGGCATCCTTTTATCCCTTCAAGAGGTATTTTTTGCTCAGTATTGAAGAAAAAAATTGAATTTTGCCTTTTCGGAGGAGAGCAAAGTCGATCCACCAAGGGGCCGAACCTGGAACCCCCTGATCACACTTCGCTGTGCCGAATTCAGAATGTGGATATTTTAACTTGGGACGGTCAGGCCGTAGTCAGACGCTCTGAAATCGAGCCAGCGGACCGTGCTCGTTGATAACGGCTTGAATCAAATTGACTTGGATTTGGCTATTGCACATTGCATGCATAGACGAACAAGTTGTGCGGTCGGCGTCCTCATTCAGGGGGCTACAGCCGTAACTTTGTTGTGAGGGCAGACATCCTCGACTTGGCACTCAGACTGCTGCAAGCAACGAGTAACTCTCGACATACTTCTCTTTGATGGTATGGAGACTTAAGTATATAGGTTTGTCATGCGAATGTCATTTTATTTATTCTCCTCGGATGAGAATGCAGCACCCGAAGGTTGGAGCTACACCAAGGGTAAAAAAACCCCAACACTTAGTCAAAGCAGCATCGCATGTCAGAACTCGGCCACCGCACCGCGAGTTATTCCAGATAGCCCTCAATCACATTACACCAAGCTTCATATTACCCTAAAGATGCCTTATCAATTGCCATCCACCTCCATAACCCTGGCTGCCCCAACCACGGACACCGGTTCGTAACGCGCCCTCCAACCCCCAACCAAGGCCTCACTCTTGATCCTCTCCGCTACAATCGCCTCGGCTTCCTTAACATTCCCCTCAGCCCTGAACCTCTGCTCAACCAACATCGACGTTTGCGCCCAAAACAAATCCCTCCCCTCCAAAGCCAGGCCATTGCCTATGCCCCGCTGCTCCTCAACCCCATCATGTTCATACCCCAAACTCTTCCTCCTCCAACCTCTCACAATCTCCTCGCTTTCCCCCTGAGACGCGGCAATCGCCCCCAGGAAAAATCTTGCGCTAAAAAGCATGTACCGATCCCAGTACTCCCATCCTTCAACCCCAACTCCCTTATTCCTCTCCACAACCTTCGCCTCAATCCCCCTCAACATCTGCCCCGTTCTCGCAGCGGTTTCGGCCGTGAATAAAGGGACATACATCCTCACTAATAAGGTCTCCAACTGCAGAATCCTTGCCGTCGTTGCCATCTCACCACGCGTGGCAAGGGAGCGTGCCACTCCCTGGGAAAAGTCAGCTAATAGCGTGCGGGCTGTGGGATGCGTGGGGCCTGTGTCCAGGACTGTGACGAAGCCTCGGCGGAGGTGGATGGTTAAGGAGTCGTGGGATCCGCGGATAGAGGAAAAAGTGTTAAGCCAGATGTGCCAGGCGGAGGTTAGGTATTGTTCTAAGGGAGAGGGAGGATGGGAGGTACAAGGGGAGTGTGGGGGTGTTGGGGAGCAGAGTCTTAGGAGCTGTCGAGGGGAGGTACAAGCAGAAGGGGTATGGGATCGGGCGAGGCGGTGGAGGGAGAAAGCAATCTTGGAGATAGGATGGCCTGAGGGGAGTTTGACGGCTGTGAGTTGGGCAAGGTAGGAGGTGAAGATGTGCAGGAGATCGGTCCAACCTGTTGTAAGGATGAGCTGGGGGATGGCGAGGCAGCAGTCCCAGAGTGCTTCAAGGTCTAGACCTGAGCCGGCTGGGCCGGAGCCAGGCCGGGAGATGGCGTGTTCTATACCAAGGAACGCCTTACGAAGGAGTATTCCTCCTTGCTGGATTCTGCCTGAGAGGAAGTGGTTCTGCGCTGAGCGAAGGGTCTGCAGTATCGACGGATGATCAGGTTCGAAGCGTTGGATGCAGCATGAGGGCTGGATGTCATAGGTCATTAGCCACGACTCTTCATGCATGGCCCACGAGGCAATCAGTGTCGCGTATGCTCGTAAGGAAGACTCGATGTGGTTCTGGTCGTCGTTAAAGTGTAGCGGGGAACGAGTTTCCAGATGAGAATGGGTAGTAAGCTGGAGCTCTGAATGGGCGACTTTTGCTACCTTCGATGCTGTAGAGAACAAGGCCGTCGAGGCGGCTTTTCGTTTTCCTATTCTTGGCCTGGAGGGCTTCAGGGAGTTGGTATTGTTAGGTTTGTTGTACTTTGTCCATTTCCATTTTGCGAATTGGCCTTTGTACATCCTTGCTCTGTTCTCTAGTTAGGTCTTAGATCAAGGATACGGGGTTGACTCAGGGGTATTGGAGGACTCACGTCGCCTTGAACTTGTGCTTCTCCTGCATAATAGCAATTACCTCATTGAGAACCATATTCTTTTCCATGTACAGCTCTCGGATAATGTCCTTCTTAGCTTCCCAGTCCGCTGCACATGTCGGAACCATTGGACGGTCTGTGGGTTCAGAGGGCGTAGACTCCTTGGGCTCAATGTATAAGCTCGGCGTCGGCTCTGGAGTCCAAGTTGTGTAGGAAGGACAGGACGAAGTTGGCAACCCAAAGATAACGGGGACAGTAGGGCATTGTAAAAGGGAGCGGTAAGCTGGATTAGATTCTGGGGTTGCGGTAGAACAATCATTGTGACCCATGGTTGATGGTTGATAAGATGACTGAAGACTCGAGACTGATCGACAGTAGGGGGTTCTGTCAAAGCCACGATTGAATGGCTCTCTGTGACGCCCGAAAAAGATGAACACGTCAGAGAGCAGCGACATCCTGTTGATGGCGAGGCTTAGAGGGGAGCCTTCAAATAAGGTGACCAGCGCCAAATAGGTATGAAGACTAGACACCCTCTCCTCGTGTCTCGCGGCTCTGCTTGCTGTCTCATTCACGATTCTCATCTCCAACAATCATCTCCGCTGGAGTGCCCTTGATTTGTACTCGAGGTGGAACTCCTGCAGCGTTTCACCTAGACGCTGCGACAATCCACATGGCACAGTCCTGCCCCACTGTTCTGTGCATGTTCCCGTGATGATGGTGGTACAAAGGGGTTCTTATGTTCATGAAATGGTTCGGTAGGGCATCCGAGAGGCTTTGCTCAGCATCTTTCTACCAGAACTTGGCAGGCATACTGTTAGGCATGGCTGTGCAGGCGGGAGCCAGCACATGGTGGTGTTAACGTTGATAGAGAGAAGTACATGGACCGTGACACAGCCATCAGGGGAGAACGGCCCCCAAAGCCAGAGGGCAGAGGTGCTTGTTGAAGACAGAGTTGGTCATATCTTCCATGGCAACAGTCTTATCTCAATGATCCTTTGTGTGAACAATCAGGTCTCCGGGGCTTCGTTGGCTGATGGAACGCCACTGAGCAAATGAAAGGGACCAACCTGAAGGATTTCTCTAGAGTACTGCAAACAGGCCCAAAAACATTTCAGACTTCTACCTTGGCGGCGAGCGATAGATTTGCTTTGAACCTCAAAAAAACTTGATTGGTTGTTAAATCACTGACGAATCACACAGTTCCGATTTCTTCAAGCTTCAGCGCCAAATATGCACTCTGACATTGCCATTCTCCATCTGATGCACTTATAAGAGGCCATCATTGCTAGATTTCCCTTTTTGGTCGCTTGCTTCGGATGTGACACTCGGGATGCCAGAGTTCATCGCAATCGCGATGGATAGCTGCATTCCAACCAGACATTGAGGGTTGGGAGCACGACAGATGAGCTGGCCCGACTTACTGGACACCTTTTGTCGGCTGCTCGGCCGAAAGGCTCAGCTTGGGGAGAAGTAATTGCATGCTTGATCGGTGAGACTGTGAACTGGGAGGAAAATAGGAATGAAAAAGTAATGGAGTTTATCTGGAACATTCCGGTAGCAAAAGTGGCCAGGCCCCATGTTGCCTGTCTCAATGCTGTTGACAGCTTCACCAGCCCCATCAGCAACTCAGGATCTGAAGTCAAATTATCATATCGGATTGCAACCTCAATCGGAGGATCTTCCTCTTGCAAATTGGCTCCCCTTCACCGCTTAACCCCGAGCTTTGCCATGAACCTCTCGTCAAAAGATGCCACTAATGAAGATAGTCTCTTCTCCCCGCAAGAATCCAGGAACGCGTGGCCTTGGAGCCAAGTTTTCTGCATACCTGGTTCAAACTTTTCTCTTCCTATCTTAAGGTTCGTCCCAGCATGCTGTTACCAGCGTCTTTTAACTTAGAAGAGGAGAAAATGCAATCTAGAAGATATAATTTCGATATACAGCACCTCTCCTCCAGCTCCTTGTCCTGACTCACAGCCCACGGCACGCCACTTCTTGTTTTCTCTCTCAACACACCCCGTATCCCGATCGTGCGGTATCTGACCGACAACCAACATCATAAATCACGTATCCCTGATGGGAAAGTCTGGCTTGGCAATCCGTGACAGAGCAGAGACTCCTCAGCTCTCAGCTCTGGGACCCCATCCAGATCTTACTAGCACTTGAGCAATGTAGAGGCCAGCGCCCCAGGATCCATCGCCGAGTAACCCAGTTGGGAAACGACCTTCCCCCTTGAACATGAGCGATCGGGCTAGCCAGCCTCTCGGAGCTAGATCTCGGTCCGAAGTTTGCCTTCCGAGCCGTTGGCTAGTGCTTTTCAGTGTGCACAAGCTCTGGCTGAGGCGCTAGTGACAACCTGCCCAGTACAGGGAGGTTTGCTTCAAAATGTCAATAATTGGTTCAAGAAGAGGAAGCAACAATCCTATTTGGTGCTCATGTGCAGTTGCCCCTCCACGCAAAGTGGTGGACTTGTCTCGGCCGGAAAGCGGTCTTCGCTCGGAGAGTTGAGCCCCGCATTTGTTGGCACTGGTGTCTAAGATCCGGTACGTCGGATGCGGGACACCCTGGACTGTTGGAGACCTGCAGTTCTCGTGGGACAGGTTCCTATGCTTGAAGAGAATACCATACGGTTGAAACTCTCCGAACAGAAGACAGGATTGGTTGGCATCGACGCACCTAACGATGCGGAGAATGTTCAACCAATGCTTAGATGGGATTCTCACCTTGGGCGGGAGATGTTACCCTGGGCCCAAACAGCGGCAACCTGGAATTTCAACAATAATGCAGGCCAGCCAGACTTGGCTGGCGATAGCGTGTGTGTGAGCCCGGCAGTGGCTGATGCGTCTGAGAGTTTTTTTATGCTTACCCCGGATTTCCGTCCCCAGACTTTACCACGCTGAGGCTAACGCCCATGCTGGTGTTGTGGGCCACTATCGGCGACGTGACCCAGCGCCGGAGCCGCTGACTAGGGCGCCCTAGTTTTGGGGCTTCAACGCTGAGACCAGGACCTGGGTTAGCGTTATAGTGATCTCCGCTCCATAGGTTCTCTGCCCCATCTCCATTCCAACAACGGAGAACCATCCCCTCTTGGAGCACAGTTCCTTTCTCGGCTTGCATCTTTTTCGATATCATTTGCGTACACGATTTTGCTCTTTCGATATCTGGTCCCAACAAACTTCATCTGAGCTCTCCGCATTGCAAAGGCGCTAGCAGCGCTCTAACATGTCGGCACTTAGCTTCTTCGCCGGATTGACGGTGTGAGGTCAGACTCGGCAGTGTGGAGGCGGCCAGGCTAGCATCATGGTCGACATGAGGATCGATGATTTTCAAGTCGCACATTCCCATAGGATGGGGACAAAGGGGAAGTGATGAGTATATGTTCGCCAGTGTGGTGCATCGGGGACTGGATCCTGAGAGATCTCTTTTATTTGCACCACTTGCTGGCTATCGGGGCAGGAACCCTCTCGAAGCTTAAGATTGAGACAGAAGACTGCTGATGACAACAACCAACATGACGTCTGCGACGCAAGAGTCGTGGAGGGCCCATTGGAAGTGCTTCTTGGCCTGCGGCATCATCGTACTGTGCCCCTTCCAATATGGCGTCGACTTTGGCCTCATCGGCGGCCTGCAAGCTATGAAGGGCTTCTTGATGGTAGGCCGTCCCTCGATATTGAGCCAACAAAACACCTACTAACTTTTTAGATCTACGGTCATGAAGCACCGCACACTGCGCTTGGATGGAACCTCTCGACCGTCCGCCAACAGCTTATCTCCTCGCTCATGACTCTCGGCGCCTTCATCAGCTCGGGAACTGCCGGCCTTGTGGCTACTTGGCTCAGCCGCCGTCAATGCCTGTGGATTGCCTGCGTTGTGTGTGCCATCTCGAACGTTATAATGATGGCCACTGAGAATATTGGCGCGCTGTACTTTGGTCGGTTCCTTATCGGCCTGGCCAATGGCTATTTTATGACATTCTCCCAGCTGTATCTTCAGGAGACCAGCCCGGCCAGGTATCGTGGTTGGTTTCTGACAGCGTTCCAGTTCTGCACAACATTTGTAGGTATCACGAGAACCTGTTTCCCTGTCACACTGACTGACTCTACCAGGGCACCCTTATCGGCACCATCATCGACTGGGCAACCGCCAAGCGCGGTGACAAGTCCTCATACCTAATCCCCCTGGGCATCATCTACATCGTGCCCTTTATCCTTTCCATCGCTCTCTTCTTCATCCCTGAGTCTCCTCGCTGGCTCATCCTCACAAACCGTTTCGAGGAGGGCACCAAGTCCCTGAAGTGGTTACGCCCTGTCAACGCCGCTGTCGATGCCGAAGCCAACGAGATCCGCAACGCTATCGAGAAAGAGCGCGAAATCTCCAAGGGCGTACGCGTTATGGATTTGTTCTCGAATCCTGTTGACAGGCGCAGGACAATTCTCTCGGTGTGCGCTGTTTCCCTGCAGGCTGCGTCTGGCTCGATGTTTATCATCGGTGAGTTCTTCCGCCTTGATGTCATCCAGCATACTGATAACAACCCCCAGCCTACAAAGCCTACTTCCTTGGCATGGCCAAGGTCAGCGATCCCTTCGCCATGAGCAACATCCTCAGTGCAATGGGCATCGCCGCCATTATTTTTAACTCCCTCCTCGTCGTGCGCTTCGGCCGCCGTCGCGTCGTCCTCATGACGGGTCTCATCCTCTGTGGCATCTTCCAGATCATTATCGCCGTCACCTACGACAAACACCCCGGCACTTCGACAACCGGCAAGGTTCTCGTCGCATTCACGTGTGTCTACATGATGTGCTACAACGGCATGATTGCCAGTTACTCCTGGCTTGCTGGCGGCGAGATTCCTTCGCAGCGTTTGCGCAGCTACACTTTTGGTCTGTCTGCCGCCGTTGGGTTCCTCGGCGCCTGGCTTGTTACCTTTACCGCCCCGTACTTTATTAACCCCGACTCGCTCAACTGGGGCCCGCGGTACGGATACATCTGGTTCCCGTCTTGCATTGTGGCTGCGCTGTGGGTGTTCTTTTTCCTGCCAGAGACCAAGGGCCGCACTCTGGAGGAGATTGATGAGATGTTTGAAGCGAGATTGCCAGCGAGGAAGTTTAGGCATTATGTCTGCTCCGGGAAGCGCGGGGAGGGTGAGAGCAAGGCTTCGTCGGATGTTGAGAAGGTGTGTTCTTCCTAGCTTTAGGCTTTATGGAAATGCGTATTAACTGCCTGCAGCGATCCAACGCGGAGATCGAGCACGCCGAAACAAAGGCTTGAGCCCTCATTTACTGGGATGCTGATTCGCTGGATGAGTCGTTGCCTGCCAGGGGTGGAGCGCCCGCGCAGATGTGCGATCATGGTGGTGATGTCACGTCTGGAGGGTACTCTGCGCCCTCACGGGCCGGAACTAGCAATGGGATGATTGGACTGGACTAAATGGATTACGAACACAACAAAGTTTGAGCTCAGCTGCTCAGAGATGCGGAGCGTCCCAGCTGATAGGACAAGACTTGATGAATAACATACACATGCCTGGAGGGATCGTAAAGTTTTAGGATTACTTGGTTTGTTTGATTGCTTGGATTACAATCGTTGACTTTAATGAAAGCTTCCCCTTTGGCTCAGTGCCTTGCATGGCTACCGTTTTAGACTTTTCGGATCAGCTCCCCGTGGAACTCATGGTGACACCCATGACCTTACGCTTCCGTAGCTCCACATACGGAAATATACATACCAAGCTTCAAGCGCCTCAGGACATGGGATTCGATAACCAGGTCAATCATTCCAGTATCACTAGGTTTCAGATTGCTGATTTTGCTTCATGTCAAGATACACATTTCCTAGCACGTCAACGAATATCGTCGATCTTCTACATCCCTCTACACTGTCCTAATGAATCACTAGCATTGTCCAGTAAATTCCTCTTCTCTGGAGTCCGAATTTTCATGTTTCACACCTTTTCCATAAAGCACGTGTATTCACCTCACAGAGGCATTCCAGGAAGCTCTCAATATGTCGTCCATCATATTTGTCATGTAGTCAATAGCCTTGTCATGTAAAATCTCATTTATCAAAGGCACTGATTGCAGGTGATCTTGGTACCAAAGTTCTGCCCGTTCGAACATTGAACAAGGCAACAGTCAGCCAAAGATGGCAGGTACTCCATACATCAGGTGCATTGTCTAGCTTGAAATAATCTGTGTCGGCTATGCATTCAGACGAGGCTCCCCCGCGGCTCCTCTGTTCCTGAGGCACAATGCAAGCAGTATCATAGCATTGTTCGTTGATCTTGGAGCTTGCTACAGATACAACATCGCTGAGACAAAGTGCTCAAAGAGATAGATATTGAGTCCGGCATCATGATGCCGTTGTTTTGAGGCCTATATGTAAGATTCGAGAAGGGGAACGTGTTTGTACATAGAAGCAACCATTTTGGAGGTTCGTCGTGTTCAAGTCACATAAGAAACTCCGACCAGCGGTAGAAAGACAAGGTATTGAGGCAAATGCGGATACCGCACCATTCCTTATCCTCGAAGGTCATTGTATTCCGCAGATAACATATACGGCCTGTTTAACCAAGGCTGACGCTTGATATACTGGGATCGACGTAACTTGCCAATAAAGACCGATACGATGATTATTATCCGATCGGCACAAAGGAGTCTCCCATGTGCAGAGTTGCATTTTGCCAGTATACTTCACAGATGGATAGCACATTTCGAGGTCGTTGCTGTAATTTTTAACCCCGCTAATTCCTCAAACTATATATGTTACTTAGGGTAGCTAAGTTCTGAAGGAGTGGAGTTCGCTATGCTCTTCCCCCCAGATATTTGCAAATGAGTGTCACAAACCCCTGAATGTTGCCAGAGCAACGGATGGCACCCTTGAAGCATCAACGCATCTCACTGCGACGGTGGATCAATATGTCAACCAGAGAGCAAAGCTTAGTGCAAAGTACAGTCTTTATATTAGATGTAACCTTTCCATCAGTAGAGTTGTCGGACCTCTACAAAGGTGGAGGAGATATATGCCTTCCCCTGGCTGGCCTGTATCTGACCCTTGCTCAGCTCCATCTGTGATCTACATCATGAACTCACCGCGATAATAACGCTAAGATTGCTGCTAAGCATCATGTATGTACTGCTACCAGTGCTGTCCAATCAGATGTTCGTTTGGGCATATGCCTAATAAAGTCCGTCTCAATATTTCCATGTTGCTGTATATCCCAAGCTCTGCGATTCCTCCGGACTACATCTTATCCCCAGAAAAGCGCTTTAACCTCCGGCATCTTCTTGTTAAAACTCCAAAACGAAAAGTTAACCTTGTAAATGCTTCTTCCTACCCTCATCAACATCATTTTCGTTGTACCAGTCCCACTTTTGCCATCTCAGTCGCGTTTTCCTGCACAACTTTCTCATTCTTGTCCCTACCATAAGCCCTCGGATGGCCTAGCACAGATCACCAATGTTGTTTGCATAGCACTATGGGAAGAGAAAGGTACGCCTTTATGTTTTGGAATAGTACCCTGACCACCTCCGGTTGAACAAATTCTGCGAGCTTTGGCATCTCCATGGTCATCTTCCATGTAAAGCGATGCAAGAACAGCTTGCTGTTTCTCATTACTGACATTCTCAAAGTCAAGCATGCCTGATGCGTTAGCCTGCTGAAACCCAAGTCCAGTAGCAGGCTGAGGAGGGATATGCTGTCAGGAGTACATGGATATGTTCTGCTATCCAAAATTGACTAGAACTTAAGATGTCGAACAATATGAACTAAGCTGTGCGAGTCAAAAGTTTTTACAAGGGATTGCTGCTCTCGCCACAACAGAAGTCAATAGATAAGTAAGACAGGTGAAAATCAGGACCTCCTTGATATAACAAGACTGCAAAGGAACAAGTATCCGTTCCCTTATAGCTCTTGAAGAATATGGTGCCACGTGGGATTTCGATGTTCACAGCTGACAGTAGACAAGAGTGTTTGCATGAGCACATGACACTTGACAAGTAAATGTAAAATCCTCTCTACGATACCTTTGCGAAATCACTCTGCATTCTTCCCATGGTACAAGTGGTGCCAGAAAACAGCCTATGACAATACTGGCTGACAGGTCGTCAAAGGGACGGGGACCACATATGACCTCTGGGACTAACAAAATGTGAAGTAACAGCCTCCACAGGCGTGAGCGACCTTAAATGAATGCATGCAAGCTACTTGACTGAAGATGGAGAGAGATGGTTGCATTGTATCCCAGAGAACATTAGCGATACATGTACCTATCTCGTATATGGCTCAGGATGAATGGCATAACTTTACCCATCAAATTTTCGTTCTCTACCAAGTTTCTTCAACTTACTCAATTGCTGCACGGATTTCACGAAGCTGCTGAGCCGCAGCTGAAGTCTTCTCTTTTAAGGTCCTGCTATTTTCGTACTCTTGCTGATAATGCAACACTGACGCCAGCAATTCATGTGAGTTACGAATTGTTGCTTGTATTATCACTGAGTTGAGTACACTTGGAGTGCTCGCGAATCTGTTGACCCAGAAGTTCTTTAAGCCTTGCAAAAAGTGCCAATACTTCCAGTGCAACACGAGCTGTTCTCAACAAGCTTAACGTAAGGGCTGTCAAATTCTGTGCAAAGTTGTTCTTCAACATGACATTAAAGGTCGTCAGGTGATGTCCCTCGAATCTACGCCTCATTCACTTAAATAGCGGTCTGTCGACTGCTTCATGCTGTCTATTGATAGTGGCTCATTTTCCTATGAATTATCGACAGAGTGTTACCATATCTGGTCCCAGTTATCCCTTTGGTTGTAGCGACAATTCACTTTCTTATTGAGGCCTTCGGAATCGGTAACAAGATGTCAAGTACTTTAATTTCAGGCATACTTCCAGCACATCTGGCAGTAAGGGCATGAATGGGTTGATATATGCTGGATTAAAGAACATTCAACCCGCCGTCCAGGTTCAAGTGTAGTTTTACCATATATATAGTATATGGACTTGACCGGGGTGCTATATCAAAATCCTTCCAGGACTGAAAACAACTTACCTGACGGTAAGGCATCGTTTTATGCTGCAGGTCAACCCATACGTGATATCCTTGTCACCGCATTAAAATGAGCGACAGTCGGCCAATTTTAAAGTCAGCATTCGCCCGACCTCCGAAGTTCGAGTTGCCACAGCAGCAGCTTCCCTCCTGAACAGTGCCACTTCCAGTCAGCACATGGCCACAACACCAGAGAATGCGGACAACCAAAAGTTTTGTTGAAGGATAAAGGCTGCGATGCAATCGCCGTTTCCTAATGTCACATGTATAAGCCTTTTGGTTGGTCCTTAACGAGGAAAGGCAGGGTAAGTGAAGCGGATGGTATCACAGTGCCCAGATTTCATGACCCGGCATTGTGAAATGTACATGCAAGTACAGTTTGTATCTACACCTGTCGATAATTGCTAATCCAGATTTTGGCTAAGAAACAGAAACAAAACTTTCGAAGCGATTCACAGTCTCCGCTGTCAAGTGGGGAGGTCTCTTGACCTGTCACCCAGCCAGTTTACCCAACCATGACGACATTGACTCAAGCACCAATCCCTTAAGACCAACTCAACTCTAGCAGAGCCGTTTGCTACCTTTGACCCAATTGTCCTGCTAACATGTCTATTGTCTAGTAAAAACGATCAAGATGATAAACATGCTAATGGGCAACCGCAAATCCGATTCCTCCAAAGACAAATCCAGCATGTCTATGTCCAACGACACCCCGTCTGTCTCCCTTTTTCCTTCCTCCACTCTCTGCTTAGTCTCATTAACCCCACTTCCAGGAAAGAAATAATGGAAGAACAGCACATCTACCCCCGCAAACTCACCCGCCCCGAAGCCTCGACCCTCAAAAAATACGACATGGCCATCTCCCCTTCCCAGTTAGCTACCCTACCCCCCGGCGCAACCCCCACAAAGGGTGTTCGTCGCCGCCGTCAACATCTCCGTCCTGAACCTGAACTCCTCCCTATGGATATGGTCTCCTCGGGCCGACAGCGCGAGCCATTGCGTAAAAGTGAGATCTCGGAAATGGGGAGGGCCGCGGCGAAGGCTAATGCGGGATTGCAAGGGGTCCCTGGGAGGGGAGAGTTGCCTAAACGGGAGGGAAAGGGGAGTTTATGGAAGGGGGAGAGGTTTGCTCGAGGAGAGTTGGTGCCTGATGAGCGGGCCATGATGGGGGAGATTCCGCCGGCAAGTGTGACAGAGGTAGGGAGGAAGATGTAAATAATCGTAAACATGAGTCTATAGACGTGGTATATATCGTCTTGATACCATCTATCCCCCAAGTCTGTCCTCTAAATAGAATATTAAAGACTCGCCTTCCCATTCCCCTCCCCGTCAACACACTTCCTGATAAAGCCTGCCAACGGCACAGCCCACTCCTTACTGATCGGCACATAATGACCGCCCGGATGCGTCAATACAACCGGCTCCTCGCACCGTTCAATCAGCCCTTCACTCCTAGAGTGTTCCACCACTGTATCCAGACTCCCCAAAAAGTGCATCGTCGGCGTTCGAATTTTCGGCTCATAAAGCCACCCAAGATCCTCAGGCACAGCCCAAAATCCAGAATAAATCACTGCAAACTTTAACGCCGTCCCACCATTCGCTTCCCTAACTTTCTTTGCCCATTCCGCATGCTCCTCCGGCGCCCTCCTAAACTTCCCATCTGGTGAGATATGCTCAAGCACAGAAGCAACCATCCCCGCGGCACAACCCCCCTGGCTGAACCCCACTACACCATCAAACGGCCCCTCTGGCACCGGATCCCCATCCCCTGTAACCGCAAACTCCCCGTTCGGATTGCTAATCACCTCCGCCACGCGCTCCATCCCCTCCTTAACGAATCTATATCGTCCAGTAGCTTCATCCTTCCTGAACCAAGCCCATGCTTCCAGTTCTTCTTTTTCCTCCTCCCCTGAGCGGGGTGTAAAACCGGGGATGTCCTTTGCTGAAAGGCGGTTGGGGGCTGTCGCGTAGACCAGACGAGGGAAGATGTTGGCGGGAGACAAAAGCTTGACAAGGAGTTTTTCAAGGGCACGGGTTTTGGCACGGAAGAGGGGGCCTGATTGGGTGTAACCTTTATCATATATGATCGTCAGCATCTCATCTTTACAGTAGCTGAAAAGGGGAAACGGCTTACCATGCAGCATCAGGATCTTGACCTCCCGTTTCGGGGGCGGCGTAGGTTTCGGCTTGGGGGTGCCGCGCACCTCAGCAGCTGCGCCAGTGGGAATGTTTGTCCCTGATGATGACTGTGCGGCGTCACCCATTGTGGAAATATTTGTCGCAAAAGTGCCAAATCGCGAGATAACACCACGCGCTTGTAGTCTGACGGCTCGGGAAAGAGAGAACAGCATGAACGTAGTTGAAAAAGTGGGTTGGAGACCCGGGCGGGGGGGGGGGCAGAGGCAAGATCGGTAATCCGAAGGGGCTGTTAGGGGTGTTCAGATGCAGAAGGCTGATTGGGGATGGAGAGGAGATTGGTGCTGTTTCGGCGCTGACTGGCTTGTGGTGGGGCTTTATCGGCAAGGAGACACTAGCACTTTAGACGAGGAACATGGCGAAGATAGTCAAGTCTATTGTCTCCTAGGATAAACAATGGCATTGACGTGGACAGCTACCTCTGCTGATCCATGACAATGACACACTACGAAACTACAAGATGAAAAAATATGTAACCTCTACTGATACCCGCATCTCGACAACCAGCATGACGGCTAGGGACTCGACGCGGGCGCCCGGACAGGTCGTGAGCTTAGTCCGAGGCCAGTATCGGGTACGCATTTCTCTCTGCCAGCAGCGAAAACATTCCCGCCAATGGAGGGTGGTGGGATGCCGGTAAGATGGCAGGTGGTGTGTGCTCATCCTGAACCTCAGAAGGTGCCGGTTTGAACTTCAAAGGGGACACTCTCACACATGCAACAAGGCGGCAACCATCTCAATTGCTGTTGCTGTTACCCCATCTATAATACACCGCCGCGAATGGTATCGTGCCAACCAATTTGGCGACCTTGTCTCGGTATGTGTTGATCTGGTGTCGAAAAAATACCGCGTGCCATCGTCGTCGCCCAATCGATGATCCGGTATCTAAGAGACCAGAGTTGTTATATCCTCTTCCACAACACCGCCGTCACCACCATCACGCATCAACCGCTTAGTGGCCCGCCTTAAGGCGCGGGTTGCGCGGGTCGTTCCTGAATTCGGGGGCTGCAGAAGTCAGAGGGGTGTCACTGAGTCTAGAGGATGAAAGGGGACGTACTGTCCATCATCAAATTCTGGAAGCCGTTGATGCCGTAACCGACGATCAGAGCTGGCGAGGTCAGTATTGCTGTAGAGAGAAACCGGGTCGAGTCAATCGAGGCGAGGACATACCGGCAGCCAGAAAAGGCGCCATGGGACGCACTGGAGGAAGAGTCAGCATCTTCACCCAGGACATAGTCAGACGAGAAAGCAAGGGGATCAATTGGGGTTAACCTACACACAGGCGTCGGGAACTTCTTGAGAGGGGCGACACCGAACCAAGACATCTTGACAGTAACCTGGATGGGGATGGGCTCGGGTGGTTGGCAGAAGTCTTGAGCTCAAGGTCGGGGCAGGCGAAAGTGAAAACGACGAGTGTTTTTCGGATCCTCCAGCCCGCCCCGGGCTCCAGTGATTGATGCCTGGCGTGGTGCTGGCCGAGGTTTGATGTCTTAATTGTTAGGCAACAAAAGAGTCCATACAAGCTTGGCGTTGTTAGGTGGGGGTGCGGAGCGTGGAAATGATTCTCCGTCTTCCAAAGAACCGGTGTCTCTTGAGTGGGCCCACCAGTCGAGATGCGCTGCCGTGTGACATCATAAACCCCGCACTCCCTTCCTGAGACAGCAAGAGCCGCTTCAGAAGACGGCAGGAAGGGGGCAAACGAAGAGCGAGACTGCTGCTGTTTGGCGGTCGAGTTGCAGTGTGGGGCCCATCAAGCTCGGGCAGCCGAGATCGAGATGCCAGATCAGCAGCTTCAACCCCGAGCTTGCTGCCTGCTCCAATCACCGGGCCTGGAGCCATCAAGCTTCAGTCTCAAGAGCAGTGGTCCAGACACTCACGAACTGTCCTGCGCCCTGCATCCTGCGTCGCTTGCGTTGTCTACCCATTCTTACATGCGACACGTCTAGGCTCTACTGTAGCCAGTCTAAACGAAGGGAACTTCAGTCATCTCGCGGAGATCAACGTGCGGGGTCTCCAAGCTGCTGCGGCCCCCTCTTTCGACTCATTAGGTTGGTGCTTGTACGCCCAATTAATCTGCATTGCTCCCCTCCTCAGTTGTGCTGCCGTGCCTTTCTCCCTCCCTCTTCTCTTTCCCGGACTTGGACTAAGAGTGATACCCAATATTTTGCCGTTCTTTTGCCGTTGACACCACCCACCTTTGAACCTGAAGCTTCCTACTGTTTCCCGCTGCTGATCTTACTGGAAACCTCTTGCTGCTGCCCTAGAGGGCTTGTGATACAGGCCAGACCTGCCCTTGTCGTGCTGTTGCTGCGTTTCCCGTCGCGGGATCTCGCTTTTGGTGCCACCCATACCGCTGCTCGAACAATACAGAACGGTCACCACAATCAATACCACTTCTTGGTCTACCGGCGATTTTGTCGTCTTCCTGCAGTACAAGATCTCTTAGTTGGCTGTACCGTTTACCGGTCTCTGTTCGACCTGACTCAGATCTCGGCTACCCGTCCGTCCCTTCTTTAACCACCGGACTGGGACACTGGGTTTGCCACTCCCCCGCACGAGCATCAACTTCATTCAAGCTCAACATCTTGAAATTTCATCAGTCTCACCATGCTGTCCCGAAGAGCTCGCGCCGTGATGAGCGTCGCCCGCTCAACACCATGCCAAACCAGACTCTTCGCCACAACTCTCGCCACCCTAACGCAGCAGCAGCACCGTTCCCCTTCCCTCTCCGACATCCGCCCCGGCGAGGAAGAGTCCTTCAACACCCGGCAAAATGCCTTCCGGGCGCAGCTAGTTGAGGCCCAGAAGCAGCGGGAAGCTAGTGGGTTGTCTGATACTACTTCATCCCCCACTCCGGGAGGTCTCGGATCACTGAGCACAGCCCTCGGTTCAACAGGAAGTGTTGCCTCCGTTAAAGAACCGCCGCGCAAGGCCGGTCCCCTGACGAATCTTATTTATGGGACGAAGGAGGGCCGCGAGCTGGACGCGCAGCTGCAAGCGAGTTTTAGCCAAGTGCTGGCTAGGGGAAAATATGTGCACCAGATTGAATTCCATGAGGTGAAGCCAGAATGTGTGGACGAGTATGTGGCGCTGGTCGGAAGCTGGTATCCGCGCGTGGCCGCCGATCCGGAGAATAAGGTCCATCTCGTTGGCAGCTGGCGTACGGAAGTGGGGGACTGCGATACCTTTGGTAGGTTCTACCCTCTCCCCCTTTCCCTCTTCCGAAGTCAATGCTAACGTTAGAAGTCCACATTTGGGAATACCAACGCTACACCGGCTTCCACACCTCCCTGAACAACATCTCCCAACATCCTGACTTCCCCGCCTTCGACCGCAAACTCCGCTCGCTTATCTACCGCCGCCGCTCATCTCTAATGCAAGAGTTCTCCTTCTGGCCCACTACGCCCCCCCGCCAGCTAGGCGGCCTCTTCGAGCTGCGCTCCTACACCCTTCATCCGGGCAACTTGCTCGAATGGGAAACCCACTGGCGCCGCGGCCTCAAAGCTCGTCGGGAGGTGATGGAGGGTGTGGGCGCGTGGTTCGTGCAGATTGGGGATCTGAACACGGTGCATCACTTGTGGCAGTTTGCTGATTTGGAGGAGAGGAAGAGGAGGAGGGAGAAGAGCTGGGAGATCGAGGGCTGGGCGGAGACGGTGCATAAGACAGTGCCGCTGATTCAGGACATGAAAAGTAGAATTTTGGTGGCTATGCCTTGGTCTCCGGTTGCATAACAGGCTGCGATTGTCGGGTATGGATATATGGATTTAACTGAGCTGGCCAATAAATGTGGATATATTTGATGCCTATGTAGGAGATTCGTGGAGTGAATGATGCCCGAGCACTTATACGTAACTAGGAATGAGCCAATAGCCTGTTAAATTTCCAACTGGATTGTTCAGGAGATTTTGGTGGTTTGGATGCAAGATAGGTGATAAAACTAAGCATAGGCATTTGTTCTCAGCTCTTCCTAATATATTCTCTTATTTTTCTCAGGACGGTTTCTACTCTCCACCAAAATGGCCACCATCAAGGAGTTCCACAACTTCAGAGTTTGCACTTTTGGATACCTCCCCTCCCTTCAAGAGTTATATTTCCCTGAGATCTGGTGTGAAGGTGAACCCCGAGCACCCAACTCGATTCACCGACACGGCAGTCAATTTCAGACAACCTCGCGTGTATGGGTCTGAACAGCTCACCGCATCCCTTGTCTCGAATGAGATGATGTCTAACAGATGAGGGTGCTTACTCCACTTTCGACAGTTGCATCTTGTAGGCCACAATCGCACATGTTAATAGTACAACTCTCCCGCCTTTCCACCTCGTAGGACCTTTCTCTCCAGTCTCCTTTATTCTCACCAACAAATCCTCACAAACTTACCTCAAATTGACATCAACGATCAACTCCAAAAAAGCCATTCATGGCCACAGCAACTAAATGGAAATGGCCCAATAGCATGAATATCCTCGAGGGCCTGCAAAGTCAACGTAACCCAAATCCGCTTCCCTTCTGACATAACCGAAAATGATGATGGCTCATCTAAAAATGCACGGCGTGCTCATTCCCAATTAACATCAGAAACTTTCTCAACTTTTCGGTCCCGAACACCCTCACCAAAGAGGAGCTCTTCTCCTGCACCGGATAGTGCATGCTCAAAATGAAGCCACGTTGCCTGCTCATAAGGACAGGAGCAGGCTGACGGAGCTTCGAATAGTGGACGTCCTTGTTCTGAGTCCGGATACGATTTAGAGGAGAGGTTTATGGAGGGTATCAAGAATAGTAGGGAGGGTGAGAGGGTGAGAGTAAGGATGATGCTGAGGAGATTGAAAGTAGTAGAGAGGGCGACGGTTGCGAGCAGGCTGGTGGTAGAAGTGAAGTGAGCATCATGATCCTGCGAGTGGAAACTGAAGAGTAGGAGCCGAAAGGAGAGGAACACAAGCAGAAAAGTGAGGAAGAAGAACCTCAGGCCATCTTCACGTGGATAAACCGCCTGGCGTTCCACCACCGGTGGCGACTGAGGGAGCAAGAAAGTGGAAGGAAGATAGGGAACGAACATAGCATCAAAGGCAAGCTCGATGCCAACAAAAGCAGCTGCAGCAAAAGCCGAAACAGCAGCCGCAATTTCGGCAACAACACTGCTAGGTACAACTTCAAGACCAACAACAGCAGCAGCAGTAGCAGCAACGGGACTAGGACGCACGGTACCAGTAACACCACGATCAGCAGCCTCTCCAAATCAGGAAAAGACACCTCAGAAACAAAAAGAAGAAAAAGCCACTCCTGTCAACGACGACAACCCTCATGATTCGCTAACCCGACCTCGCCAATTCCCCCTCCCTCAAAACTTCACCTTAAGCCCTTCAACGGCCGCTTCGCAACCACATATCTCGAGAAGTTCCAAGATTCATTGAGCTGTATCGACCACTTCTATTCCACCATGCTTGCTTCTTCCCAGAGATGATGCGTTAAGCCCCTCCGCCACCTCATAATCATTCATAGAGAGAACGATGAGTTGCATTCTTCCGAAAACTTCGAGACATGGGTCAAGAAGGAGTTTAAACTGGGTGATTCGCGGCAGGACTTCGGGAGCAGTTTAGGAGGTTGGAGAAATATTATACCAACCGGACTGAGCTAGTTAGCACAATAGACTATGGAGTATTCCCAATAAACGCGCAAAAAGCTCGCTGAGCAAGATGCGCCAAGGAAATTAAGGAAGCAGAAGTTGTATCGGAAGCATGCGCTTGTGATATGCCTTCAAAAACCCAAGTTTTTGGACGATGTGGAGGGAATACTGTTTTTCATGATTGGCTGATGAAGGTCGTGCAATAAGGGTTTCGGGTAAATGTCTGATTTTACAAAATTAGATCACCCGACGAGGACGAGTCGGCCTTAGAGTGCTGGGATGAGACCAGTGACTGTCTCCTCCGACCTAGCTAGTCAACGGCGGAGCAAAATAGGTGCCAGAGTGGGCGGGCTCGGCTGTCCGTTTGGGCCATTCTGGCTGAAAAAAGGGCAAGCTCGCGCAGCGCTAACTGCTATACCATGATCTGTTTAGAACAGACAGATATCATTGCAGCACGGCTGTGCTTTTCGTAACCATCGCAAAGAAACACGCAGTCCTCGCCATGCGTCATTACCAGCTGTGTAATTCAGAGATCGATTAGCAGAAATAGACATCACTTTGGTCCTGGAGCTTTGCGTGGTAACAACTGACGTTCATCTGTTCCGAGAGTTCACACTCAGCCTCACAACTTCCTTTTCCAGAAACACCTCGGCACATTCAGGGTCCCATCCCTCGGCCGCTTGGCATCACTACGTCTGACGCGCTTCTGGATGGCCCTCCAGGAGCTAATCATGCACCTGATGGCTCGATGGCACCCCATCTACTGCCCCTTAGGGTAGCACGATGATGCAACAGGGTGGGGCATCGGCATGCCGTGCATCGGGCGGTGACCCTCTCCCGGCGACATCACGCCCGTGAGCAAGATGCCAGATGGTATACATTTGCGCCCAACGCTTATCTTCAGGATGCTGTTGAACTCTTTGTTAGCAGCCGGCAATCCCACGAGCAATTCCACAAACGTCATCACCATGCCAGACGAAACAGCTAACGCCGAAACACAGCTTGTCCTCCGACAAGCGGACTCCTTCTCCGACTCGAGCAGCGACTCATCCCGCCGCGCGCTCCAACGACGGCAGCGCGGCTCAAAGCAACAATCGCCCAATATCCTCATCCGCCCAACCTACCCCTTCCCCAAACCCGAAGAGTACAACCTCAGCGGGCCGTTCGAAGGTATCGGCATCTCACGCTACCTCCGTTATTTCGAGCGCGCATGCAGCCAGTATGGCCTCGTTCCCAGCTTAGCCAACCACCCCGCTGCGACGGGCGTGTTGGTGCGATACTTTTCCACGTGGTGCAGCGACGATGTTGCTGAGGTCGTCTGGCGCAAGGTCAACGAAAAGGATGGGTCGTGCGAGTGCCATACGTGGGCCGAGTTTGTGCGGTGGGCCAAGAGGCATTGGGTCGCGCCGGATCCGGACCAGGACTCGAGGAAACGGGTCACGAAGCTGGAAAAGTGGTATGCGCGGAAAATTGAGCCGGTTACGGCGATGGGTATAATGAATGCCTTGTACAAGCTGGACTCGCTGCTGGCCAGGATACCAGATGAAGATGCGAGGGAGGTGGCGACGAGGGATGCGCCGAGGATGTTTTTAAACCACAAGCTTTCGAGGCGAGCGGCGAGCGCCATTTGCGCAAGAGGGTTCAAGTTTTCTGGAGAGGCAGAGAAGATGGAATTTGATGAGTTTCTTCAGTGGATGATGAAGATTCTGGAGGATGGCTTTGAGCTGGAGGGGCGGTTCATCTGTCTTCAGGACGAGCAGTCAGATTTGGAGACTGAGGACGATAAGGATTGAAAAACGAGCAGCGAAACAGATTTCTCACAAGTAGCATCGGATCTTGCTTTCGCCATTGTTGATATGACCTCAGATTCTTTGAGAGCGAAAGCCCAGATGGCACAATGGCCATGAAAGCACTCGAGTCCGTGAAACATCGACAAATTCATTGATACCGAGGCCGAGACAACCCTTCATCCGGGACGACCAGCACAAAGATATGTATCTGAACGAGCAGTGACTAAAAGCCAAATAGGCAGAACAACGGCTGAGAGGGCAGGTTCACTTCAAGGTCAAGACCAAAGGGTAAGTTGATAAGAGGGATTACTAAACTGGGGGATAATAGCATGCCTGGCCTTTCTGGAAAACAGTATCGGTAATTATTTTGATAGGAAAGCATTGGGGTTAGGACTTAGACTGAAACATGAGCATATTGTGGAGTCGATCGCAGTTCCTGTAATTAAGCTCTGGTTGACCCTTTCGTCTACAACGCTTTTGCCAAGAACGATCCTCTTTAACTGAAGGAAAAAGAGTGCTGCAAACTCAACCTTCCCATCTTATCCATCAACTGCATATGCAAAGCCCGCGCAGTAGCACTGATGGTCTAAGTCATTGATCCATCAATACAAATACCAAGAGCAACCTGATTATCGACTCCAAAGCGTGCAAGCAGGACAGCCAAGGCACAACCCCAGGCCATGAATCCTGGAGAGCATTTGGTGGCGCGCCCATTTCGTGACATCAAATTCTCCCGATCCCCTAGGGAGGGCCATCCCCTCAGCACCATCATACCTAAACCCCTCCTCTCCACGTTTCCTGAAGCGACACTCCTAGTACCCCCGCTCTCCCCCTTCCATCGGCGATGACCCCTCACTCGAACTCTCCCGGACATCCTCCCCAAGCAAAACCTCAAGATTCTGCCTCGCCAACGCCAGCGTATGTCCCAACGCCATCAACTTGGCCGACAAACTCATCAAACTCGGATCTGCACTCTCCACTCTTACCTTCTCCCTCACATACACATCAATCCACCTCTTTTTCGTCCCTGACAACGGAGCTCCCTTGGTAGAAGAGGATGTACTCGACGTGGTGCGTGTAAGTTGCGGTCCTGGCGCTGGGCTACCGGCATGTTCGATCAGATTCTCCCGGTCTTGATCGTCGGGATATGGGATCGTAGAGTGATTGCAACAATAACCGAACACACGTTCTGCCTCATCATGTTCTAACCTCCGTGCTGTGCCGATCGCAAGCGCGAGTTTTGTCCCGAACGCGACAGGTGCGTCGAAAGGTTCTAGCGTCCGTAACCAAAGGACTAGACAGGCGTCTTGTATGGTGAGGTAAAAACTCAGCGCGGGCGTGGAACTCCCTGAGTGTGGTTGTGCCAAGGGAGGCGTGAAATGTGACGGAGCAGCAGAGCGGGACGTCCAGGCCGGATCTGTTGTTGGTAATGGAGCGCCTTTGAGCAGGGCTGAGGCACGGGAAATATGTTGAGAAAGCAGGCGGAGTTGGGCAGAGAGGAATTGCGGGGTGGAGGATGGCTGATGGTCTTGAGAAGGTTCGGATGGGTAGGAGTAGGAGAGGGTCAGAGTGAGCAGGTCGATGGATTGGTTGAGGAGGGACTGTAGCGATGTGAGGGGGGCGAGATGGATGGGGTGGTCGGGGTTGAGGGTGAGGGTTTGGTGGGGGAGGGTTCGAAGACGAAGATGTATCGTCTGCAATGCGATGTCAGTTGGGATATTTCCGCATACACATATACGCTTCAGATTGGCGCACGCACCCCCTTCACAATTCTCGTCCCAACCCTTGTAACAGTTCCTTTGACAATCTCGTTGCGCGGCGTGCTCAGCACCAGCGTGCTCCCTGGGTCAATGGGTGCCAGTAGCGCGTAGCAGTCTTCGAGCCCGTGCTTGATGTTTACGAGGGTTTCGCGCAGCTCAGCAACAAACCATTCGAGTTCACGTTGCTGGACAGTCAGTTGTTGGAGCTCCTTCCATGATCTGGGGAGGCATACCTGCGCGGCTTTGACCTCTCGCTGGAGGTGGTCTGGGGGAAGGGGAGGGTAGATATCTATCGACATGTCGCTGGTGCTTTATGAACAAGGATTAACTGTTCATATCTGGAAAAGAGGGACTATCTGAAGCTGCCAACAGCCCGTTAGTGTGCCCGGTCACAAAGCCCTGGAGCTGCCCGTCGCGCAGTTTAGTCTTCCTACGGTGATAACGAGAGCGATAAGACCATCTTATCAAGGGGCCTCGGCAGAGGTTAAGCGGGACACCCCAGATCTTGGCATGCAAGGTTCTCCGTAGCCCCACCATCGCTCGCGACTGGGCTTTTCAGCAGAAGTAGGAGCCGCGATGGTTGCGGCAACTGCTCGCCGACTCAGACTCAAGCTCAAGCCATCGCATTGTCTCCCTGCGCAGAGGCACCCCCATCTGACTTTGCACTCTGTCCAGAATGCTCCAAACTGCATAACTGCGCAATCCAACTAGCACCTTTTCTACTGCTTTTCGCTACCCAATTTTTCAGAGTGACGTGACAATGTCTCCTCCCCACGCAGCGGAAGGCCCCGAGGGCCCAGAAAAGCCCCTCGTTAACCGACCCGATATCAAGCTTCCCCCAATTCCAAATGGTTCGTTTCCCTTTTGTTATACATACGTTGCTTCTATGATAAATAACTAACCTCTTCCAGGCTTCCGCATCCGCAAACGCCCCCTCCCCAATTCCCTCCCAACCTCCAGATCCCGCCCTTCAGCCACCATCCTTCCCGATCTAGACGGCTATCTCCCTCCCCCACGCGCCTCCCACACCATCATAATCAAAGTCTCCTCATCCACAAGCTTCATGTCCCTCGTGCGACGCGTACGTAAAGCCCTAGAGAAATCCCCCACCCAAGCCGGCGGCCAAACCTCTAGAGGACTCCCCCTCACAGCGCGTATCGCCGTGCTAGGAGTCAAACAAGCTCCGAGGAGAACGGGCCCGATTGCAGATGCGCTGGATGATGTGGTGCTTGTTGCCACGGGGAGGGCGATTGAGAAGGCAATCGAGGTGGGTGGGTTCTTTACGAGGGAGAAGGATTTGATTGTGCTAGCGAGGACTAGGACGCTGAGGGCGGTCGATGATTTGGTTGCCGAGGAGGAGGAGGCTGATGTGGAGGAACGGTCAAGGGTGAGGAATGTCAGTTGTGTTGAGATTGGGATAAGGTGGGCATAAAGGGTGTTTCGGTGTCCGGTGGTTGGTTGTCGGATAGACTGGATGGAATGGCGGCCTGGATGGGTAGAATGTGGTCGTTAAAGAAGTCTCAGATTATCACGGTATGGCGTTACGGTTACAGAATGGTTTAGAGTACGGCGTTTAGGGTATGAATGCGCAACGGTCATGTCTTTGGCCTATTAGCATAGCTATGGGATGGTACTACTAGTTGATGGCTGGCAGTCATGATCTTTGTCACCAGTAATCTTTGTCGACGGCAACGGGGCACTAAAGGAGGCTGGAGCAAGAAGTATATGCTAAGCCAGGTAAATGATCAGAGCTGAAGTTGTGATCGTCATTGACATTCACATTGTGTCTCATCTTTACCTAGTAAAGTGAGTTCCAGTGTCCTTCAGAAACATGTCTTAAGGACTTCCCCGGATATGGACCCTGCTGCCAGTCTAATGAGATGGTTTGACGAATGTCGGGGGCGCTTATCACTCATAATCTCGAGCTATGCACTTCCGCTAGGTCTCCAACAACCCTAAATGGTTGAGTTGTGACCACAGAGCCTTGGTTCCGTTGTAACTTTCAGTCGTTCCCATCGAGCATTTGTCTCGAATAGAGTTCCTTGGAAGCTTTGTGTACTCGTTAAATTCACAGGACTGCTCCTGTCTGAGTCAAACCCTAAGTAATACCGGAGATCATTTGGGATTACGAGCCCCAGTTCCACATGCGTTCCTCTCTTCCCTAGTGTTCATAGACTTCAGATTGCAAGCTCATATCTTTAATCGTTGCCAGCATCATACAATCGATGCTAACGTAATAAAAAATTTTTTCTGCTCAACGAACAATCCAGCTGAAAACGTCCATTCAGGAGCACCTACCACAAACACAGAGCTCATCACATTGACCCAGCATTATCTGCCAGAGACTTGATTTTACTTCTTTCAACAAGGACATCTATTTCATGTACCAAAACGAGATAGCTGCTCTTTCGCAAGCATTGAGCCCATAAGCCTTAATCGTTCGACTTATGAGCTTATCGGTCATATGTCGAATGTCAAAAGACTTTGAGGCAGTAATACGGATTGAAGAGATTGGAAAATTGGGAGACACTTTCCCTATTTTTTCACGAACACCATGCCAACGGTATGATGAAGAGACTTATGGAAACGGACTACGCTTGGAGACTTTCAACTTGTAACTTGCACTTCTGAGAAGTAAACAGTTACACAGTTTTTGAAGGCTTGAGGTCTTCAAGCCACAGAACGCCCCTCTATTGGGAGAAAAGTGTAGATTGTGTCTCCTGCCTATTCTACCTCTTACTTATGCATGATTCTGAGCGCTTCATGATCTCGAGGAATGGCAATTGACCACCAATCAGTGCCATAGTTAAACATCCGGGAGTAAACACTCTGTTGACCACAGACTTACCCATGAGAAGTTCCGAATATGTCTTCTCAGACCAAGCAGATAGCAACAGATAGGAGGATGAGGATTTCCAACTTACATGCTTGGTGTACTTTCCTAAAGTTCCAAACGCCGAGGTCTCAACAATCCCGGGAGTAATTCTGGTAATGGACTGGACCTGCGGAGGAACTCAGCACGTTATCCTCACCCACAATCGCCCTGCTTCTTTCCCATATCACCGGCAGCAGAGAATGAGCGAATTGGTGTCATCTACCTAAGATTACCAACAGCCTGCCACTTGCATGAGGCGGTGTCCTTCCCGCCTCGGAGTCTGACTAACATGATCAGACATTGGGCGGAGCGGCAAATCTTCAGCAAACGCGGCACCTCTGAATGACATGACAGCCCCACGTCAGTCGTCGAAAATGAGGGGCAGCCAGACGAGTTGCCGAAAGTCAAGTACGTGTGTCAGCATGATCCTGAGAGGTAGAAGAAATTGTGCATTTCAGGCTCGCGTGTGCCAACAAAAAGCCCAAATTGCAAACGCAATACGCTGCAACCGATAAGTCCCAAGCCCTCGGGCGTGGGGTTGCAAAAAAAACCTTCCTCTTCACGGGCTTGCGGATATTCGCGCATTAGCAGGTTGCATCCACTGGTTGTGGCCTGGCGATTCACAGGCTGACACATGGCCAGATCGTTCGGACTACCACCACTGTCACTGTCTTGACAGTCTGTGCCCAACGTTGCATGGCAGGGTCAAATATGTCGACAAGAGCTGTGATGAAGTTGAGCTTCGAGGTGACCCGAGATCCAAATAGACATGGAACGGCTCCTGGTCCCTGGAGCTGGACTACTCATCACCAGAGACGGATGGATCTTCAGAAACGGATCTGGCCATCTCACCTTGTGACGCGTTGCGGAACCCCCCGGACGTGCCAAGCCAACTTAAAAATGATCCTTCCTCTTTGGGCCCAGGCTTGTCTCCTGAGCACGGTCCGCTTTGGCGGCACATCATGTCAGGCACACCAATCAGAGTGCGCTGTTCAAATTGCTCAAATTTCACACCATTGGCACCGTCTTTCTTGGTCTTTGGGTGTTCTACTTGCCGCCGGGTTGGCGGTTCTGCTTTATCCGCCCAAAGAACATCGGCAGGCCGCATGGGTTGTTGAGCCACCGCCAGCCAGAAAGTTCGACCGCATGCGATGGGTTCTATAGTGACTGAGACCGACTCACGACGACGCGTTGCGCGCAACCTACGATAGAAGCAGTGGCGAGGATATTCTGGGATCCTTTTTGGTCGCGGCTGTGCCTGGAGCGTTTCAACGCCCGGCAGCAAAATGGTCGATGGTAAGCAAAAGGCACAGCATACTCCTTTTGGCACAGCCCGGCGCCGCAGAGTCGCATTTTGACGCGGTTTGCAGAAGGCGCAAGGGCACAGAAGGGACAGAGTCAGCAGGGCAGATTCCGCGCTGGCGGCCAATTGCCAGTACCAGCCAAGACCTGCAATTTCCCGTTGAGAAGCTTCTTCCGCCGTCGCCCCCACAACGGCCCGCCGGTTCTTTCTGGGCAAGCTCAAGCCGTTTCCTTTCACTGGCTTTGGCCAACGAGCTCGCACAGATGCTCCGATGCGCATGCGTTGATTGCAATTGAAAGATTTTTCTGTCTGATTCTTTTGTTTCTTTCTGCGTGTCGCAACCCAGAAAGTTGCTGGCTGCCGTTGGGTTTTACCGCCAGGAGAAACGATTGGGGAAGGAGTGAAGTTGGGCGTGGACCCCTGCCGTTGCCTGCCAGGAACCAGTGCCTGGCCGCTGCAGGTACCAGAGCAACCCTCGTGGCACCAATGGCACCAATCCTTTTGCAGACAAGCTCTCCTGCTCTGAGCGGCCCCCTGCCAGACCAAGCCCAAGGCGGCTTGTGTTTTTGGTCGCTTGCTACAGTCTTGGCAGCCAGACGCAATTTGCGCCTGACTGTCAGTGAGCAGCGCCAGACCCCCGTTCTCCATCCGCCCCCGGCGCCCCCAGACCCCAGATATCGTGGGCTTCTCGCTCCCTGTTCGCCCCGTCTCCCTCATTCGCTTTCTCTTTTTGCTTTGCCGTGCCTCAAAACTCCCCCCTTCCAGGCCTCGTTCGCAGAGTTTTTACATTGGAGCCATCCTCCGACCTTGAATACTCGACGTATTCAGTCTGTCATTCCTTCTCTCGCGCTCCAGTTCGCAGCTTGCAGTTGGCACCCTCGCTCTGCACTCACTCACACCACGCCGGCATTGGCCATTGAAGCTCATTTTCACAATCACGTAATCATTCGCCTCCTGATTGCTAACTCGTCTCGCGCCTTGACGACTCTTGGAGGGTGTATCTCAGCTCTGTCGACAGCTTGGGGCTCACCTTCACTCATTCAGTACCCTTAGCTCACGAAACATTCATACAACTTCAGAAACAAGATCCAAAATGCGTCTGGCTACCATCCTGAGCGCTGTTGTCCTCCCCCTCGCTGCCCTCGCGGCTGAGGAGAAGATTACAACAGTGACATCCACAACAGAGGTGACTCTCACCAAAACCGTGACCCTGCGTCGCGCCCAAGTCACCGGCCACGTCAATGGCACTGTTGTCTACACCACTACGCCAACCGCTACGGCAACCACCACATCAGAGGCTGCTGCAGCCACCGCGACAGACGAGAACGCTGGTTCGGCGTTCGCTCCAGCCAAGTTCGCGGCAGCCGCCTTTGCCAGTCTCGTTGCAGCTGCCCTGCTTTGAGTTTCTTAACGGCTGTTTCCGGCCTGCAGGTGAACGCTGAGGACCAAGAAGTCTCGGCTTTGTTTCCTTTTCAACTTCGATGCGAGCATCAAACCAATTCATTCTTTCGAGGGCCGAGCGAGCAACTGAATGGGTTCCTTTCGACAGTCCTATCCCAGGATCCAACACGGGATGTGGAATTATTCGGGCATGACCACGAGGGTTATGAGTGTCGCAACGCATGAGCAGTCATGACGACCAGACTCCGACACTTCCTCCCTGGACACCCGCCTCCGTTCGATTCTTGGCAGGCCAGGACGCCCCGATACTGTCGATACCTTGACGTTGACTCAGTTCAACCTACACCATTTTCTTTGTGGCTTAACATTTCTTTCGTTCTCCCGTCAAGCTACCTTGACGCCATCCAGCTTAGCAATGCACACGAGGCTCCCCCTTTTCACGCCGCTTGCGGTGCGCTCACGATATATACTTGGATATGACCACGGACAAACACAGGATTCGACACATCATATACCCAAAGCCTTGTGTTCATATATCCACGGACATACATATCTTATTCTTCTCTCGTGGCCTCGGAGTTCGACAAAGTGGCTTGCCAGCTGGACTTTTTACTTGCTTTTCATGGGCTGATCTGGGACGGATCTTGACTTTTGCAATACCATAGGGGGCGGTTGATGGAGGGCAGGGTCGGGATCTGGTTTCATATCACGGTGCGTTCTTGACACGATCACATAAAAAGCAATTTACAGGCTTTGAACTTATGAGGACATGAAGACGTTTTTCGTTTGGGATGAAGGCGCGATTGGAGTCTATGCCGTCAGTTTTGGCCTTTCGATTCTTGGTTACCCCCTTTTTAGCCTTCTATACACACCCCTTTTTGTTGATACCCTCTTTTGTTTTACTTCGTTGTCAGGTGAAATTTAAACCTGACTTGCGATATCTTAGGGTTCTTGTATTTGAGTGTTTTATGGCGAGGGTCCGAAAAAAATAGTCGGTCGCTTGTAGTTTCCTTTTGATCATTACAGGTGTAGTTTGGTATGAATGATATGCTGTTGAGCGCAATCACTTCGACTTCGATTGAGCCCACTCCAACTTCAATGTGAGAGCAAGCAGACTTTCGTCAGTCCCAACCCCAGGACCACGTCACCTCCAATTACATCGTCCGTTACCTGTTTCGAGATGTTTGCGCTGTGCTTTCCCTACGCTCCAGCCCTAACACTGGCTCTGCCGATCCTGAATCCAAAACTTGTTGAGCATTGCCGCAGAAGCGACAGAGTAAGCGCGGCGTCATAGGAATAGTGGCTGAGCCGCCGCCGCTACGATCAACTTGAAACGCGCTTAAGTAGGCGCCGACTCTACCTCAACTGAGAATTTGGCAATAGCAGAGGTAATAAAGCAGCTCTTTAGCTCAACTTAATCATCGAAGCTCTCCACAAACTCGCTCTTCAGCGTAGACCTTCTGGAACGGAGACGCATCTTTATGCTTCAATCCATAGCTTTTTGCCAGGGATCGGATTTCTTATGCCATGTTATACAACTTTCGAGGCTTTGCTTAACAAACCCCGGGTAGTGGGGCCAGTTGTCGGATCGGACCGATCACCCGATGTTTTTCCTTTTTTATCCCATTCGCTCCCGTTGTGGCCCACCTGCTTTTTTGGGAAGAGGGAGGTCTGTGCTCCTCGTTCCTGGCCTCCCCTTTCCGTTCCGTCTGGAAAACGCGGGGAAGCGGGCGCTCAACGGGCAGCGTTTCCCCAGACGGAGTTCAATTAGCTCCCCAGTCTGACCCACCGTTATTTTGTTGTGCTTTGAGCGGTTCGTGATAATTTTCGCCTTTTGTCCCTTCACCCTTCTCCCTTGTGTTGCCTTGCCGTCTGACCTCACGGCTGATTAGTAAAGCCCCAGATTTTTCCTTTTCGGAACTTCCACATCTCCTTCCAAGATCGTCCGTGGTGGCGAAACTGTCGGCTGTCATGGTGTCACGATGTGAATGTCGATCGGGATCTCGTTTATGAATATTGTGCAGCTGATAACCGAAAACTAGAAGTTGTGACATTGTTTAGTAAATGTCTGCAAAGATCAATTCGAGGTGGAGTGGACAGCACGCAGGGAGGACAGCAAGGTAAGTTCCCTGGGAGGTAATCATCGTGATTTGTGGACCACGACAGCTCCTCATTGAATACAGTGAACACGGACGTTCGGGGTATGGTGATGGTAAGTGTGAGAACGTGGAAACGCGTCCGGTAAGTGCAATTACGACGACAGGTGAACTGGCAACGAAGCAAGGTGAGATGCGGAGGGTTAGGTGAAAACCCCCAACCTGAACGAAGATCATTGGATGTCGCTATTGTTTTGATGTTTCACTCAATTCCAACTTCAGTCCCGGGTCAGTGGACAACAGTTTGCTGCGATGGGTGGTTAGGCTTGAGTCAAAGACGTCGTCGCAACTTGTCCCAGCCACTCTTGGAGACTCTCAATGTATGGCAACCCCCGACATAGGGGTCCAGGAAAGGTCACGATAACTGAAATGTTCAACTTGAGGTCCTGGTCGCTAGAAGACGATCGAATCATTATCAACTTCGCTCTCCAGTCTCATTAATTGTGTCAAAGTTTCCACGGCCTTGGCTTAACGTGACGGACGATGACAAAGCCGAGATTAGTTCGCTACAAGAAACTACCGGTAAAGCGTACGGGGCTTGAGATCAAGGCTAGTCAAAGTCATCACTCTTTTATCTTTGGGCAATTTCTGTGCCTGTCGCACATGGTACTGATATTCCCAGCTAAATATTAATACAGTACTAATAATTACACAGAACACAAAAGCCTCTCCGCTGCCAAGAGAAATCCTTTGTCAGTTCGTTTGTCAAGCATCATCATATCCACGGATAGGCATGAGCGAACCTGCATGGGATTCCTAACTGGCAACTTTACAAGTCAATCCAACCTCATTCCTTTGACCAGGTTGACCTAGCTCTCACAACCATTCCTTCCTTTTTCTCACGAACCTGTATCGCAAATTGTGAGCTATCCTTTGCACCCCCCTATGCTCCAGCACGGTAAGCACTTAAGCCTTAAACACAGCAAGCGTACTCGCAAAAGTTGCTACATTCTGATCCCACATCGCCATATCATACCCCTGCAGGGTAGCCATACTCACGGAACCGATAGTATCCAGATTATACACCTCTACCGAGAACCCACCCGGACCTCCTGTAAACGGACCATGGCCCAGTTTGCCCTTCTCACCCTCTTTGGCCAAGAGCGAGTGAGCAATCGACGGATTGGTAGTACCAACCCAAAAGATCCTCGCCTGACAATTCTCGCCGGAGAAGACTGTGCTGCAGTTGGTACTGTAGTTGTTGAAGAAGCTGTACAGGCCGGCTCCGAAGACGACTACATTCTTTGAGTCGAGGACGCGGAGGCCCCAGGCCATGGAGCAGGGTGCGTTGCCAGAAAGCGTCATGGCACTTGGGTTGGCGGGGCGCGAACAATCGACTGCGAAGTCCGGATCATGCAGCCTGTGGCTAAGTCTCGTGAAAGGGAATGGCGCAGGCGGGTTAGGCTGGTAATAGGGTGTCTCAGTCTGGATCTGACCCATCCAGACATCCGTCGCATTGACGAGCTGGTACTGGTATAGGGTGTGATGCTCAACAGACGAACCAACAAGCCAGATGCGGGTACCCTCGATAAGCAGGCCGCGGGCGACAAAGATGCTGACCCGGGTGTTACGAGGATCATCAATGTCGTGATCGGCGACCCAGATCCAGTTGTTCTCCATGTACAGGTTGCGCGCGGAAGGGGTAACGTGCATGCTCATGAAGCCGGCAATGCAATTGGCCTTGACGAGGTTGGGCTGGTCAGGGGTGATAGCACAGTCGGCGACCTGGAGCTGTGAGCCGGTAAAACCGCCGATGCGAACGTGGACGTCCCAGAGACCAGAAGGCGGAGCGCCCGGGCTACAAATACTCTCGGCGGCAGGGGTGTTGAGATTATACTCGATGCCAATGGCACCTGCAGTGGCGCCTTGAGTCGAAACAATGATATCACTCATCTCGACGTACCCAATCTCCCCTGGGTGCGCAACTTGAACCACAGGACGAGGGCGGTTCGCATCTGCAAACTTCTTGCCAGCGCCCATGATGATAGCAGAGAGCGGCTCGCCGACAATGCGTGTGTTGGGCGGAACGTAGATGGTATCGGTGACTTTGTAGACGCCGGAATCGAGGAAGGCGACATAGGGGGTATTCGCGACTTGCTGGAAGAGAACATTGAGGGCGGCAGTGTCGTCCGATACACCATCACCACGGGCTCCGAGATCGCGTGCCGAAAGGAACGACGAAGCTGGGAGATTCCCATACTGTGGCTTGGAGCGCTCGTAATAGAGGTCTCCGGTTTTGAGAGTAGGCGGTTGGGAAAAGGCAAAGTCACGACCTTCCATCAGGCGTGGGCCGCGCGGTGCATACACGTTACCCTGAACTGGTCAGCGGAAATACTTGACCTTATGAGGAATGAGACTTGCCCGAGCGTAACCATTGTCAGCAACAGCGCCGTTGGCCTCACCAAGGAGATAGGGCTGTCCCTGTGGGTTGGCCAGCACGACCGGGACATTCTGGTAGACAACGTTCTGAATAACCAAAGAGCCGAGGCCGGTGGCGTTGCCAGGATTCCGACTGGTAATCATAGCAGTTTTGACGTTGACAAACTTGCTGTCAAGCAAGATCACGGAGCCGACGTCCCAAGACGACATGTCGATGCCAACGTCGCAGTCGACGATCTTCAGCGACTTGTAGGTCCATCCCCAGTTCCATATCTGCTGGATCGCTGTACCGCAGCCGTAGAAGGACAGGTTACGCATGGTGTACTGCTGGTTGCCGAAGCGAGCACCATACTTGCCGCCGATGAAGACTAGGTCAGTGACCAGGCCGCCACTGCCCTCTTCCATGAAAATGCCGGTGTGGATATCGCCCTCCCGAGAAGAAAGTCGGAAAACGCAGTTCTGAATGGAGGTCGCCTGAGACGAAGGCCAATGGAGTGCAGTAGCATTGCCGCGAATGTCGGTCGTGTCAAAGATGATGTTGCGCAGCTGACGGAAGAAGACGTTCGTTGACTGGAAGTTCAGGTCTGCCGTCATTAGCGAAAGGAGAAAGCATGCGAAAATGCTAAGTACGTACATCCGTTGCGCAGGTATGGGTCGCCGTCAAACATTGCAATCGCTTCGGTTGGGAAAGTCGCTGCGCCCTTAATAATGGGCATGTCGTTGGGGTCGCCAACGATCTGAGTGTAGTAGAAGTCGACAATCGGGCTATTGATCAGGTAGGTACCAGGAGGGAAGTAAACCACAGCAGGAGTAGTGGTCGAACCGACGCAAGAGGGGCCGCCGCAACGATTGCCTGAGCTGATCGCAGCATTGATGGCGGGAGCATCATCGGTAACTGCCTTCGTAAGCTATGATCTTCACCAAAGGCAGGAGCTCACTTACCACCATCACCCTTTGCGCCAAAATCTTTGACATTTCGGAAGACAACATAGGATTTGTCAGGATTGAACGGGGCGAGACCCTGGTGGCGGATGTTCTCCATCCAGAAGCCGGTCCAGGCGCAGGACGCCATGGTCAGCAAAAGAGCCGAGATGGCTCTCATAGTGACTGATCGAATGAAGTCACAGTCGAGGATTATGGAGAAAACGAGTGACGGAGCAGTCTTTTGTTGATCGAAAGGGAAACTCACTACAAGAAGGATAGCAAGTCACAGAGAAAACGAGAGTATGCTGTCGGACCTTCTTTGGGAGACGGGAATGAGGAAAATGGAGAACAAGCAATGTAAACAAAGTCGGTGGGGGAAATATAAGGGCATGATAATAATTGGTCAGGAAGCAGGCAGAAAGTAGAGGGGCCAGATCGCGATGCGATGAGAAGGGCAGGAAGGTTCATCACGGTTGCTCCTTCCTCCTGAGTGCTCAACAGTCAGTATACCGGGCTAAAGGGCACCTTGTCACGCACACCTCGCCTCACATTGATACGGGACAAAAAGAATGAAAAAAAACTGCAATTTTGAAGATAGAACACTGCTAGCACATGAGATTCTTGCATAGAATGGGAATGATGAGCGGTTTGCTCGCTGAAATCCACTGTAACCAGCAGAACATGTGGGATTAAGTGAGGGAGATAAGGTGGGAAAAGATGGAAAAGAGGATCTTCAATTGACAGTTTGCACAGTCCCATCCTCATTCTGGTCAACTGGACCGCAAATCATCAGGGACTGCGCTAAGTTGGCCATGGAGTGTGGTCATTCATTATCGTGGGTGAAGAAGGGGAGTGGACGTAGGCGTTGTGTGGATATCCCATTATCGGGGATCCGGCCCTGATAGACATTCTTAGCCCCGCGCCATTTGTCAATGTCACCCCAGCATCACTATCTCCAATCCCCCTACCCTTCACCTCTTCCTGGTTGTGGGCCAGCCATGTCCTCAACCAGTGATGATAGAATTGCAACACATTTATTGTCACACCTGCAGCCTGGAATATCATCGGTGACAACTATTTCGAAAGCAGCATGGCTGAGGAGAGAACTCTGAGCTGAAGCGGATAACTCACTCTCCGCAACTTCATCGCTTCAGCTATCTATCCATGATATCTGTCCTAACCCTGACTGATTGTGCAACGAATATGAGTTTACGCTCAGCTGCAGACCAAGTCATGGAGACGGAGACTGGTTGCATCATATCTTTGCTGACCTTATTGTTCCCCTCTCTTGAGTTTCTGCTTACCCTCATGACTTGCTCAATACGGTGACCAAGTCAAATCATTGGACATATATGAGGACGAAGCAGCTCTTTCACACTTGCTCTGGTTCTACCCCTCTTTCGATGCGTTTCCTTCAGTGCATCTCCAGCATTGGGTTGCTTCACAGGCTTTCAATTGCTCCAGCACCATAATTCTGCCTATCATCATGCCCAATTACCCGAGCTTATGGCGGAGTCCCTAGTTACCAAGCCAAGAATGCGCCAGCCACACCGCTCCAGTGGCGGCCTCAGCTCATGCAGGAGCACGACTAGCAGAGCTAAAAACACCACCGCAAAACCTCCTTTGGCACGCTTTTCACTGCCTTTGATGAGGATGAGGGCGACCAACTTGGTGACGCCTGTGTCTTTTTTTGAAGACTGATGATTGACAGTGGAGGTAAAATTGCCGTTTGACATCAGTTGCACGTGCCATCACACGTTAAGTCGTCGCATCACCTGTCGTTGGCTTAGGCACTAGAACCCTTGATATATAGGACCAAAGTCCGTAACACCCTCTTCATCTCAATACGAGCACGCTGAGTCTTTCAACCAAGTTTTCAATTGCCGCCTTTGATTGACTACCCCTTCGACACGAAAAAGATATCCCATTATTCACACCTTATCAAGAGTATTTTACAAGACACCCACCAAGATGGTCCGGCTTTCAAGAATATCCACCCAGGTGACCTTTCTCGCGCCCCTCCTGCTACAGGGAATCAGTCAGTTAAGCGCAGCTCTTGTCTCTCCTTACGATCAGACAAGTCATGACATATTGGGCCTTTCACCGACTCCGTCTCCAAGCACCATCTTTCCTGTACCTGCTGAACCTCATGTCGCCTTGGAGCGTGATAAGTCCATTCTAGCCGACTCAGTTCCAGTGATCATCTCCCAAGAAACTGAACTCATTTCAGACAACATTGCTCTAGAGCCCAGGACCCCAAAAGGAGGGAGAGGAGGCAACAGCAGTTCAGGCTCCAGTTCAGGCTCCAGCTCGGGTTCTTCCAGTCAGAACAGCGGCCCTATTGCTGCGGACTCCGGTTCCCATGCCAACTCCAACACTTCGCCCGATGACTCCACAACCACACATAAGCCCAAGAAGCCAAAAGTCAAGGGCTGTTCTGAGGACATCTCCGAGTGTCAGTGCGATTGCATGAAGACCTCTGCGACAACAAGGTGGAACATTCTCCCGACGACAATGATGTCGGCAACTGCTACTCCTACGCCTCAATTGAATGACGAGCTGATGTGCTGTGATTGTCCTTGTGCGAATAGTTCAGGAGCTTGGCATGGGGTTGACCTTGGTGCTGCGCTGATGGCTGGCGGAGTTCTTCTTCTTGCTGCTGTGCTCCAAGTGGTTGTAAGTGGTCGATGGCTGTGAGAAGATGTAACAGGATCTGTACAAGATGATGATCAAAGGATGCTCTTCTGATCTTTACGTTGTATCGAAAATACCTAATAATGGCATTCTGAGCGGGTTGAATCTGGATCCTCTGTATCCTTAGTTTTGTATGGAGTACTTCTCGAGTCCCATTACATTTTTTCCTACCAAGGGTGTATCACGGCACGTCAAAGAGCAATCAATGTGCTTACTGCCACCATCCTCAGCAAGTGCCAATCTTCACAAAGTTCTTATTACATATGATTTCAATGAACAGCACAGTGTGCTAGTTTAGTCAACCCCTTGTGTTTACCATTTGTCTTTTTTGTAGTGACCTCCCGAGTAGATGGCGCTAAAAAGAGAAGGCACCCTGCAGCTCCAGATGTCAATAATTCCCAAAGGTCAAGGGAGACTTATGTAAGAGACTACTAAGCTCGTCGGACACACAAGACGGATACAAGACCAAGACTGCATCTTTGTCGCGACCAGCCGTGTCCACATGACCGGGCGCGCATAGTTATTCCACTCTCCCTCTTGTTATCAGTTTTATGTGATTGACTAACTAATTAGAACTTTCCCAACTCTGATGTCTCTGCCTTTAGATTCTTCCGTCAAGTATTCCAAAGACGTTCATGTTTAACTTTGTGCTAATTAAAGGTAGATGTAACCCAAATGGGTATGTGAACTCAGCTATTACCGTGCAGCCTTCTTGCATAGGCAGTACGTGAGTTGCTGTGATATAACCACGCGGTGAGTTCAAGGGATACGACCACCTGACACAAGGTCAATGATGGCCAGCAGTATAGTAGCAACCAACCATAGGACACATTTGTCCCTTATACAATATCGATGTGAAACCTTTTTTTGGTTATATTGGTGAATATCATAGGGCATTAGCACATGGCTGCAACCGTATTCGACGAAATCCCTGCAACAGATTTATGCTATACCCATTGTCATCGATAGCAGATCCACCTGTGCACTGTTGTACACAGCAGTTCTCCTACTCTTGCACCAACAAGCTTGACGCTTCATCTTTGTTTAGGACTGAGTTACAGGCTGGGATAGATGCTTTGTCACGACAAACAACGACTCTATCTGAGAGAGTAGCTTCCGTGCAACTCACTGATCGGAGTAAAAGGGAGTTGTGACCCATCAAACTCGGATATTCGCCCCCAACAACTGAACATTGGGAAAATGTTCCTCAATACCCAAGGATGTTGATTCTCAACAGTCTGTGCTGTTGAGGAAGAAGGAAGGGAAGCCACAAGAGTTCATGAGATGTATATAGATTTCAAGCAGGGCCATCTGGCCCAAGAAACTACTTAGTCAGCAATACAAAGAGTTGCTTGCCAACTGATAACCACAACGGCCACTTTGGTTGTGTGAGAATTCCTGTCTCTCAATCCAGCAGCCTGGAATCTCTTGAACCCATCTCAGGTGGTCTGTCTGGATTGTTACACGCTTCTTTGTCTCTTCTAGATTGGCACGGTTTAGTAGAAGGCTGGTTGACTTCACTGTTCTCTTGGATGGTTTAACCTTGAGCCTGTAATCCAAAGGGTAATGTGCCTCAACTACGTGCGAAGTATGATTTGCAGTTAGAGAGAAGCCCCTAAATCAACCTGACATTTGGAGCGCAACAGAGTTGCTTGCCACGAAACAGCGCTTCCCAAGCACCCACAGGCTGCCATGGGGTAGCCTACATTTGAGGAAGGCGGAGAACAGAGCCAAACTGACCAAGTAAATGAAAAACCTCTTTGTGGAGAATTGATACAAGCATTTGATAGAATCGTAAGCGAGAATTTGGGTTGTTTCAATGACCACAAGGAGTGAGATGTCAAGAAAGAGGTGGACTGTAAAGCATTCCGCGGGAAAGGCGGCTTAGATGATGTGAAATGTATGACTGTAGCATCAAAGACTTAGATTATCTAGCCTGATATAGTGGCAGAAAGTATCTAAATGCCCAAGTCCCATGATATACCAACTATATTATATTGGTCGCACTTAAAAGGCACGAATGCCTTCCTATTCTAGTCCTTTCAATGGTGGTGAGAGCCAGTGGTCTGTGCTCTAGCGCCAAAAAGAAATTTAATCATTTGCTTTTGCGAACGTTTGTCTGAAACAAATACTAGACAACATATCAGTGAATGTTGTGTCATGATCCGCATTTGCAAATAAACTAATTATGTTTCATCATTTTTGGCGCCTCAAATACATTTACATGTGCATTCACTTAGTGCATGGTGAGCGTCTCACATCGTTATTTGTGTTCTTTGCTGTGTTGTTCTCATAACGAACCCAGCCGTCAATAGTTAAATGATGGAAGAAAGGGGGAAAATATTACGATAAAGAGAATCTCTCCCTTTCTGGGAGGAAGATAAACCACCAATGTCATGTCTTCTGCGGGCATCAGTGCCGTTTGATTTAATTATTGTGCAAGTTGATCTTTTTTTTATCATTCTAATCTAGTCGGTGTTGTATTCTTCTGATTGGTTAGAGCAGCATCATTTTTCACCGATGGTAAACCAGTGTTTTGCCTTCCTTAATCCCGACAGGAGGATTTTCCATAAATCAATATCTGCCAATTACTGGTATTTCATATCTGCATTATTTTTGATTATGTTTACCTTGACTGATTTTGCAAGTCTTTCCCTGCAATTATTAGTATGCTCTTTTGACCTTGCTCTCTGGCGTTGGTGCCTTGAGGACCATAACCTGGAACATTGAGTCTTTATTTGATTTTCTTTTTCTTCACCTTACCGCTCGAGCTCCGCATCTGAAAAACAGTCTTATTAACCAATCATTACAATGCTTGACTGGTGCAATGCCCCATTGATGCCGTCAAGCGAGAACCTGGGCACACACCTCACACTAATACTTTAACTTTCGATAAGCTTTCAATCCACAACAGTCTTGTTCCGGCTCATTGGGGCACACGTATGGAAGACAGTCAAATAGCAACATACTTACTGGGAGCAGCTGAAATCAAGTTGTAAGATACTGGATAGAGCATTTCACAATAGCTTTGTCATTGATGCGGGACTGTGTGGAAGAGAAAGAAACATTGATCGTTTTTATAGAAGCTGGATGCTGGAGGAACAAGAGGAAAAACGTATTTTAGAATGAAACTGAACTATCGGAACACAGTCACCTAAGAATAGTGACGCTCTTCACAAAGAAGCCAGGAGCCGCTTTTGGCTCAGCTAGTTGCCAGGGCAACATGCCAAGAATTCAGGGGTTTATTTACTTTGCAAAAATCTATCTGAAAAATCTGGTATCAAGGTTAGTTTCCCAAAGTACTCCTCTCTGAAAAGTAGTTAAGATAAAGCTCAAAAGTCATGCTACATAGCGCCATGCATTGATTCTCTTTTACTACAGTCATGTCTTTGTCACAAGTCCACCTGCTGAAATCAAGCTCTCTGCAGACCGGGACGGAATAATTAAAGACAACTGCAACTCATTGACATTGGTGAATAATAAAGGTATATCTCCAATTGGAGGTCTATGGTGCCAGGACTTGGTTCTGAGTTGTTAATCCAAACGGTGGGAGTTAGAAGTAAAGCAGTATCCCTATGTGTACTAACTTAGAGTAGAAAATAAAGTGGCGTGCCCTGTAAGTCGAGACATTGTTACTATTCTAGAGTCTCTCCATGCCCTTGCATAACAGAGAGGGAATGAATGGAAATGTAGAGGTAACAGCATGTACTCTGTAGTATTCGATATACTTCGTAGGACCAATTAATTACATGGTCCATCAGATGCTAGGGGATATCGAAGGACTTTGGTCACTTACTTTTGTAACCGAGACAAGTGGCAGATGTGCATCCTAAATGTTATCAGATAACATCCTTTGTCAAGATGTTATATTGTCGCAGCATGGGCCCTTGAGAGGCGCCTAAAGGAGACAAAACACCATTTAACCCCCATATCATTTCCGAGAATACTTTATACTATGTACCTTTATTCTTGTGCCACTACAGTGTTCCATCCAGTTTACTCATGATCTCAATACGCTAAAAAAGAAGTATATAGTTGTCATTTACACTGCCAGTTGATATCACTGGGGCCAAAACTCAAGAGCCGGAGAGAACCTATAGAAGAAAAAGCTTATAGTGTTTCATTCAATATTTCCCGTTACCCGGAGACTGCAGGTACTGATCAAGCCATTAGCAGGTGGGTTTCCATCAAGAATAACCCAATTTTCTGATAACTAATACTCAAACATGGTTAGATCCAGCATGCTTGATCTTTATTGGAAGAGGCTGGCATGGCTCCGACTCGAGAGGGAAGATGTCTCATGTCATTTCAACAACCTTACTCACAGTCGTACTGACAACAGTACACAGAATTTGTATCGAAAACAGTTCCTATGCGGAGAGGAGGACATCAGCGATGGGCGCAAAAAAAAAAAAAAAACAAGCAGCCTAATGTTGGTTTAATCGAAATCCGACGTGGGGCAGAAAGATAAGTCCGAATAAAGGCGTTATAGAATGCACAAAATGATCGAGAGGGGAGTCCATACTACCAATTGTACAGACTTTTCCAAGAAGATAGTCTAGGGAACCCGCTAAAAGCAAGTTACTGCGCAATATAGAGTTGCGTTAGAATTGGCCATCTACCATGTATGGAGCATTAAAAGCGTTAATATCCTTGAGGGAGAATGAAAGTACACGATGCTATTCAAGTAGACTTTGTCCCCCAAGACCGCTTTGCTATCCGTTCTCATGTCTGAATGGACCTTTGCTTTTGTTTTGTATGCATCTGACACGTCATCGTTGATTCATGTTACTTTCTGTGGATTATTCAACGTATTAGTTGGCTGTTAAATCGGCTACAGTTCCCTTCGTCACCTTTATCTCGTTGCCTCCATCGAAAGAACTCAGAAGGCCACACCATGATCTCTGCACTGGCATCATTGGTTTAATACTGAATTCTGATACCCTGGTAATTTCTTCACAGAAGCAAGATTTTTCTTAGCCTTCGAAGTGTTCAGAAAGCGTCAGATCATAAAGCCTGAAAACTGGGCAAAATTTAGCTTAGCCAGGTTCTACATCGTAACCGTTATCGGTGCAAAAGAGAGAACATGGTGCAGAAACCACATTAAACCAAGCAAAACCACTGCGATAGACATACCAGGTTGTAACAGTAGCGTCGGGGAGAAGCGTAAAAGTTCTATACATAGAGTTAAGCTTCAGGATGGAGAGATAGAGTCAGAAATTGACTAAGACAGAAGGGCACTGAAGGCCGCAAGTGATCTGAGGAAGATAATTGACCAATGGTCTTGTGCTATGATGAATGACTTGCCAACATGAAAGAGACAAACAGCGCAGCAGACAGACAACCCACAAGACTCAGGGAAGACATAAGAAAGGATGCTTTCACCAAATTGACATCTGTCAAATGCATCAAGGCAAGCACGCATGCCGCAATGATGCTCACAACCACCGTTTTTGCGTCCAGACAGCTGCAAGACGCTGCGCAGACTATTTTGTCTGCTTCCGAGCTCTATTGCATAACACCCGCAGCAGGTACGGCATCTACACTCAAAGTGAGAGTGCAAAATTTGGAGATGGAGCTGCTGATCGTCATTCTGGATGTGTATGACAATGGTTGGCAAATTGAGTTGTGGGGTTTGGCACGTTTGGTTGCCATCTTCAACATATGATTAGGTTCGCCGATCATAAGGTAGATGAGGAGGTTGCAATGATGAAGTTGAGAGGGTATGGATCATGGTAGTCTCAAAGACTGGGGCAGCAACATGAAACCTAGTGTGGAAACTTCAGGCATAATGTTCGGATTTGAAGTGGAAAATACATGGGTGATGAAACCTGTTGGTAAATGATGTATGAAAGACGGGCTGCTGAAAAGAGTTACAAGAGATCTTGTTTTTGTGACTGGACGGGCAAAGAGTGTTCTTATGATAACAGCCCGCCACCCAGTGGCGGGAAGGTAACTGGTTACGACAACCACCGGCAGCGTTTTGCCTCGTCGTACGAGGATTGCGGCAGGAAACAAGCCATTACCTATATCCAGTTCCCTCTTTGGGATGGGTAGAATTGTTGCTTCCTGCTCGACTTGAACTCCCGACCCCGCGGCTGGGGGTTTCAGACTGTTACTACAGGTTGCTGCGACCCTTCCTACTTGACCATTTGGCCCAGTGAAAGGCGCTGGTTATTGGAAGTGGCGTTGCGGAAGTAATATATATCGTTTGGGAAGGAGCTGGGTTGGGAGGGAAGGCACAAGGAGGGGCTCAGGTGGGGAAAGGGTGGTCAGTGTTCAGCCAGAAGGGGCCTTCTTTTCCCGTTTGCTGAGCAAAGGCCAACTTGTTTCCTGGATAGGACTCCGAATTTGAACATTGACAGTGATTACTACTACTACTACTACTACTACTAAACCCCAAAATTACAGCCCCCTCTCTTACAACTTCACATCCCTCTTCTTCTTCTCATACAACTTCACCTCCACACCCTTGGTCTCCTTCCCACCCGCCTTCAACACCCTCCTCAAGATCTTCCCACTCGGACTCTTGGGAATCTGATCGACAAAAACAATACCTCCCATCAACCACTTATACCTCGTCGTCCGCTTCTCCACAAGCACCTTCAACCTCTGCGCCAAAGCCTCCAGTTCCTCCCTCTTCAGCTCTGCAATCTTCCCCTTCCGCGGCACAACAAATGCCCGCGGCCACTCCGTCGCCTCGCTTGAGTCATAAATGCCAATCACACCTGCATCAGCAACTTCCTCGCTACTGCACAGCACGGCCTCCAGCTCGGCGGGCGCGACCTGGAACGCGCGCACCTTAATCAGTTCCTTCAAACGATCGGTGATGCGCAGCCGGCCACGTGCGTCAAGGGCGCCAACGTCTCCTGTGCGGAACCATCCGTCGGCGGTGAGCGCATCGTTAGTGACAGACATATCGGGAGCCTTGGCCCTCTCGAAGGCGCCCACAGGAAGATAGGCTAGGAGGAGGCATGGCGCGCGAACGAGGACCTCGCCTTCGACGTCTACTCCGGCAACCTTGGATTTTTCGCCCTGCTTCTTGGCATAAGCGTCATCACCAGCGTTCGGGTCAGCGATCATGACCTCCACTCCGTAGTGCGGTGAACCTGTGTCCCCAGCGCCCTCGTGCATGTCCTTCTCTGTGAGACCCTTTTGCAGAGAGGTACTGCAAGTTTCACTGAGGCCGTAGCCCAACCTCACGCGGAAGCCACAACGCTTGTACACCTCCACAACTACCTCATGTCCAAGGGGTGCACCGCCTGTCACACCAGCAACAACACTGCTAAACGCCTTCTGCTGGACGTACGGCTCGACAACGGCCGCCTTGGCCAGCATGACCGCCACGGGGGGCGCCATGTGTAAGTAGGTGACCTTGCGGTCGCGAATAGCTTTGAGAACTGTTTCCAAGTGGAACGCTTGCATGACGTACACCGTCGATCCAGTAACCACCGAAAGCAAAAAGACATTGCAAAGGCCGAATACATGGTAGAAAGGCACATAACCCAGCCAGCGCTGGGTTCGCCCGGGGGTTTTGTTGAAATAATCTGCATCATGCCACAGCGATGCAACGGAGAAGTTGAGTGCGTGGTGGGAGATGAGAACGCCCTTGGATCGGCCAGACGTGCCAGAGGACCAGAGGATCACGGCCGTGCGACAACGGGCTTTCGATGGGTCGAAGGAGGTCGTCGTATTAACCTTGGGCTTGTTCGGGGAGGGAACGAGAATGGTCTTCCAGTCGTTCTTGCTGGATGGTGTGCTCTGCGAGGGGTAGGTGTCGTTGAGGACGTCGACGGTGTAGATCGGCACGGATGAAAAGTACGTCTGATCAGCCTGCTTCTCGAGCGCCGCCTTCATGGCCGGTAGGCAGGTTGTAGCAGTGATAATGGCCTTTGGCCTCGAGTTCTGCAGGATCCATGCGATCTCGTCTGCTGTCAGGGCGGGTGAGGCGAGGGTTGCAGTCAAGCCGGAAGCGAGAACACCGAAGAAAATCGGCGCAAAGGGCAAGCAGTTGGGCAGCTGGATCAGTATAACGGGAGCGATTTCGGGGCCCTCTGGGCACGATGGTGTCGGTGGGAGCTTGAGAACATCAGAGGGGTTCAGGCCTAGGGCCAGTAGGCCGGATGCAATGGCCAGTGAGTCGCGCGAGATCTGACCGAGAGTGAGGGCGCGCTCTGTACGGCCGTTAGCATGTTGTTCCTGACTGCGATATTTAGGAGCATATCATCATAAGCGACCTGCACCTACCCGTCTTATTGTCGACAAAGATTGGACGTGTCGGCTCAACCCGCTTAATGACCTGCTCGGGTGGGATAAAATCGCTGGGCGTCTGGAAAGGCTGGCTGAAGGCAAAGGCGAAGGCGTTCTTTAGCGGCAGGTCGCCCGGGGTGACGCCGACGTATGCTTGTGTAAGCGGCGACATTGTGTTTGATTAGAGTGGTTCGATGCTGGCTCTTGCGTCAAGGGCAATCTAGAATGCCATGGCCTGTCTGTCCAGCTCATCCATCGACGCCCCCGGGGCGGACAGTCTGGGATTTTATCCAGCACGAATGGTGTCCATGAGTGGGAAGAAAGATACGACGCTAGGGCCGGGGGGATAATGGCTGCGGGGACAAACAGGCTGACAGGCGGCAGGACCTGCCAGGGCCTCCAGAGATTGGCGTGGCGGGGGGTTGCTATGCGCCATGCAGATGCGAATCTTCGATTGGGATTTGGGACTTGTCTGGAAAACGGCTCGGCATCCATTGCCCGAGTGCCGGGCTAAACGGCTTGGTTGCTCGGGACTTCTTTACGCTGACCCTTCGACGGCGCCGTTGCCCGCTTTTGCTTTGGCTGTTGGACGGCCTTGGCCTTAAGCTGGCCAGTGAGATTCGGCAATTGGGGGTTCCCGGCGCTAGGGCCACTCAGGGTCCTCAACCCGCCGTGCCCATCTGGGGAAGTGGAAATTATGTGGGGTCGGAAATTCAGATGATCCACCGCGAGGAGATCGGATGGATTCATCAAGGGCGAAAAGCGCGGGATGAACTCGACAACTTCCGGTGCTTCATCTTGACAATGCCGTCAAGCTGAGCATCTACCTCGGTCTTGGATGTGCAGGAGATGGAATCAGCCTAAACACGGTCAATAGCTGCTGGGTTGCACAACATACTACGGGAGCCAACATGGAGGTGCAGCATCGGAGCCGCATCTTTGAATGGGAAATAAAAATTTGATATCGACATGGCCTGGCCCGCAGGTGATTTGTTGGTTGATGAAGCATGATGGGGTTGGCTTTGACTGACTATCTTCTCAGTCTGGCTCTTCATAACCTTTCTGATGATACCCCCAAATTCGAATAACGGAGTATACAGGCTGTTTTATACTGCAATGAGGCTCAACTAAGGATCAGAGCGCCGCGCAACTGCATGCCATCAAAGTCAACGTTTCAACGTTTGTGCAACCAAGTATGCCACTCCATTGCTAGCTATCTCCGACGGTGTCTCAGTCGCCTATGGAAGACCTCTTATATATGTTCTAAAATTCTGAAACATGTTTCTGGAACGGGCCCATCCGTACGGACGTATCAATTCGACATTAGGACTACCATTGACTCATTCTGGACAGCTCACATAATGGCTTCCCAGGTTTTCAGCCAACCAGGAAATTCTACTACCCCGTTGTCGTCTGTCTATCTCTCCACAATGTTTTGACAACAATCCCGAGATTGAACTCGACAAGAATATTTTCCCTTGAAAAATAGTCACTTCAAGAGCCCCAAACAGCGTCTTCTAATCCCCTCCTCACCCCTGCCAAGCGCCCTGCCATGGCCTCCAGATGCCCATACTCCCTCCCTCCCCTTTCCAGCCCCCTCCCCTTGTCATAATGCCGATGTACCTTCTTGCTCGTCTTGCTACTGCTGGGAGAAGACAAACTAGATGCGGCCGAAGGTTGTCCTCCATATTGGTAATAGTCTTGTTGCTGATCTGGCCTCCTCAGTTCAGCAGCGCAAACCAAGATGCTGCTCGCCAGTAACGCGGCGAGCCTTGCAACCTCTGCTGCTCGCTCCGCGACTGCTCTCGACCCACGCAGACGGGGTGTATCCCGTGCATGGACAAGGAGCGAAGAGAGAGCCTCTGTTTCAGCGACGATTGTGTCTAACGGGCTGGCATTCCGCTCGGACTTAGCTGACCCTCTGTTCTGGCCGTCCGTGGCGTAGTAATTCTCATGTTGTGAAGATGCTGATGATGAGTCTGAGTAACAGGGAATTTCCAAACGCGCTTGGCGGATGAGCTCGAGATTTGCGAGAGCCAAACGGACGGGGTCAGAATAGAGGTTGGAAGTGGCTGATGAGTTGAAGGTCGACCAGTATGGAGAACTGGATGGTGAGGGATACTGAGATGGTAGAGGTGTTGACGCCTGCTTCCAGTCAGTATCGCTCTCACTTAAGGATTTTAGAGCATGTAAGAACCAACCATCTCGATAGTAACAAGATAATGTTGAGAAAGTTCACAATAGCAGCAGCTCAGAGTCGTCGCAGAGTCACCCAGCAATGGCAGATGTGACGGTCAGGCACTTATACCCAGACTCTCTCAATATCAGTTGCTCACGAGACACTTTCAAAACCTTCTCGCCTAACAAAATCAGAGCCTCGCTTCGTTCGGTGTCTCACCACCACACCTCTAAAGGCAGGTCAGTCCGCCCTACCCTTGTCAGGCACAGGTCTCGTGGCCAATATATGTAAGCGAACTCCGACACAGCTAAATCTCAGCTCAACGCTGCGCGGCTTCTTCTAGCTATGAGTAAAGGGTGTTTTTGTGATCTGGGAGAAAGACAGAACCAAAGTCTGCGTTATTCCGGATGCAGGCTCGGGTTATGTACCCAGCCAGTCTTGAAGGATACAACGTTTCCTCGGTACATCTTGCTGAGTACCACGGCATTACAGACCACGACACATGAATCCCATATCTTCAATTGACGCACTCTCACCTATCACCTTTCACATACATAGCCACTTGTATTGTGCTCCATCCCAACATGCTTCATACCATGGAACTATGCGCTCATCCCTTAACCGAGCCAACCTGAGCAAAAGATCCTCGACCGATGCGCAAGTAATCCGTATAACGAAATGCAAGTCCAGTCCTTAATCGGTCACGGTCCGAACATAAACTGTCCGCGTTCCCCGCGAATATTCAATAACCTATCCTTCTTCTATAATGGTGGAACCACCGTCTCAGCGTCCCTAGTTCATAAGTAGGTCAACCCAGTGATGCCCCTATGGGGCTTCGTCCCGGTTCGGCACCCCCTCTGTCCCCAACCGAACTCTGTGCAACCTGGAACCTGCACGTCCTGTATGATGCAGCATGTGCCAGTGGTGGGCCGAAACCGGCCTGTACCGCAGAGACGACCAATTACTACTTCCAAGTTCAACTTGTAACAACAGCCGCGGCATCAGCCGCAGCATCAACAACACGGTTGGGAGCTAACAGCCCGGCAGGTCTCACAAGCCTGGAGAAACGGAAGCATGTCTAGCTCCGGACCGAACCATGTCTTCCCCCGAAGCATCGCATGCACTGGAAAGCGCAAGCAACAACGCAAGTGATACTGACGTGGCGGGCTCGTGTGATACGAAGGGAAGAACGCCATCCCGTCCGCTAGCAGTGTAGTATGTACGGATTTACGAACAGCCGCGACAGCAAGTTAGCATCATCGCATCGCATCGCAACCGGTCGGCGTCAAGATATTGTATGAAACAAGCGCGATAAGCCAGGGGAAATCCTACCTGCTCCTCCCCCTCCATTCCAGTTATATCTTTCTGGGCAGGGAAGCCAAGCCAATCCAAATCAATGGCATTACCTCCCCCTATCCAGTCACAAAACCAAGTCTCTCCCCAGAAGCGGGAACTGCTCCCGCTACCCAATACAGCCTACCCTCCAAAAAGGGAAACCAGCCTAATGCAAAGCCAACGCAGCTCGCAGCGGTACATAGCCTGCCAATGCTCCAGTGATGGCTAGGGCTTCATGTACGCGGGTCGTAGTGCATGCATCCTGACGACTCGGTAACTGTTGATACTACAAGTACACGCGGGCTGAGTGTGTTCGCGAAATTCGCAAATGCACGTCCTGCAGATGGAGCAAGAGGCGTGATTTGTCGGGGTGAATGGGGATGATGATAGGTGCTATTGTAAGCACCGGGTAAACAGTGAAGATATCCGACTGAACTTTTTGATGTCAAGTTAAAGGACACCATGATATAACGGAGACTGTGTGGATTTAGTAACACTGGACAGAGAGCTAGCCGCGAGTAAATCATTTGCTGAGAGAACAAGCCAGTTAGTACTTAAACCGTCCTCGTGCGGCTAATGTGTGCAGATCAATTAAGTTTCGCAAAATCATGAGGGGTTGTCAAAGTCAGAGAGAGACATGAGGGTCATTGGAGAACAAAGTCAATACTGCCATACCATCAGCAATCAACTCGCAGGGGCAACATCCACTGTGAGAAATCCATCCTGGATCCAGGCAGGACATGGGTATCAGTCATATACTCCATCGAACCGTCCACATAACCACAGCAGCCATCCCACCATAACCTTCGATAAACTTCAAACAGTCTCAATATACCGTTTAAACTCCCTGCAAACTGTCAGAACACCTTCTACTCGTCTTCAACGAGCAGAACTGAAATGGGAACTTACCAATCCGTAACAGCTTCCTCCCAAACCCTAACCTCATGCTCCCTCGTCCCCCCAAAATGCTCCACAAACTCCTCCCCAAACACCTCCCTCGCTACACTGCCCTCCCTCACAAACCTCTCCGTCGCCTCCCTCAAACTTCTAGCCAACCTCGTCCCCTTGTTGTCCACATCCTGTCCCTTTCCCGAAGGCGGGCAAGGAATCTCCAATCTCTTCTCCACACCCCTGTACCCAAGCGCCAAAATCGCCGCAAGCACATAATGAGCGTTTGCGTCTGCCCCGGGAACGCGGATCTCGAACCGCGTGGCGGAGGGTTTGCATGTTGGCGGGGCAATTAGCCTGACGGAAGCGTCGCGGTGCTCCAGGCCCCAGGAGACGGTGACAGGAGCCCAGAAGTTCTCGACTAGACGTTTGTAGGAGTTAATTGTGGGAGCTAGGAGAGGCATCACGTCGGGTAGACCAGTCAGGACGCCGGCGAGGAAGTGCCGGCCTAGGTCGGAGAGGTAGGCTACGTCGGGGTAGGGAGGGAAGGGATCTTTCTTGCCGCGGTAGAGGAGGTTTTCGCCGCTCTGAGAGTCTACCAGTGAGAGGTGCATGTGTCCGCTGTTGCCGGGCAGTCCGTGTCTCGGCTTGGCCATGAAACATGGGGTAATCCCGTACTTTGTAGCGACGGCCTTCACAGTCAACTTGAACAGCGCCGCGCGATCGGCCATCTCCGCAGCATCGGTGAACTGCAACGCCGCTTCATAAACACCGGGCCCGCTCTCGGTATGCCAGCCCTCTAACGGGCACTGGAAATCGCGACATGCGTTGAATACCTCGTAATAGTAATCCTTATTATGCACAGGGCGCGTCAAGCTGTAACCGAACATACCCTCTGTCAGGGAGGGGAGAGCGTGCGGGGCATTGTCACGCAGGAAGGCAGCGACAGACGTACCCTCGGGGGCCTTAAACTGGTAGAACTCGTACTCGGCTAGGGGCATTTATTGTTAGGATGGAGGAAGTCGAATTGGGTGTAAGAGAGGAGGCGAGCGTACCTCCAGCTTTTGCCCCAATACCCTTGGCTTCCCACTTCTCTAATTGTGTCTTGAGCAGCCCGCGCGGACAGGCACATATGGGCTTCATCGTCTCCGGGTCATGGAAACTGACCAAGAAGAACGGGACGCCATCCTCCCAAGGAATCCTTCTGTAGCTGTCGAGGTCAGGGATGGCAATGATATCCCGGTAGCCGTTCTCCTTATTCGAAATGCTCAGCTCACGCAGGTATGTCATATCGTGCATATCCCAGCCGAATATGACGGAGCAGAAGCCAAAGCCGGTCTGGGCGATGGAGAGGAACTTGTCTTTAGAAACGATCTTGCCGCGTAGGATGCCATCGACGTCAAGGCCGGCTAGCTTGACGCATGTGTCGTTTTCTAGGATCTTTGGGAGGGATTCCACGGTTATGGGCATGTTGGTTGTTGGATCAGTGTTGAACTGTTTTTCGTAGTGTTGAACGGTGTTGAATGTGGAGATCGCAAGTGTTTGGTGGTAGGTTACTCTGCTGAGTCCACAGGCGTAGACGCGGGGTCGGGGAGTGACAACGCGTACACTCGAGAGATTGAGCCACAACAACAGCAAATCTATCTTTTGCTGACGAAGACAGCAACACTATCAAGCGAATGACAAAAGAAGTGGCAGAGGAACACCACAGCCCACCGATAGCAGCGTCGCGACGAGGTCAACGTCGGGGAGACCTGCTCGAAGTGGAAGCTGGGCCATGTGGGGCAAGACGGGCCAGCCAATAAGAACTCATCGAAGCTCTTGTGGGGTCATGCGTCATAGGCAGCGGCAGACAGATTGCAGTCCCCGCTGAATCTACCGATTGGTGTTCGGCTGAAGGTGTGGATGTGGATTCAACTTGAGATGTGGAAAGATGATGACAATTAGAACAAAGGAATGTTGCTGTGAGCTATCTTATCCAATTTCTGTTCGGTATTTGAGCAACATCTCCAGTCAAAAAGCATATACGCCTAGGAGCACAGCAACATAAGGGTTAGGGTTGACCGTGTAAGTCAGATTCATGTTGTCGATAAGCAACATTGAAGACTGCATAAGGGTTCAGGAGTGAATCCAGTTGCCAGCCGTTATAAGTCAATTCAGACGAACACTGTAGCTTCTATTCCAAAAGGCGAGCCTTTGACTAGAAAATTAAGGTAGGTAATCTCGAACGCTAAATGTCCTCCAGTGGGCCGCCGCTGGACCCGGACCCCCATCATCGGGCAGTTGTCGGCGCCGCGTGGCACGGGGCAACGGGGCGTCGAAGTGGGTTCGTAGGCGTCGTCCCCACGGTGACCTCTGTTTCCATCCAGCGTTATTGATGCAGCTGAGGATGCTCTCGTGACCTGAGTATGATCTGACCGCTTGTTAGTCAGGTAATTAGCTTGACAGAATCCGGAACGTTTTGGCTGGCTTTAGAGTGAAACATTGCGCTGGGGATCCCTTGGAGCTGTCCCAGGGTTGTTCTTTATCCAGGTCTTATCTGCGCTTATCAGTGCCGTTGCCCCTCACTCCCACCATCATCCGGCCCAAGTACAGTCACCAGCCGGGGTTCAACATCAAACAAGCTTCATCAGCCCTTCAACACCAGCACTCCATAACCTCAACAGTCCTTTTCTTGACCGAAAAAAAAAGAACAATGTCTGCTCCCCGTGGCCGTCTCGCTGGCAAGAACGCCGTCATCACCGGTGCCGCCGGGTAAGTTATCCCTATCCCTGTTCTGCCCCTGAGTATCACCACGGGATCGTCCCCGCTTTTCCTATCCACGAGCCCAAGGCATGAAGTCACTGACAAGGTGTAGTGGCATCGGCCTCGAAACCTCGATCCTCTTCGCCAAAGAAGGCGCCAACATCCTCATGGCCGATATCTCGGCCGAGGCTCTGGAGCGCGCTGTGGCCAAGGTGACGCAACTCGTCCCGAACCATGGACGTGTTGAGCCTATGGTACGCACCCCCTCTGCTCCCTCTCTTCCTCCCGTTTTCCCTCTCCTAACTTTTGTTCCAGGTTGTCGACGTCTCCAAAGAATCCGACGTCCAACACGCAGTAGAATACCTCGACGCCTGGGGCGGCCTCGATGTCATCTTCAACAACGCAGGCATCATGCACGCGCAAGACGGCGACGCCCTGTCCACGCCTGAGGCCATCTGGGACCTAACTCACAACATCAACGTTAAGGGCGTGTGGTACGGCTGCAAGCACGCTGTTTTGGCCCTCCGCCGGAACAAGAAGACCAAGGGGTCGATTATCAATACCGCGAGCGTGGTTGCCTTGGTTGGGTCGGCCACGCCGCAGCTGGCGTATACCGCCAGCAAGGGCGCAGTGTTGGCGTTGACAAGGGAGCTGGCCATTGTGCATGCTCGGGAGGGCTTCAGGTTCAATGCGCTTTGCCCAGCGCCGCTGAATACGCCGCTGCTACAAGACTGGCTTGGTGATGACCAGGCTAAGCGGCTGCGCAGGACGGTGCACTTCCCTACCGGCAGGTTTGGTGAGGCAGTTGAGCAGGCGCATGCGGTTGTGTTCCTGGCTAGCGACGAGAGCAGTTTCGTTAACGGGGCTGACTTCGTCGTGGATGGCGGTATGACCAAGGCCTATGTGACAGCAGAGGGGCCTGCGGCGCCGGCGCCGGTGAACAATGCCCTGAAGGACAAGCTGGACGAGTAGAGCTGTAAAGTACTTCACGACGATATGACTGTATATGGTGCGTTACGTTGAGATACCAAAGCTATTCCGTACCCAAAACGCCAATCATGCCTTTTTCTTATATATACAAACACTTCCTTTACACGAATTGATTTTCCGTATTACCCTCACCCATACTCTTGCTGCCCGAGCTACCGCTCTGAATGTGACCCAGCACAGCATCAACATAATTGGCACCGCTCCACTTCTGGTGCGTGAGCACATCGACACCGAGTTCCTTTTCCCGCTTCTGCACAAGGTCCACATACGCCTTCATGCCCTCCTCCTTGAACTTCCTAGCCAGCTCGCTGCTGATGGTAGCAGTCGAGTGCAGACCAGCCAAGCTGACGAGCTGCAGAACGAAGCCCTCCTTGGCAATGTCCCAGACGAAGCTCTTGAGTGTCTCCTCTGTGAAGCCGTGCGCCATCCAGTTGAACGAGGGCGACAGGTTGTAGACGAGCGGCTTGCCAGGGAACTTGTCGCGCACCGCGCGGCCCAGGTCACGGCAGACCTGAACATTCGGGTCGCCAGTCTCAACCCAGAGCATGTCGGCATACGGAGCGAAGGCCAGCGCACGCTTGGTGGCCGCAGCCATACCGTTCTTGAAGTGGTAGAAGCCTTCCCGAGTGCGTGGGACGTCCCAGGACCAATAGACAGGGTTGCCAGGGGTGACGGCATCGGCAAGAGCGCGGCGGGCGGTGATACCCATGTCACGGTCGGCGCGCACCTTAGCCAGGTACTCGTCAATCTTAGCCTGAGGAACACCGTTCCGCTCGAAATGGGCAACGGCAGCCTCGTCAAAGGTCACCAGCTTCGTCGACTTCACCCACTGCGCCTCGTAGGCGTCGATCTCAGCGCCAGAAGCGCCCTTGGCCTCCATCTCGGCGAGAGTCTCGGCGATGGAGCGGACCGAGGGATCAGCCACGCCGAGGATGAACTCGTGGTCGCGGACATCGATCGAGGACGACAGGAGCTTACCGCTCTCAGAGTCAGTACGGGCGATCACCAGGTTCTCGGTGCCCATCACATCCCACTGGAAGCGGACGGCCTTGAGCCGGTTGATGTGCTCGCTAGTCGGAACCAGCACCTTGCCAGCCAAGTGACCGCACTTCTTGCCGCCATGCATCTGGTCCTCGAAGTGGACAGCAGCCGCGCCGCTCTCGGCGAACAGCTTGGCCAGCTTCATGACGGCCGTCAGACCGCCGTGGCCAGTGTCACCATCAGCAACGATGGGACGGAAGTAGTCGATGTAGGGAGTCTTGGCGCGCTCCTCAGGGGTCATCTTGGACCGCAAGAACCAGTGCTTGCGGTCATGCATGCTCTGTGCTTTGAACAGGCGCTGCACCTGGTTGGGGACAGTGTTGTAAGGGTAGTCGCCAAAGTCGGGAGACACTTCATGGGTTGTCGTCAGCAGGGAAGAGCAAGCCCAGCCCGAGATGTACAGCACCTCCTGGTGGGGGGCCTGCTGGGTCATCTGCACAGGGTCGATAGCACCGAGAGTGTGGATGGGCTGGCCGGCAGCCATGCGTTCCTGAATGAGGTTCCACAGCTTGCGAGCCATGACCGAGCTGGGGTAACTCTGCTGCAGCGAGCCACGCTTGCTGACGACATCTGCCGCGGTCCAGTCGCGCTTGATACCGGCGAAGCGCGGAGATGCCCACCAAGCCTCGACCTGCTTGATCTGCTCCTGCATCAGGGCATCCTCGGCCGCGCCGGCCTTCTGCTGCTCGGGCAGCAGCTGGTAGGCCTCGGAGGGGAAGGACGTCGAGATGGGCGGCTCAACGGGAGGGAGAGAAGCCATCCTGGCGGTTGTCGAGAGAAGTCGGAGAGAGATGGGGGCAGTTGCTGGCCGGATCGGAGCCTTGAGGGCGGACAGCGGCCGGAAGGCCCGCCTGGGGACACGAGGGACGACGGAGCGGAGCATCAGGCGCTGATGGTAGCGGGTGAGTATCCCGCTGAGATGCTAGATGCCCTGGAATGTGGAGGGCAGCGAGGTCGAGGGCTGAGGGCAAGACGCGGAATGGATCTGGAAGCGAGGGTAAGAGGTGAGAAAATGATCACAAAACAATGATCACAAATCCAAAACCCAAGACAAGACTCCCAAACCGGACAAGGATGGTAATATGTAAGATCGACGGCGATGACGCCACTCGCGCTCCGACGAAATTACGAGGGCCGCAGTCGGCGAAGTCGCTGAGTCAAGACGAGGCTTTAGCAGCCCGGGGACCAGGAAGCTAGAAGATGCTTGGGGCCGGTGTCGCACTTCCCTATCGACGTCGCTCTCCTACTATGGAAAAAGTGGGCTGGTTGTTCTTTCTTACCCTCAATTGCCAATTGCCCTGGCTGTTGCCCTGGCACCTGCTCGCCGTTCGGGGATGTGGAACTTCACAAACCTGCTGCCGGCAGCTGGCAGCCACACAGGATGGAGCATGTGTTGAAGAAAGCACTCACAAGGAAAGAGGTTGACACGGCGAGCCGCGCGACGGCCCCACCCATCCAGCCTGCTGACCAACCGCAGGCCACTGCAAAGCCGAGGGCCATGCATGTGGTGTTATTGCCTTTGATTGGTCAATTGGCTTTCCCGCCCCCGCAGAACCGTTTGTCCGGGGAAACCATCGCTGAGGCGGGGCAACCACGGCTTTCCTCGGCTGAAAGCGTGACATCACGGTCAGGTTGGCCCCCTCAAGCTTGTGCGGGAGAATAGTAAGGGGAAACAGCTTGCGGTAAATGAGTAGGGTAAAGACTGTCAATCCACGCTGGACTTCGGTTGCAAAACCGTTGTAGAATATTGACATAGATTACCAGACTGGGCAGGCAGTGATCACTGATCAGCCCTCTGACCCGATCTCTGTGTCTCCCGGCCGTTTGGCAGCCAACAGACCCAAGCACAAGCAAAGCAGGCCACTGAGCCCAGTGCCTGCAGCCAGCTTCCCCGCGCCGCGCTCTAGCGGTCTCGGCTCAGCCCAGCCCTCCCTGGTCTCCAGCTCCCCCACGGACTGCAGCATCACCCGGACCCTACCCGAGTCCCTACAAAACGCCGTCTTCGGCCACCAAATAAACCGCCAGTGCTGCCGTAATTTTACTTATACCCCGTCTTCTCCAAGCAATCTGACTTGAGCCAGCTCAGCAGTCGCCAAGGTCTTCTCAAAGCGGCAGCCCATCCAGACCAGACTTATACACAAACATAATGGCTTCCAGCATCAGGACCACCCGCGCTCTTGGCGGTGCCCTGCGCGTACGTCTTCTCCCTCAGCATTATCATCATCTTCATCTCCGTCCTCAAAATGGCTAATAATGCTAACCCTGCGACCAGCCCGTCGTCGCTAGCGCCCGTGCGGCTGGCCGCCGGACCTACGCCACCGCTGAGCTCGACCTCAAGACCACGCTCAAGGAGATCATCCCCGAGAAGCGCGAGCTCCTCAAGAAGGTCAAGGCCCACAGCGACAAGGTCATCGGCGAGCTCAAGGTCGAGAACACCATTGGCGGCATGCGCGGCCTCAAGTGCATGGTCTGGGAGGGCAGTGTGCTCGACGCCAATGAGGGTATCCGCTTCCACGGCCGTACCATCAAGGACTGCCAGAAGGAGCTGCCCAAGGGCAAGACCGGCACTGAGATGCTGCCCGAAGCCATGTTCTGGCTGCTTCTGACCGGCAAGGTGCCTTCGGTCAACCAGGTCCGGCAGTTCTCCCGGGAGCTCGCTGAGCAGGCTCAGCTGCCCGAGTTCGTCAACAAGATGATCGACAACTTCCCCAAGGACCTGCACCCCATGACCCAGTTCGCCATCGCCGTCTCAGCCCTCAACCACACCTCCAAGTTCGCCAAGGCCTACGAGAAGGGCCTAAGTAAGGCTGACTACTGGGAGCCTACCTTCGACGACTGCATCAGCCTGCTGGCCAAGCTGCCCACCATCGCTGCTAAGATCTACCACAACACCTACAAGGGCGGCGGTGCTCTTCCCGGCGAGGTCGATCTGGAGCAGGATTGGTCTTACAACTTTGCTGCCATGCTCGGCAAGGCCGGCAAGGAGAACGAGGACTTCCAGGACCTGCTCCGTCTCTACCTCGCCCTCCACGGTGACCACGAGGGTGGCAACGTCTCTGCCCACACCACTCATCTGGTCGGCAGCGCCCTCAGCGACCCCTTCCTGAGCTATAGTGCCGGTCTCCAGGGTCTGGCTGGTCCTCTCCATGGGTAGGTTCCGCTTCATCAGATGCTCCAGGTTGTTCATCCGCTAACAGTTTGTAGTCTCGCCGCTCAGGAGGTGCTCCGCTGGATCCTCCAAATGAAGGAGGCCATCCCGGAGAACTACACCGACGAAGATATCCGCAACTACCTCTGGCAGACCCTCAACAGCGGCCGTGTCGTGCCCGGCTACGGCCACGCCGTCCTGCGCAAGCCTGACCCGCGCTTCGAGGCCCTTATGGACTACGCCGCCTCCCGCCCACGCATCGCTGCCGACCCCGTCTTCCAGCTCGTCCTGCGCAACTCCAAGATTGCCCCTGAGGTCCTCAAGGAGCACGGCAAGACCAAGAACCCCTACCCGAATGTCGACTCGTCGTCCGGTGTCCTCTTCCACCACTACGGCTTCACTGAAACCCTGTACTACACCGCCACCTTCGGTGTCTCACGTGGTCTTGGCCCGCTCGCTCAGCTCATCTGGGATCGTGCTCTGGGTCTGCCCATCGAGCGGCCTAAGAGCATCAACCTTCAGGGTATCCTGGATCTGGTTGAGGGGAAGTAAGTGTGTAGTGTGATAGGAGAGTGGTGTGTAGTAGGATGTGTATGTATATTATGTGCTGTTATCATGTTGATCATGACGTTTTGTTGGGTTTAAGTGACGGGTTGTGTTTAGGAAGAATGTATTTTTGGGCATGAAACTTGTGCCATGGCTTTGTGACTTGATAAGTGACGTCAGGGTGGCTGATTGTTGAGAAGCTGTGCCACTCTTGCCATCAGGGATTCACGGGCTCATGAGAAAAACAACACAGACCGGTAAGTTGAGATCAGTCAATTGGCTGAAAAAAAAAACAAGATGAGTTTTCATTGTCGTCGCTGTAAGAACAGGGGTAAGGCAAAAGGTAAAAGCAAGTAAACTCCTAGAATCCGTCTGGAAGAGTGAACTGGAGGGACTGAGAAAGGAACTTCGGGGACATCTCGCTCACCGTCTCTCATGATGTCTGCAAAATAAGCTTCAGCACTGAACTTTCAGCTCAAAACATCTATGAGATGCAGGCCAAGAGGCATAGATTGCCCTGTACCAAAGCCACTGCTCATGTGAGCATCTTCGGGCCCTTTACCTCCTTCCCGCTTCATGTGACGTACTTGATGACGGAAGAAGAGTAAACCGGGAGGGCTCAGAGAAAACGTTTCCGCCTTTGCATGCATGAACCACTCCGCAGTATCCTGCAGCGACCGCTCCGCATTTCATCTATTTTCCCCTCCTTACCCAGCCCAGGACCCCTCTCCTACCATAGAGATGCGGGGAAAGGAGAAAAAGGTCAGGCCTTTCGGGAACGAACCGAGAAGAGGATGTGAACGATGCTATATTTGTAGACAGAGGACCACCTGGCTGGAGCCAAGGGGAGGCAAACATGCGGGTTCAACGTGTCTTGGGTGTGGCGCCGCGGGCCGAGGGGGGCACAGCCGCTTGGTTTGGGTGGAAATGGGAGTTGGATGTGGGTTTGGGTTGTGCGGGTGAGTTGATTGGCACCCCTCGAGTTGTATCTTGAGGGAACTCAATAGTGGTTTGCTCAGTTGTAGCAAATTCTTACTCAAATTTATGACACTCTTGTTTGTCAGAAATATATCAACTCACCTCAGGCCTTGCAGGCGCTTAGATAGCCGAAAGGAGGACAAAAGAATAAAGAATATCTGACAGATTACCCCCCCCCCTCGTGACCTCAAGTAGAGAACTCACCAAAGCTTCTATCTTTAGAAGCCTTCTAGACCCCTTCTCGACAGCAACCCAAGACGTCGGATTCCAAGACCCCGCCTCCGGTGCCTGGATGGCAAATCCAGGTACGTGGACGCCGACTAGTGCAGGAACGGGAAACATCTCCGCATGGCAAGCCAGCGATCACCCGTTATTGCAGCAATTCAGTGCTGTTGGGCACAAGGTCGGAGATCTCGCGCTTGTTGGAGGAAAGGTACGTACTACTGCGAGCTGCCCCAGGGTTTTAAATAGCCTAGGGGGTTGTTAAGCTCAAGAAAGTTGGTGGCTGGGTGGTAAAGACTTGATTCCGTCTACTTCATCAAGTGTTTGTCATAACTGCGTTGTCAATGTAGATAAATAAATGGAGTAGTAATTGACTCTAGAGCTCTATGCATGTCATCATCGAAGCCCTCCATCCCAGTCGGGATACAACCAGACGTCCCTCTCTGACAATATAGAACACAGGTTACTCACCTAGGTAGAGAAAGCCAAAATCACCCTACTCGATGCCAACATGGTTACACCACTCTTAAAGTATCCGGGTTCTTTTTTCTGCTTGTCTGGCCGTTAGGCTAGAGGGTAGTGACATACCCCTCCGGTTAATCTATTCTGCTACTATTCTTAGATCTGTATATAGTATATAGAATGACTGTCAAGGTACCATGAGAACGTTGCGGTATCGAGCTAGGCAGTGCCCGGTACCAGAGAGGCAGATTTCCCCAGTTGGTCAGAGAAGCGAGCGAGGACGGATGGTTCGTATCGAGCAGAGCTAGAGGATACTAGAAGACTTAGGGAAGGTGAAAATCCTAACAGCTGAGGAATGGAATCTAGATGTCTTTGCTGATGCTGAGCTGTGGCAAACTAGGAGCCTCGCTGCAGGTTCATGCAAGTGGTTGCCATTGAGACCTTCGAGAGCTTGCTTGAACAGGAGCCTCAAGTCGTTCTTACGGTCTTGGTGAGCACTCGGTACCCGGATTCCGGGCTGCCGGCCATCGTCAAGAGTGCGGGGAACTAGATTTTACTCAACCCCTCAGCAAACATAGATAACGCCCCGTCGTCGTCAGGAATGACGCTTAACGCCAACCCTATGTTGGCACCTATCCAAATAAACAGCCTGAACATTAACAACTTCGAAACAGAGCTGTCCATTGCTCTCGCTCTAACCTGAGAGCATAGAATGGTCCATCGACGGGACTTGATTGTCCGAAGTACCTGCCATTGGTGGAACCCTAGCCCTGTCGCCAGGTTAACTGAGGTTGCATCGGGGATGCTGATCCTGGATGCGAACCATGGAACGTTGAGACATGCGCCGAGCCTCCAACGACAAGAGAGAAGAACATTTCTATCGATCGAAAAACTCTTTTGACAATGGATATAGAGTATATAGGAAACAAAATTGTTCCCATTGGCTCGTGTGCGATAATAAACATTACCGGAAGAATTGCAGCCCTTTTCTACGGCCAAAACTTCGTGTTCGCAGCCAGTTGCCAAACTTACCTGAGCAGGTAAACTTCGGAGTTTGATGTTCCTCACCCCGCGGAACAGGATAAACAAAACGTTTGGTCCTTGGCTACGCCAGGCAGGGGCTGGTTAATCCAGGGTACGAAAAACGGCTGATTGACAGTTGTCCACAGCGATGTCACCGAACTGTTCCGGCTCGCGCAACAGACAGCTTGGCAGTTCGAAATGCTCGTCTTGTTCCCGAGCCATCAACGAGATCGCTTGCTTTCTCTCGCCATCTGCACAATTTCCCAGTAAGCTGCAGAACATACCGCATGACCTCACCATCTACAGCCGCATCAATCACAGACCACAGCGACCTAAGCCCTCTGCCTGATCGAAGACACCGAGGTTTAGCAAGATGCCGTCGACATCCGGAGTGAGCCCCCCTCGAGAGACGTTTTGTGGGGGGCTCAATTAAGCTTAATAACGACCCCTGGCGGACCCAAATAGGAAACAAAAATAGAAACGTTGTTGAATCTGGAAGTGGGGTAGCCCAACTGCTCCGGCTTTCCCTTTGATGAGTTCTCGATGAAGACGGGATTGGGGTCCAGTAGAGAAACAGGCAAGATCTTACCAATGCTTGCCTAGTAGTCTTACCTTAAGAAGCTGATTTAGTAATTCTTGCATGAGATCGATCAAGACATGCTCGAGAATAGCAACTTAGTCTAGTTGTCGCTGTCTTCTAGTCTGCCCCAATGTCAGTCAGCATTCTGGTTCCGGACGACGCTAGCACAGGCAAAATGCATGTTCCCCATGCACAAAGCCCAAGAACCGTTAAACCCGACGACAAGCGGCATCAATCAGCGACCTTAGCTTGATCGGAACCACAAGAAGGCAACTGACATCACCTCGACACCACCGTTTCTATAAAAAGAACTCCCACGACAGGATACCGGCGCCTCCACACAACATAACCCCCCTCATGAACGGTAACGAGAGTCTCGGCGCGGAGCCAAACACCACGTCAGTTGCAGGAAAGCCCCACGGGAAGCAGCGAATTGTAGTGGCAATGGCACGCTGGTGAGGCGAGCTATAAAGGCCGTGTGGTCCCGAGTTAATATATTCTTCATTTATCCTTCACTTCTTCCGTAAATTTGGCGCGACACCGCGAGAGCCACTGAACCAAACATTCGGCAGCAGTGCAGCAGACACAGGGCCAGCGAACGCAACGCGAGAGGAACAGAGTGCAGAGCCTTTCTGAATCGGTAATACTGCCAGTGACGGCGCCGAGGTGCTTGTATCTTGACGATGAAACCCGGGCAAGCAGAGTGCAGTGAGACGCTGGCATGACTTCCTAGAACAGAAGGGCCGGCGAGACGAGACGTTGCGAGGTCGACTCTCGTGGAGAGATGCATTCTTGGAACTCGTCGTGCCTATCCCGGGCCCCGGAGAGGCGGATGGCGGATGCAGCAATCTGTCGAGCGAATTAACCCATGAACACTATACTACTCGCCAAGGGGATGGTACTCTCTCAGTTGCAGCACAAGGCTAGCCGCGACGCAACTTCGCCATTCAGCTTGACTCTCTGCCTGCCTACCTCCGCACACGCAGAACGGGAAGATGCGGCCGTGTTCCAGTCTCGGAAGTGGAGGAGCATCCGTCGATGGGCAATGGAACGGATAAGGCCATCGTGACGGGGTGAAGGTTGAGGGGGTGTGGTGGGCGTGGCAGTCGAACCGGGCACCGGGAGAACGGGGAGCGGGGAGGTTGGGATAGGCGGGAAGAAAAGATATAAAGCAGCAAGATCTCAACGACAATGTCAGTCGTTCTCGCTCTCATCAGCAGCAGCTTCAGCAAAGCAGCCTTTCGAAAGCCTTTCAGCCTCAGAAACTCACTCTCACATCAATACCTCGAGTCTAGACTTCGAAAACACATTAGTCAAAATGCGTTTCACCGCCGCCGCCGCTCTCGTCCTCCCTGTCCTCGCCGCCGCGAGCCCCATCGCCAACCCCAGTGTTGTCCCCGATGGCTGGGCCGATACTCCGGACCCGAACGACATCCAGATCGTCAGCGCCACTTTCTCCGGTAGCGGCTGCCCTCAGGGCTCTGTCTCGACCAGCATCTCTCCTGACAAGACTGTAAGTGGCCTGGGTTCAAAGAATGTAGCGAGATGAGCAGGAGCTGACAAAAACAGGTCATCACCTTCGGTTTCGACAAGTTCCAGACCTACATCGGCCCCGGCACTACGATTGCCGACCGCACCAAGAACTGCCAGCTGCACCTGAACCTGAAGGTGAGCACATCTTCATGAAGAGTCTTACAAAACAAGCTGACAACCCTCAGTACCCTGGCGGCTTCCAATTCGCGGTCGTCGAGTCGACTTACCACGGCTACGCCCTCCTGGAGGAGGGTGTCACCGGCACCTTCTTCAGCACTTACTACTTCTCTCAGGACGCTAAGGCGACCACCACCACCCAAACCACCATCACGGGCGGCGGCATCTGGGCGGCCGGTCAGGTCTACACCAAGTCGGACAAGATCCCGACGGCCAGCTACATCTACTCGCCTTGCGGCGCCAGCGGCATCCTCAACATCAACAACCGCATTGCCCTCACCTCGACCAACCCCAACGCTTTCGGCATGATCACCGACGACGACGCTACCATTGCCTTCACTCAGCAGCTCAACATTGCTTGGCGCAGGTGCTAAACGCCTTGAAGGCACTGGCGCTAGAACTCAGGATGCCCGGCAGCGGTGGAGTGCTAGCGTAAGGTTCGGGGAAGGGTTGTTGAGAATGGCTCGCGGTTTGCTCGCTCCTGAGAAGGAGTAGACTGCGTATGGCAAAAGAAAAGGCGGGCTGAATGGCCGAGCCGAAGTGATTACAGGACGCTTGATCGCCGGGAACGGTTTCGGTGTCAAAGCGGTCCTGAACAAGAACTTTTCCTCTTATTTTTCCAATTTTTCCCTGTGGATATTTCCAAGTTTGTTTGTGAATAGCAAGTCAATCAAGCCTTTTTCCCTTTATTAATGCTTTTTTTGCTTTCTTTGAGTGACGTGACTCATGGTCAAAATCCAGAGGGAGTATCATCAGGTATCTTAGACCTTATCTCCGCCCGGAACCGAACCTGCCCGTTCATGCAAAGGATCGCCAAAAAACGGCAGTGTTCCTGACTCCAAACGCTTGCAGCGCGAAGCGAGGCTGCAGATTCGGTTCCCTGTAATGATTGATATTCCAAACGGGATATCTCAGGCAAGCAACGTCGTACTTTGCCGGTGGTGGCAAAACTCTTGAATCCCAGGACAACCAGCTGCATCTGCGCCTGAATTGCCGGATCAGGATACCTACTCTTGAGGTGAACAAAGGTATGCGAAAGACGGCTGGTTTTGAGTTCCGAAGAAGGTTATCTCGATCTGGCCGGTCGTTGTAGGGTCTGGTTGCAAGGTTAATAGGTAGGGAGAGAGGAGGTCTTCAGCAGCCAATCGTGGAACCCAATCAAAGCCCTCAAATGTCTCAGACCCCCGCATTTCCCGCAGAAAAATCCGTAACTGCAATCCAGATCCGATGTCCAAGAACTTGCGAGTGTGATGCTTAGTCAAGAACAACGATTGGCCAGCCAGCAAGGTTGCAACGTTGCCTGTGTAACGTGATCGGATCAGCAAGACTGCAGCCCAGCGAGCGCATTTTGAAGTATGTGAGAGAGTGTGAGTGTGTGTCATCATGCAGCCCACATGCAAAGATGGCTCATTGGATGTAGGAACTCCGACCCAGTGAGACATGCAGCTGCAACAATCTGTACATATGTATAAGAGGTGACTTCATCCGATACCGCGTTAGGTGCACGTCGTCCACGCAAGGCAATTACGATTCACATGGACGGCATTTCATCAACTGTGATGGGCGTCGTTGTGGCAGCCGATGTTTGTTGGCTTGGGTCCAGTGAAACACAAAACGAAGACTCCCTGAAATGACCCCCTTGCCGTTCCGTGTCATTGATTCAGCCAGAGCCCAAAATCCAGAATATTGGAGATTCACAGTCCCAACATAGACGTCATCAAACCGGCGGCGTGCAAGATCATCGCCTCTCCTTCCAGTTCAAGAATCTGGGAGCCTGCGGGGGACTGGAGAAGTGTCGATGAGTAATGAGCGGCCAGGGTCAGTCAGGGTACGCAACCCGAATTGGCCAGTGGTCGGTGAAGCGGTTGCCTGTTCCAGCATTGTGGTTCAGCCCATGATCATCCCGTCTTGTCGGTGTCACTGGGCTCGCTTCTGTGAGGGGAGGCAATAGTGCTGGTCAATAATGCATGAAAGAGACAAACGACCAGTTTTAGGAAGGTTAATTGGAGATCTGAAGTTGCAAGGAGAGAGAGTTTCGTTTCTACAGATTTTGGTGCTCTCTCCATGTGAAGTCGAACCGAGTTTGCGGTCCGAGACGGGAAGAGAGCAATCACTCCACCTTTCCTGTTTGTCTACCGGGAAGAACCGGGAGAGAGCAGCACTTGGAACAAGCGAGCTGCCGGCTTGAAACACGCCGCTCTCGAAGCATGTATGTTTCGTCGGCCGAACTGCATTACATTCCAGTCTCAGCTTCTTCCTCCCACTGAGATACAGGGCGTGTCACGCACGAACATTCGATTCCTGCACAACATCACGATATCCACCTTAACAAAAATATTATTTCAGCACACTAACCTTGAAATAAAATGGAAAGCTCCATACCCTATCAAAAAAAGTCCCAGGAACACTGCTCTCGTAACGGCAGCGAAGGAGCACAGAGGCAGAGCAGAGAAGACGGAGAAAAATCCGACCACTCAGAATTCACTCTCAAGAGACCCAAAATGGCCGGTGGATCTACCAACAGCATGGTGTCCAATCGGCGATGAGTCCGGTAAACCCACTTTTGTCACCATCCCCACTAACTTTGCTGTTACTCCACACTTACCCCACTCCATTTGTTCTGTCGGGACCGACTGGCCAGTCAGCAATTCTGGACCTACACCAGAGCATGCACGCTGGTTCTTTGGCCTGGAGCTCCACACGTTCTGGATCTTCTGATGCCAGCGCTGGCAATGCGGGAACGAGCTCTTGCAGGTCTTGGGAGGTCCCAGTGCTTGGGAACTTTTGTGGTTCCCTTTGTTGTCACGATCACTATGCTTGCTTTCTTGTTCTTGCTTCCTGGGACTGGAAAACAACCACCATCATCAGTTAATAGCAGATGATGGACGATAATACTATGGCAGATATCCATGATGAGTTGCCGAATTTACCTGAGAGATAACGACAAGTCGAGGGATGCAGGCAGGAAAGAGAAGAAATTGCCATCAATCATGGTTCTCGCTTCCACGGTTTGAAAGCAAACCACCAGAGAGGCCCAACATCAGCTGGACTGCGCAGTAATGTCGGCATTTCGTTTAAGAAAGCGACTGCCGACCCCAGACCTGAGTGGGAAAAGCGCGTAATGCCGAAGCAATGCTGTGCAGTGCTGCCAAAGCCACAAAGCAACGGGCCGAGGGAGAGCCCACTTCACTGGGCGCCAGGTGATTTGGGTGCTGCTGAACGCTTGCATTCGCATATTCTTGCCTGCAGAGTATGTATAATGCTTGCGAATAAGGCATAATATCCTATGCTGCAGTACTTAATATTCCAAATTCTGCACGAAACATAGGCCGAGACGAGTCGACACGACCCCAGACCCCCAAATCGTCGGGATCTCCGTGTCCAGATCGCTGGGACATGAACGAAAGGGCCCAGTAAAGGGGCCGAGATGCTTGCTTTGGCCCTCGAGGATCCTGGCTGTGTCCCGAAGCTTTGGTTCTGGACGCCGCTCACGTCCCAAGGGACTGGGCGATGGGTCCCGGAAGTGTTTCCTGGAAGTAGAAGCAGGCATCTTGGTGTCTTCTTGGTGTCCGGTGGCTGCTCCAGGCCCCATGCTCCTGGTGCTTGTGCCCGAGCCAGCAACAGCCAGCAACCGCACACGTTTTTCCAGGGGTTCCAGCTTGTTAATATTCTGGGTGTGCATTTGGAGGTATCACGAGGCCCAGAGAAGTGGTTCATCCACGCCACGCAGTGCTTCTGCTTCATTGCATTATATCTGCATTTTGATCTGATGTGGTATCACAGATCACCGATCTTTCTGATCTGTTCCGACACCACGGTTACGGAAGCCTTTCCCCTCGGCGCAGGTTTCCTTTTCGAGAGCCCATCGACACCGACGCAATGGTTTTGTTCTTTTTCTGTTGTCCACTGGCCATGCTGCACGTCGCCCAATCAAGCAAGTCTCGCCAGCTGGGGGACTTTTGCTGGAGCCAACTGGCTGGAATGTCCCGAGCCAGAGCCCTGCTCTGTCATCCATTTTCTTGGGTCAAGTGGGCGTCACCCTGCCACACCCTAGACTGAATTGTGGAGCATACGGGGGCCTCTGGCAGGGGCTCCATAAGGCGCCGAGGATACGTCGGCGGTGATATACAAGTGTCCGCATTTCCTCTTCGTTGCGGCTCTTGTGGTTCACGTTTCGTTTGTCATCATCGACTTCGACGTTGGACGTTTGTCGATTCAGCCACGGAAACATCAAACAGCAAAGCTGAAACGGCCGTGAGCCTGTTCGGAAGTCAACGTTGCAACCAGACGCCCGCTGCTGTCATCGAAGACATACCCAACACCACTGGCCGCACATCCTGCTTCGTCGCTCGCTACTACCACACTTCCAACAAAACACAACCAACATGTGCAACTTCATCCAACGAGAATATGACTGCGGCCACTTCCGCTGGATCGCCTCCAAGTGGTGTCGCGCCTACACAATAACCCACAAGCGGTGTCCGCCCGACGTCACACACTTTGAGTGGTATGCATCCTCTTCCCATCTTTCTATTCTCTTTTTTTCGGAGAGCCTTGGAGATTGTGTGTGCGGTCTTCAGCATGGTTGCCGCCCACATGGATGCCAGCAGCAAGGCTCGGTGCCTTAGGTACCCTGCCGTCTCGCTGTGTGCCCAAATCCGTGCATGCGCGCGGGATGCAGCAGCCCGCAAGGTTACGGTACACACAAGCGCCAAGCTGCACGTGGGCAAGCCACGCACGCTGACAGACCTCCTCGGATGTTCTCCCCTTGACACTTCTCAAGACTTTGGAAAGAGAAGCAGCTATGCTGACTGTGCATCGCGCTCATATGCAGTGTTGATACCATCTGCGGAGACTGCAAGGCCAAGCAGCGCCCTCCCGTACCGTGGGAGAACCTTATCATGCGCCACAATAACCGCTGGGGGTTGTGAATGATATCATATCGACATTGCGATATTAAGGGGGGGATATCGTCAGCCTCACTGCCCCAATACCGAGAGGGTGTGGCGGCTTGTTATCATGCATCCGACGAGCTCGCTATCTCTTACCGTCCTCATCATCAAATCCGAACCTCCGACTAGCATGCATATCCTTTATCATCAATCGCATCTCTCATCCCCGCAATCCTCTCCGACACACGGATATCTCCGTTTTCCTTCCACATCCCGAACTCCTGCGATACAACACTCCCTCAACCTCTTTAGTCCCCACAATATTTCTCTCTCATCACAACCCACATCCCGACCACACACATACACAACCACACAATGCATTTTCTGGTGTTTCGGAGCATAAAAGCACATCGCAGTTTCAGTTAACCACATTGGAGGATGTTTTTGCTTCTAAGATACATGGCTGACTAGCCATTTACTTTTTTTTTTGATCTCTTGTGTCGTCATTGATGTCGCAACAGTACAGTACATTGGCATAGGCGTTGGGATGGGTCTCTGGTTATATTATCGTCATCATCATAGCAACAAGCAGCAAGTACCGCTTGATCCTTGCGTTTGGCGTGGCGTCGTTGTGTTTTCTCTGAAGTCTGGTACATGTATGGTGGCATGAGTGGAAGATTAAATGGGTCATTGTCATCTGGAAGTATACTTGTCTTGTGGCTCTTGTTGTCTAGGCAGAAATCGCATGTGATACCACTTTTTTTTTCTTTGAGTAGAGTTGTCTGCATGTACATAGGGGGAATACACCAACTATGTTTAGAGTCTGACCTTCTGTCTTGATGTTCGCATTGGTGATGCACGTGCTCAGTCAAGGAAACAATATGGTGCTGTCCTAGGAGGTGTTGTCTAAACACGTATGGTTTCCTTTTGATCCCCGTAAAAGGTCGTGAAATACATGCCATATGAACTCATATACAACAGAAATCTAGGTGCATGTTAGCATACCTTCTTATAATAATACCTCTGTACCTAAATTTGCTTATGATACAGATTAAAGATTCTCTCAGTCTTTGGCGAGTGCCTGTCGTCACAGGACGAGCTTGGGGTCCTGTGTTCGCTTTATTCCGGTAACTCCACAGCCAGACGAACAGACGTGGTGATGTAAGTGTGTGCGAGTTGGAAAATTGCCATTTTCCCTCATGTTAATGCAAACATACGCTTCTGCGCAACTCTTGCACGTCTGTTGAGCGACATAAACCATATCAGTCCATGTCAGTATCTGATCCTCAACAATCACATACCTTACCTACACTCGCTTGGTCCCTTTTTTATTTGACGCTCCAGCCTTGGAGCTTGGCACAACGGACGTTCACATCGATCTTATCGCAGTGCAGTTGCCATCATGTTTGGATCTGACTTCAAATCAACCCGATCATACTTTATACTTTGGTTATCTGGTGTCGTCATGAGCTCGATGTTTGCATCCCGAGCGCTATCCACAAAATCGGTCCATAACCGTTTACTTTGAACAAGACGTTCGTAATTGGATGTCCAGGAGAGGATGACATCAGCCTTTGGATTCAAGCTGTTACTGTTCACCGACACACCTTTATCATGATCAGAATTACCAGACCATCGCTTTATGGCTCAGACAATTTCCAACCCCAAAACATCGAGACGTCAGTTCATTGAGTCTGGACATATAGGCCTTGCAATGGCGGTATTAACTTTTCTCCTCACCTTTAAACAATCCATCTCCAATTTATTTTTAAACCCCTGTCACAACTCACATCACCGTCACCATGCCCCGCCCTACAGCCTCTGACCCCGACGCACCCCCCAAGCTCCTCCTCACCGGTGCCATCAACCCCTTCGCCCTGGCCGAGGCCCTGCTGCACCGCAAACTTGATTGGTCTGCTCCCGCAACCCGTCACCGCATACTGCCTGCGCTTCTGCAAACAGACTACGATGAGCTGTTTGACATGCGCTTTCGGAGTGTATTATACGCGGGTGTGAGGATTAATAACTTTGGTGGGGTAGAGAGGGTGCCTGAGGAGGAGGTTAGGATCTTTTGTGAAGGGGACGGGGAAGAAGAGGAGGAGGAGGGAAGGGATGACTTGAGTGGAGCGAGGAAGCTGGGCGATTTGAAAAGGATGATCGGCTTAGGTGGGGAAGAAATCGAGGAGTTGGGGGTGAAGAGGGCGGTAGTGTCGAACGGAAACTTGCATGTGACGCTTGTATTGTCAGGGGAAGTGGCGGGTTGGGCGGGGAGGAGGATGAGTTGTGAGGAGATGACTGCTGAGATTAGGGAGCTCGCCACTCCTTACAGAAGGAACAGCCTATATAGACAACCAAGTGGTGAGAAGGAAGAGGAGCTATGGACACCGCCTGGGGGGAGGTGGATGGATGTCAGCGCATGGAATCATCGCGATGTAACCATGTTCACTAACCCCGTTCAGGGGGCGGCGCCGAATAGTTGGTTTGTCGCAGCGCTGATGAGTGTTGATTGGGCTGAACCCGGGAAGATCGAGAGGTGTGTGCCGAAGGGAGAAGCATGTCAGTACATGTACCCAGAAGACTTTAATGACGATAACACAGAAGGTCTTGGCGCCCTCGAAACTGAGTCAGTGGTCGGAGAAAACTATGGCGACTACAACGATACAAACAACCCTTGGCCTGAAGAGAAGCCAGCCTGCACGTTGGCAACAACCTTCTACTCCCAAGGAGGAGATAATGACGCTCCGACGGCCAAGATCACAGTCGACTGTGTCTTGCCGACCAACAGCACAACCTCTCTGCTCGTTTACTGCCGTCCCAGCTCCCTCAATTACGCCTATCCTCCGACGCTTACCTCAGGCGACTGGCGTGGCGAGCTTTGGCCCGCGCTCTACGAGAAGGCTTTTGCCGTCTGGCTATCAACCGGCAAAAAGACAGTCCCATCCGAGTCTTCTTGCATGATCAACTCATCTCCAGCGCTGTCAGCAACAACCCCCGATTCTAACTTTGACCCTCCAGACGGCACAACCTCACCAACCTCAAGTTCCCCGGCTACCTCTGAGACAGCTGAGTCAAACACTGCAGCATCCCTTCTCCCAGACCTAGTCCTCACCTGCCAAGGCGACCCGGTCAAGGCTCTCGCACAACTAACCTCCCGCCCTCCAATGTACTTCCACACATCCTGCCGAACAGCCACAGACCTGCTTGCTCTCGTCCGCTTACACTCCTCCAACCTGCGTGTCACTACCCCGATGGTGGCATGGACTAGGCCGACAAGCGACGATGGCGCTTTTTGTAGGGGCGCTACGTTGGTGGGGAATATGGCGTATAGTGTTTTGGGATGGGCGACTAGGGGGTCGGCAGCGACCGTTGGGGATGAGGAGACTGGGACTGGGCTGAGTCGGAGTGCCAGTGTTAGGAGTATGAGCGGGATGAGAGAGGGTGAGCTGGGCCGGTCTGTCAGTACTAGGAGTAGGAATGGGACAGCAGGGAGTGAGTTGGAGTGTTCGGTGAGCGTTAGGAGTATGAGGGGCGTCGTCCGAAGTGAGCTCGGTCGAACCAGAAGTGTCAGAAACAAGATCGCGACCGCGGGAAGTGAGCTTTGCCGCTCTTCGAGTGTTCGTAACCGCGCTAGCGCCATGAACAGGGTTTCGGATAGCACTCTCACCCGCTCTGTTAGTGTGAGAAACAGAAGCAGCAGTGTCTCCAGTCCTCCTATCGGTCTGGCCCGTTCTGACAGCATCCAAAGCCATATTGGCGCTTTGGCCCAAGAGCACCAACTTACTCGACACCGGGCTGCCTCCGTCTCCAGCGAGGCCGACGATCTCCCCCTCACCCGTCCACGGAGCAAATCAATGGGCAGTATGACTAGCGAAATGGTTCGCCGTCCCAGCCTGCGCAGCAGGACCAACCCTCTCTCGAACGACCCCGATGTCATTCCCGAGAACTCCCCTGGACAGAAAAGCCGACCTAGCACACCGACCCGAAACCAAAGCCTTAGCATAGGCAACCCCGTAGCTGAACAGCCGGCAAAGCCAGTTCAGAAGCAGTTTATCGTGCTTCGTCACCCATGGGGAGTCACTCCTCCTTTGGAAGACCCTTACGCTAAGCGCTGGCCTACGAGTCCATTTGATGGAGATGAGGTCGATGGGGCAAAAAAAGATCAAGAAGAGTGTCCTTATGGTGTGATTGTCGATGTAGATGAGGACTTTTGGCCACCAGTAGCGACATTGGATGAGACAAGCGTGTTTGCGGTTGAGATTAGTGTGTTTAAGGAATATTTTGCAGGATTGGGGTTGGCGAAGTGAGGGTCTCACGTAGGATAGATTTAGATGAGAGATAGGACTTGGATTTGTCATCAAGCTTTTTCTCTTTTGATTTGATCTCATTGCTATCTTTTACAGACTCCATTAGCATCTGATGTGAGAGTTAGTTGAGAGCGGACTGCTCAGCCTCTACCGGGCTTCAACCTCAGCCATAATGATAATGATAACGGGTGACAGGCTCGGCCACAACATTTTGGGATCAGAATCATATACAGATGGAAAGAAACGATAACAGTGCGAATTTGTGTTCTTGAGGGTAAATGATGTTGTTGCAGATTTCAGAAGCATGCCATCTTTACTCCTCTACAAGTTCTCAGGGGCACCAGGCTGACAAAATGAAGGCTTTCAGGTTCCAGTTCACACTTTTCTGAAAAAATTGTTCAACTGCTAACAACTTACGTTTTCATCAGCGAGACTTGCGAACTTGGTGAATAATGGACTGTAACTCTCCAGTGCGAATGTTGGGCATATGACACCGAACGATTTGAGATTGGACTGATGACTCTAGTCATATTGATTTTAACCAAGACAATATATTTAGGAACATTAAACAGAATCGACAACCCGATGACAGAGACTTATTAGCGTTAGGTATTAAAGCAAAAGCGACCTGTTGGAAAGCTTGACATCTATAAGCTTGTGAACGTAGATTGAAATGCATCAATCGGGATCAGAGAGGAACATGCAACCTTAACAAGAAAGGGGGCTTATTTCTCTTGAACTTAATAATTCCGTTGGAAGCAGTATGGAATAAAAGAGGATAAGGATGGAAAACACGAGGAACCAATTCCAACAAGCTATTATATCAAGGAAGGATCACTAGTTGTCCCCAGACATATGTGAGTGAAATTCCGAAAATTTGGAGCAATGCGCTTGGCGATGTACCATTGAGATTCAGATTAAGAACAATATGATTAAGAAAGTGCTCAATTTGGTAACATAGCACGATTAAACAATTGACATTATTGAGCTCTGAAGAAGCAAGTGGCAGTCTGTCCACCAGTGCCAGATAAGGGGGAGCCTGGAACCTCGAAGTGAAGAGCAGCAAAGGATTCATAAACATATTTTTAGTGCATCATCTTTATTGTGGAAAGTTAATGAAGAAACATGAAAAAGGGCAAGACTTAGAACAAGCAAAAAATATAAAAACTGAGTCCCCTCGACCGGAATCGAGCCGGTGACCTTTCGGTATCAGTAAATCGCTTACAGCCGAACGTGATAGCCAACTACACCACAAGGGGCTCTAATTGGTTGTTTGCAGTTTGCGTTGAAATTTTACTAAATAAAGTATTGAAAGGGGGTACTTAAGCAGTTGGTAATTCAACCTGATCGCGAAGCGCTACTCGAGCACTTCACAAAGGCTTGACTTCAGGGCTTCGTTTGCCGATAATGTTGGCCTATCCTTGTTTTGTTATACTGTTGCTCGTTGCGTGTGGCGACGACGTTCGCTGCTTGTTCTGCAGAGGCGCCACGGCAAGAGAACCCTATAAGATCGTGCTTACATCCTTCCAATCAAGATGCGACCCACATTAAACTCAACGTCGCTCACATGGTCGCAGGGAACCTTTGCGCTGCAATTATGTTTTGCTAGAGAGTCAACTTGGCGGTTAGACTTTTCCCCTGATTTCAGCAGATATCTTCCAGAGACTATCTCCAACTACAGTGCACGCTGTGGAGCTAGTGTCAAAGTCACATACTACTGTACACAGTAGGTCTTGATGGTCATTGCTACCCTCCCCCATACTAGGCATCGATGTGAGATAGGCAAAAGATAGGGGTTTAAGCCCATGTACCAGTGAAGACTGCGACATCCGATCACTGCCCGAAAGATAGGTGACAGTCCAAAGGATGAGCTCTGCGACAACTAGCTAGCGGTGGGTTATCAATCGCAGCAATGTCCAACATCACTGAAACAGCACCAATCTAGCGGTGTCAATGCCGTTGCCACGCACGCGGTCTGTCTGAGACACTCATCCAGTGATACCAGGACATAACGGACCGGCGGGATGCCGTTGCAAATTCAAGTCCAGCACATCTCACAAACTTCTGCCCCATCTCAGCGAAGGGTAACAACTGGCAAGTTAACAACTCGACACCGAGTGGACTTTCCACCTTGAAGATTCGACTCATCACACCCTTGACCACCCGAGCTGGACCATCCGCGCTGAAAGACAAGCGTGAATCCACTTTCAGGCAAAATAGGCGCCGTCAAGGGTGTGAAGCGCATGCACGAAGGTCTAGGCCTGGACAGCAACAATTGGCGGTCGGCGGGACGCTTGGCAGCAGGGGAAGTCTCTATCGGCCTCTATAGCTAACTATGATCAGATAGAGACCTGTTTATTAGTAAAGAATGACGCGAGATGCTGGCTTCTGAATTTCGGTGAATCTCTTGTGTTTCGATGCACAGGCTGCGCTTCATCGGAGTCGGATAGGGCTTGTAGGGCCACCTGACCGCAACAAATGACACTCAGAATCTTGAAAGATAAGGTCACAAAATCGCAGTGGTTAACTCTGGATATCACATCAATGGTGGTGGCTTGGATGTGCGAGGGCGTTGGCGGCTGAGACGGAGAAAGAAGGGAGGGGACAATCGTGGCAATGCTGTTCTCTAGGAAGCGAGAATCCCACCGAGTTCTGACCGGCTTGGCGTGGCTAGTTGACAACAGCCAAGGAAACCAAGATCTTACTTGCTTCCCACTGTTGAAGCCGTAAAGATAATAAATGTTACCGGCCGTCGATCGACGGTGTCATCGTGGCATCCACAGCGAAGCTTGACCAGCTCGCTTCGATGGTGTTTTTTTCCGCTCCACGTGGTTCAGCCTTAAAGTTGTTAATAATTACGCCCGTCGGAAGATCGACGACGAGGAAATCCTGGCTCTCGGGTTTCGAAAGAATCTGATGGCGATGCAATGGTAGCCGACTTCGGCTGGGACGCCAGAGGACGGCTGGGTCCGTATCATCGAAGTGCGTGATGACTCCATCAGGGGGTCGGTAATCCCGGTGGTAATAACCGTACCAGTGTATCAGTATTGTATTACATGTTAGTACAGATGAAAGTTTTCTTCGTACGGTACTTACGCTGAGCTGAAAGTAGGGCTGTCCCTGAAACGGCGGCCAGATGTGTGGCTTGTGCGGCTACACGGGACACCAGAACCAGTGAAAGCGCGGAGATTCTAACCAGGAAAGGAAAGGCTCTTCCGGTGAGCCTATGGAGTGCAAACGGTCGAACCAGCTGGAAAGGCCAAGCGCAATGGAGATAGTGGAAAAAAAAGCCCGCTAGACTATTGGAAGCAAAATTACGGTTGCTAACGCTAAGCAGGAGACCTGACGAAAATACAAACGACGGCACCAGGAATTATCGAATTCTGCAGCACAGGGGTCACATCGGCAAGCGCTGCTGATGTTCAGCTTGCTCAGCGGGCGAGAGCGACGAAGAACCTGGAGAGGAGATGGACTGTCGGGAGGGCCGCTCCAAGTACGTGTGTTGAAGGGGACGGTCCAAGAAGAGCCTGCTCAGAGCGAACTCAGGGTTGAGAGATACGGCACTCATGCAAGTTTTGTGAGCTCTCCGCGGTTGATCGGCAACCTCTGGGACAAACGAGCATCCATCCAAGGAAATCAGATACGGATTAGCTGCTTGGGGAACTTGAAGTCCAGAGTTGCATTCTTGGTTTGCATCTGTTGTGGCGCCCAGCCGCCCAGCCGCCCAGCCGCTCAGGGGTCTGCCGGCACCAGCTTTGCGGCAGCGGTGTGGGGCCTGTAGCCGGGCCGTCGAGGCTGTTGGTTGGTTGAGCACAAGAACACCAAGAAAACCAAGAAAATGTTACTTGTACATACTGTGAGCAACCTGACAGCACAGCAACAATCATTCAGCTGCCCAGGCGGTCCGTTAACCTGAATAGGTTATGAAATCCAGTTTTATTGCAGGTTTGCAGCTGAAGAGATCTGCTCCTTGAAGAGAAAGAAGAGGATATAAGCAGAAGCCGATGAGAGCTGCTTCATTTACGCTCGCGAGCAATGGACAAAGTTTGAAGGAAAAGCAATCCTCCAGTTCCCCGATAAAATGAAGAACTGCTTAGCGTTTTCTAGAAGCACTCTTCGAAAAAGTCAAGGTGGGACTAAAGGGTTGTCGGTGCGGAACAGGCCAGGTGTGACCCCTGCAGTGATGAGCTCTGACTTCAACCATACCGCGGCGTTATGGTAACGGCAGCTGGAAGAACACAGCACTGAGAAACACAAAATGAGACATGTGATGGAATTTTTTCTTCGTTTAATGTATAGCAAAGTGCTGTTGTCCAATCTGCACAGTAGAAGAAACGAGTTATGACCCTAGCACGCAGAGACCATTCGCTACCATTTGTTCGTTACCCTCGTTTCCTGCTTTCATTGAATTTTCATTCTTGGCCTCCTCAACCATTCAGGTGCACCCATGTTAGGGACTTGGCGTTGCTACACCGCGGTGTAAGAAGTCTGGAGACGCAGAGCGTAAGTTACAAACCATCTCGAAGGTACTGTAACGCTGGCAGAACAGCAGTACAGCAGCTGGAGCCAAAACTCAAAATGTCGGCACTTGGGATCCATTCTCTGCCACTGACGCCATTGCTGGTCTCTGATAGTCTCTCTCGTTTTCTGACCTCAGATCAGGTCGCATTCAGCCTGCCGAGCCTGTCATTCGTTGCTTTCGGCCCGGCCAACGACCTGCGTAACAGCAGTCGTCCCTGATCTCTGGGGAACCCTACCTACAGCCCACGGCGACGACGCTCGTTATTCACCTGAACCCTACCGAACTGTACCCAGGTAGTGGTCCCGAGCGATTGGGTCCTGGTTGCATCGTGCTTCCAGGCAGAACTCACAGGCCGCCTCTGTCTGCTTGTCTGTCATCATCTGTCTTACCGGCATAACAGAGCGACAGGTCGCCGTCATCACCACGGCCCGTGTCTATCTGATCGACTGCTCGTCCCCTCACTTCCAAGTCCCAGCAGCGTAGCTGGCAAAGCTGCCGTCCCTCCGTTCCCCATTCAACCGTCAACATGCACAGCAACCGTGACGACCAAACCGGCGGTAACCCGGCGCCGCCGGAATCGACAATCCCTCAGCGCCCTGGCTCCCCTACGAATTCAGAAGGCGCCGGGCGCGACCCCTTTTCCGACGGCGTTGAATCGCGCGCCTCGAATCGCGAGAACGAGAAGATTCCCGGCGGTGCTACAGCGAACCCCTTCTCCAGCCCATCAGTATCGCGTCCGGCCAGCAGTATTGGGTCGGCGTCAGTTATTGGAGGGCCCAGGTACGATAATGTGCCTAGGTACTTCCACTCCAGGAGAGTAAAGAAGGGAGAGGTTGAGAAGCCGTGGTTGAAGAATAAGGATCCTAAGGAGAAGTGGGTTACGATTCTACCTATTCTGGGCATTTTCATAGGGTTGGGTCTCTCGGGGTTGTTGGTGTGGGACGGTATCAAGAGTGTCGTGCATCACAAGTACTGTCTCGTGCTGGACGAGACGTTTCAGAATGGGCTGGATCCGGCGATTTGGACGAAAGAGGTGCAGGTCAACGGGTTTGGGTAAGCACTACCCCAAGGAAACTACCTGCTATGCACAAGCTAACGACACCAGCAACGGCGAATTTGAAATGACCACAGGCGGCGACCAAAACGTCTTCGTGCAAGACGGCAAGCTTATCATCCGCGCGATGCCCCAAGACGACGCGCTCATGCAGAAAGACTACAAGATCGACCTACTCAAGGATGGCACTTGCACGTCGACTAACCCCGCCAACTGCATTGCCTGGACCAACACTACCGCTGGCAATGCTACCATCGTCCCTCCCGTCACCTCCGGCCGCATCCACACACGCAAGGGCGCTAGCATCAAGTACGGCCGCGTTGAGGTTACCGCCAAGCTGCCCAAAGGCGACTGGCTGTGGCCCGCCATCTGGATGATGCCGGTCAAGGACACGTACGGTGCGTGGCCGCGCTCGGGCGAAATTGATATCATGGAGTCTCGCGGTAACAATTACTCGCACCCGCAGGGCGGCAATGATATCATTTCCTCGACTCTGCATTGGGGTCCTAACCCGGCCAATGACGGCTGGTGGAGGACCAATGTTAAGCGGCGGGCGCTGCACACAACGTATTCGGATAAGTTCCATACCTTCGGGCTGGAGTGGTCGCAGAAGTACATGTTCACGTATGTGAACACTAGGCTGCTCCAGGTCATGTATGTTAACTTTGACGAGCCGATGTGGCAGCGGGGCAACTTCCCCAACCAAGATGCCAACGGTACTCGTTTGGAGGACATCTGGGCCAAGACGGGGAGATACAACACCCCGTTTGACCAGCCGTTTTACTTGATTCTAAACGTGGCCGTGGGCGGCACCAACGGTTGGTTCCAGGATGGTGCACATGGCAAGCCGTGGTTAGATGGTTCTCCGAATGCTAGGAAGGACTTTTGGCTGGCGAAGGATCGTTGGTTGCCTACTTGGACCAACCCGCAGATGGAGATTACCCGGGTTGTTATGATGCAGCAGTGTGATGGAGATGAGGATCTTTAAGGGATAGGTAGTGATTTTTGGTATGTGTGTGCTGGACTTGGGTACATCTTCTAATGTCTAGTTTCGGCTATGTTTTCCATAGTACTTAGGACAGAGCGCAAGAATGGTTTGCTTGAGATAGTATCAGATGCTGGTATCCCTCATTTTGAGTTTTTCCTTTACCAATAGGGTATAATAGCTGGGCAGTATGTTTCAGCCTTGGATTTCATAAATATCGGGGTGAACATTAATATGATCAGACACTTTTGTAGGCACTCATCGAAATGCTAGACACGATCGTATTGCGGTTTTGCCGACAGTAGGAGTGATCTACCCGCCATCTGGAAGTGGCAAACTAACACAAAACCTCTGACATGCATCACACCAAGTGCAGATAGCAGGACGCAAAAGGGCAGGGCAGATTTCCTGACATTCAACACTGAGCCAAGATAGAAAATTCAATAGAATGTATTCGGCCATGCATCCTTTTTGGCTTCCCCCTCCTTCTCCCTCCATACACAGTATGTACACCTCGATGCGATGTGACCCAGGACACATGGTCGGCGACGCAGCTGGCCGCCTGGTCATGGCCGTGCTCTTGCGCTGCAGCCCAAGACGGGAAGTCACTCGCGAGGGTAGAGCCAGGGTTACCCTCCATACCTAATCTATTCCATTGTGTTTACCATTGGTGCACACATCATGAGAGTGAGCAAGTTTTGGCTCCGGTGAAAAGCTACAATAAGACTGCGTCGAAGCCCGATCTCAAAAACTCAATTCCGTCCAGAACCTGAAACAAAGCTCCTCTTCTCCGCACTCTCGTGATTCTGGTGGAGAAGCATCGGGTTGGAGTTTGGGAAGAAAGAGCCCGCCAAGTCCCATCTCAATACATGTATTAAGTCGATTCCCTCCAGACCAAACTTTTGAGTTCCTGGGCCCAGCTTCTCGAGGACAGCTGAGTGAAACCCGGGGAAGGCTGAGCTGGGATGCACGGTTGTGGAAGTCTTATTGAAGTAACTTGCCGACCGTGTAGGACTATGGGTTTGTTTACGACTCTGCTCGTAACCTACATTCGGCTTCTTGCTGAAGGTCCGAGTCAAGGCTGAACGGGAGGGGAGTTGCACCCAATTAATCTGTGTTAGCTGTGAGTGGTGAACATAAAATGTCTCGGCGCTCGGTGCAGCCTCGCTCGGTGCAGCCTCGCTCGGTGCAGCTTCACTCGGTCTCTACACTGGCATCTATTATGATTTGGCGCTGTGATGAAGGGAAGGTTGACTCAGACCGACAGCCGCCGCTCGGCATCGGGACTGTGATAGCCAATGTGTAACCCGCGTCCTGCTCTCCTCGAGCAGAGTTCAGCCCTCCCCTCGGAGTGGGGAGGTCTCGGCCCGTCGTGTTTTTTTGGCTATCCAACTAATGAAGATAATGGCAGATCATGCATGACAGGACAGTGAGAGGTAAGACTTGTCGATGCATGGCTGCAAGAACGTTGGATGAGCAATATCAGTGGCCATGGACCCCGCCAACACAGCATCCTACACAAACAGGAATTCCTTAAAACTCTGATTTCATGAAGACAACGAGCACGTAAAGCTACATCATAGAGTTCCTTCGCTCCAAGTTCTCACAGTTCAAAAATGCGGTTGGACGTGTCCGATTTTCATGACAACAGAGAGCTAGCGTTCCCGGAATCTGAAAGATGGATGACGGTCCCGCGTGGGGCTATTTTTGGTTCACCAATGAATGATCGTGATGGATGATGCAGGCTGCTGTAAAGATGTTGTGACCGCATTCGTATTTTTTTCAAGTTTCTCTGCGACAAGCCGGTCGCCTGATAATGCACGTTATGTGCGCGTCTTGAGCAAAATTCTTGCAATTGAGCTTCCTTCACCAGAAAAAGAGTTTCTAGACGGCATTTGACTTAGGATAAGCACCAGAACTTTTGACTCGTGATGCCACCCAGAGATAAAACATGTCTTACAGCCCTTTCATCGACCTTGGCGGCAAACCAAGGTTGGCCTAAGTGTAAGTTTACGTTCTATTGTTACAACACTGCGTATGTGGTTATGGTGGGCAGCTCTGTTTCAACCCATGGGCATTCGGGAGCTGGAGATCTCTGAAGAACTTGAGAACACAAGAACAGAAAGCTCAGCGCACTGTTCCGTCTTGGAGTGAGATCGGGATGTAGCGGGCGTCCTTGGCCGATTACAATGGGGCCTTTGGTGGGGCGCAAAGAAACGCCGGCTTGCACACCATCGCTTCGAACTTTACTGGTTTGGGCCTGTAAATTACTAGCATCTTTCAGCCATTGAAATTTCAAAGCTACAGTAATCCGTAAATACTGTAAGACAGCGTAACGAGATAACGTGCTGACGCTGACCTGGTTGTTCGATCCGGATGAGCCGACACGTAGGGCTGGTGGGTTTTGTTATTTTTTTTTTTCCAAGGGAATGTTGACCTTGTGTATCTCTGCCTCTATCTAAGCTGCTTTCAAGAGTGGAAGCGGGGCAAACCTTTTTGACTGGCAAGATGCTGGTTGTTGCTCTCGCCTTCGGAAATTTCAGTATCCACAAGTCGCGTGGTAACATGGAGCTGAAGAGACACGTTCTGGGCACACCGCGGCCGAGTTTGACCCAGTGAGACTTTTTCCAAGCATTACCCAACAACAGCAGGAGCAGAACTGGGAACTGGCCACGGATCGCGGGAGAAGGAAAAAAGGAGCAGATCGTCAGGCACCAGTGTGCTCCAAGACCCACACAACTTCCAGTTCGACAGGCAGCTTCACAACTTGAGAATCTTAACAGGCAACGAAAATACCTGGGATGCGATGGAATTCTTCACAGCACTGACCGTCAACACGAATGTTGCTATCATATCTTCCCGGCCCCAGCTCAGCCTAACGGATATGGTCGTCTAACAAAGAAAGCAGTGGCCAGTAAGGTGGAAAATTTTCGAAGGACAAACTTTGGTCTCTCCAACCGAACATTTCCCTCCCAATCTGCATGCCACATGCGTTCACGACCACTTACCAATAATGTCTATCGCGGTCGATAGAAATCCGATAACAGCCGGATTACAGCCATCTTATGTCCCAATGACCATCGGAGAAGTCTCAGGGCCGAGATTATCCCACCCCATCCAAGATGCTGATCCAGATAATCGACTCCTGAAGCTACCGGATGCGAGCTCGAGGTTCCTGTCGATCTCAAAACGATGCACCATGTAACCCGCTCAATAAGGCAGAAGCTGAATGGTGATGCCAGGAGACTTTGGGAATTAATAGGGTACCGCCTCAAGTTTTTATACAACAATCCAAGGTATCACCATGTCTCGAATTTTCTTTAATTAAATGTGGAATGTTTGATGTTTCTCCATCATATATCCAGTATGCTTCGACGCTCGTCGTCACCGAACAAACAGCCTCAACGCCGCCACCAGTTTTTTGATTAGCTTTGTTTCTGGACGCTTTCTTTTAGTGTGGCTTGCATTTAGCAGCCTGCTATCAGCCGCATGCCATTACGCCCCACCTCCGTAACTTACAGAAGCAAAACATCAGTACGCTGATACGTGTAAATATCACAAGTCATGGTGACGGCGACAGCACCTAATCCCAAGCATATCCGCGCGTAAAGCTCACCCCTGTCTCTCACTCCCACCCAAGCTTCTCGCCAAGCACATGGGATCCAACCTTGTCAGGGCATTTTGCTAGCCCCGAGCTGAAGCCAATGGCTAACACAACCCACAGCAGCGCCGGGATTGCATGGCGTCGCAGCCGGCGAGCCCCAGAGCCTGCCAGAGCGTCCGGGCTGGCGGCGCCACTCTTTTTGATCTTCCCCTCCCCTGCCGTTCGCCTTCCTGTCCTCCTCCTTTCGGAATTTCGTTCAGCAAACTATCAATCATTCACTCCAGGCTCGAGGGTTCGCAGGTCGCAGGGCAGGACTGACAGAGACCATAAGGGTAAGGGGGCACGGCATGAGACACACCGGCTCCGAGGAAATTTTGTTCCTCTTCGTCGAGCGTCTCGTTCATCCGTTCCTTCTTTGGCCGCCGCTGAACCGAGTCGATCCTCAGCAAGCGACGACGATCACCGCCCCGCAAGCATTGAAGGTCGGAACACGCTGATCGCCCAACGTCTGCGGGCCTCGCCTCTCTCTGGCTTCGAGCGCTGCCGAAGCCGTCCATTCGCTACGACAGATAGTAGGAGTTTTTCGCTTTGAACGATATCGCTACTTGCTGAAGAGTCGGCAGCCCACGACCCAAGCGGTTCTCATTGTTGGTGAAAATCACACCACATAGACAAGCCGCAGTGACACCATCGATTCTATAGGTATGCTTCCGAATTGGGTAGCTCATGTGCCTTGCGAACTGGGACGGCAGACGAGTGGGTGACTGCGAGGAGCAGTTAAAGTCACACAGAGAAAAATTCAGTTTTCAAGTTGTCGCTGACTGTGGATAGTGTTCAGCGTGTTCAGCTTGAGTATATTTTAGTTCGACACTTTCGCAGTTGGACCTGAGGAGTCATAGACAGCTCCCACAATGGGAGTCGGGAGTTACTTCAAGGCCACGGGCTCACCGGCCACCGAGGCCGCGCAGACACCATATCAAACACAGTCACCAAATCCAACGCCAGAGCCGTCTAGTAGACCTACTTCGGTGCTGCAGCCTCCTACGCCTAGGTATGGCTCACGACCACAGTCGCTGTCAGGCCGCTCGACGCGGTCTAATAACAGCTCCTTCATATTGGACGACATCAAACACGAGGTTATGGTCAACTATCTCTACCAGCAACAATGCGCCAACCTCTGGGTGTCTGATGGTAGCGGTGAGATTGAGGGCGTGTTGCTTCGCAAATCGAGAGGCCACTACATGGCTTGCCCACCGCAGCTGGGCAGCTCACCATTTGCGATGGCCTGCGCGGCTCTTAATGTCCAGTGTGCCATGACAGTCAACTCAAGAGTCATCAAGACGTTCCTGCAGTGGTCTCCAGATGCAGTCGATGTGCCGCTGACAAACGGCCTGCGGGTTCAAATTCTGCCTACTATCGACGATTTGCCGAGGGCAAGGAAACATCAGTTCGCCGCGTTCATCGCTTCGGAAGGTCTTCTGGTGGTATGGGACGACGACGCGCTTCATCTGGTTCAGCGCGCAAAGGCTATTGAGTCGGAGCTGATGCAGTTAGTGTGGCGTGCTGGCACCGAGGGTGACGAAGAAGACGAGAAGGCTACTGGCCGCGGTGAGCCCGAGATTGATGAGGAGAGTGGCGAGATTAAGCCTGAGAAGAGGCCGGTGCATTTGATGAACACATACCTAGTCACCCTGACGCTGATTCTGGTGACGGTTTCGATTGGTGCGGCTGGCCGGCAGCTGGCCATCGAGGTGTCAGTCGACGGTAACTATGTCCGGTTGGCGCTGCTTGCGCTGGCTCCTGTGCAGATCTTCTTCACGCTTTTCTTCTGCCAGGTCATTGTCGGTTGCTTGGCACAGATTTTTGGTCCCATCCGCCAGCTCACCATCAACTCTAAGTTCTACTCGGCAAAGCCGCCGCCGCGGTTGCGCTCGGCTGTGCTGCCGCACGTCACGATCCAATGCCCCGTCTACAAGGAAGGTCTGCAGACTGTCATTGCCCCGACCGTCAAGTCCATCAAGCAGGCCATGTCGACATACGAACTTCAGGGAGGCTCGGCCAATCTGTTCATCAATGACGACGGTCTGCAGCTGATCTCGGAGGAAGAACGTCGTGCGCGTATCGAGTTCTATGCCGACCACAGCATCGGCTGGGTAGCCAGGCCAAAGGATGGTGAGAATGGGTTCAAGCGCCGTGGCAAGTTCAAGAAGGCTAGCAATATGAACTTTGCCCTGATGATTTCGTGCAAGGTTGAGGACAAGCTTGCGCAGATTGAACGTGGCCCTGAGTGGACACAACATGACGAAGCGCAAGCCTATGAGAAGGCGCTGAAGGAAGTGCTCGAGGAGGATGGTCGTGCTTGGGCGGACGGCAATATCCGCATTGGTGATTACATCCTGCTCATCGACTCTGACACTCGTGTCCCGGCCGACTGCTTGCTGGATGCCGTCTCCGAGATGGAGCTCTCCCCCGACGTCGGTATCATGCAGTTTTCTTCCGGCGTCATGCAGGTCGTCCACACGTACTTTGAGAACGGCATCACCTTCTTCACCAACCTTATCTACAGCGCTATCCGTTACACAGTTTCGAATGGCGACGTCGCCCCTTTCGTTGGCCACAACGCTATCCTTCGCTGGTCCGCCATTCAACAGGTTTCATATGTGGATGAGGACGGCTACGAGAAGTTCTGGTCGGAAAGCCACGTGTCCGAAGACTTCGATATGTCCCTGCGCTTGCAGTGCAATGGGTACATTATCCGCTTGGCAGCCTGGGCCGGTGATGGCTTCAAAGAGGGTGTGTCGTTGACAGTGTACGACGAACTTGCACGTTGGGAGAAGTACGCGTACGGCTGTAATGAGCTTCTGTTCCACCCCATCAGGACGTGGCTGTGGAAAGGACCGTTCACTCCTCTCTTCCGCCGGTTTTTGTTCTCGAACATCCGCTTCACTTCCAAGGTCACGGTCATCTCGTATATCGGAACTTACTACGCCATCGGCGCCGCCTGGATCATGACTTCGGTCAACTACTTCCTCATGGGCTGGTTCAACGGCTACCTTGACAAGTACTACCTCGACTCGTGGCAGGTCTGGTTCTCGATCATCCTTGTCTTCAACGGCCTGGGTAACATCGCTCTTGCTGTCATGCGCTATCGTGTTGGTGAGCGGAGCATCCTGTATGCGCTGTACGAGAACTTCAAGTGGACTATCATGCTAGCCATCTTCCTCGGTGGCTTGTCGCTGCACATCTCGCAGGCGCTGTTGGCCCACATGTTCGAGATCGACATGCAGTGGGGTGCGACCGCGAAGGAGGTCGAGTTCTCGAATTTCTTCATTGAGGTGCCAAAGGTGTTGCGGAAGGTTTGTTTCTCCCTTTTTTCTGATCCCAAAACATTAAGAAGTCAGTGCTAATGGTGCCGTTTACAGTTCAAATTCTCAATGCTCTTTTCCATGGCCTTTATCGTCGGCATGATCATCCTCGCCACGGCCCCGTTCATCCCGTACAGCTGGCACATCACCGACTTCGTGGCCATCTTGCCCATGGCGACTGTTGCAGCTTCGCATTTGTTGCTCCCGATTGCCCTGAACCCCGCGTTGATGACATTTTCGTGGTAAATACTGCCGCGAGGTGGATATATCGAGTTTGGACTCTTCCTATTTTTCATCTGCATTCTGTTGCGTTGACATACTTTGCCTGATAGCAATTGCATGGTTCAAAGGCAGCAGCGCAGCGTTCTTTTTGGATACATTCCCTACTTATACTCCTCCCCTCTTGCGCTTGATTGGAGAGATAGCATACCTGCCATTCCGTCAGTCTCCCCGATTGTGATAACACCGCTCATGTCATGGTTCCCTTTTTGTTGGTTCCTTGGGTTATCTTTGGAGAAGCCAGTTTGAGAGGCATGTGGATAGAGGCCGGTTGAGGTTATCATGCTGTTTTCGCAATGTCAGCAGGATAGTTGGACATTTTACATATATCATATTACGTCAGATCAGACCTAGTTAGTGGTAATGGCTATTAGTTGTATGTCCTGGATGGTGTGCAATGGTTATGATTCCATAAGCTTGTTGTCATTGGGACTTTCTTTTAGTCAATTCTTTCTAATTCTTTCTCCATATTGTTCCCTTAATATCACATAATCCCTTCATAAGCAGTCATCACACATTCCTCAACGTATCTGTTCAAACCTCAAATGGCATCAAAAAGAAAACACGGAACGCTTTTTTATGGAAGAAACCGCGGGGTTGATGTTACGGCCCAGATGCGGACCAGCAGCCGCCCCGCAACAGTGGAAGAAGGACCAATAGGAAAGTACTAAGTGGGGCATTGAGACAGACAATCAGAGGCATGGAAAGATTATCCACGCCAAGAACCACCGATAAATCGACCTCTAGCCTCGACGAGAATCGTGAGCTTAGACGATGATAATCCGAATGCAGGGCAGGCACACCAACGGTCCTCGAGCATAAATATGTATATAGAATCTCTCATTTTCAGAACTACGATGAGGACTTCGTCAGTCAGCAATTAAATAAGTGGTCAACCAACAACTGGTGACCGCAGTAAGCCACAATACAATACTGTGTGAGGACCCTAATCCCTCTGGTTCTACAACCTGGTTACTACCCTCGAACCCATCTCAGGAGGTTGTGTAATTGTCACAGTTGAGATACGAAAAGTGTATCACGCAAAAACATACAACACAGGGGATTCCCCAGTCGTCACCGACCTGAGTACTAACCCTGCCCTTGCTGGCTTATCTATGGGAGAGCGGACGGGATCCCGAGTTTTCCAGCAGGTATGGTCGTATGTGTCGATAGATGGCTGTCCAGTGGCTGATATACCCAGAAGTATATCCTAGAGGAACGATATCTCGAAACTTCCCACGCCGATTGACAAGTTAGCACAGTGATCGATGATGACAAATCCTATTGCAACGTGCATTACCGACATTGCAATCCATCACAAGGAAGTTTCTTGATCAAGGAAGAGCGTAAATGAGAGTCCGAACAAGTCTATTACCCATCCGTCTATGCAGCTTTTGCCCAAACTAAACGCCCTCTATACCGACCATGCCTTTCTATCCCAGACAAGCAAATGCGAACTTTGAACCAAACATGGGCTCCTGCAGAACACAAACCCAACATTAAAAAGTACTCGCTCGCTCAAGCCAAACTTTTCACTTCCCACAAACTGACTTATTCCTCCTCATCATCCGTATCCGGGGGCCTAGGCGTTCCCTTTGGACTGCTCAACCACTCGATATGCCTCAACCTTCTCCTCACCTCCCGTTCCTTCAATTCCCTCTTCGTCAACTTTTTCTTCTTCTTCTTCGCCTTAAACGCCATACTCTCCTCCGTAATCCCCGCCGGCGTAGCCGCACCACTACCCGCATTATTCTCTACATCCGAGTTAACCGCACTATTAGCGACGCTGGTTCCCGGCTGTGCTGGGGTCGCCGTGCCAGAAGACGCGACATCTTCGAACCGGTCAAGTGCAACATTCGTGCTGATGCGGTTGGTTACCTTGCCATCACGCACATGCCATTGCTCAGTGGCGAGGGCGCCGACAAATTCTTCGTTGTGGGAGATCATCACCACCCCTCCCTTGAAGTCGCGGATGGCGACGGCCAAGCCGCCGAGGGAGTCACGGTCTAGGAAGTTAGTCGGCTCGTCGAGGACGAGGAGGTGCGGGTTGTTCCACATCGTGCCGGCGATGACGACCTTGACTTTTTGGCCTCCAGAGAGTGAGCCGATTTCGTTGTGGTTCGCGATTTCGGGGTCTAGGCCCAAATCCTCGAAGTGTTTGGCAATTGCACTAGGTTGAAGCTCGCGATAACCCAATCCCTCGCGGGAAGCTTCGTGGTCGTCAAATTCTTGCACGAGTTTGGTGAAGCCCCACTCGAGAAGTGTCTCACGTGAGACCATGGTGTTGTGCTTCGGCAACCAGCCACGCCACTTGACTTCGTACTGGAAGGTCTTCTTGTACTTTTGACGGCCGACGAGAGCCTCGACCTGGCGCTTACCCTTCCCATCGGGGAGATCGATCCACTTTTCCATCTGAGCGCGGTCCTGCTCGGAAAGGATACGGGTCTGCTTGAGGTGGACTTCGCGATCGTCACCGTGGGCATAGCGCCACTGGAGGTATTGGTTAGGAGTCTTCTCAAGATGCATCTCCACGTGCTCCAAGGCATGCTGCTTGATGTAGCCGATACGCAGGTTGGGGTGCTTCTCGACCTTGCCCGAGGTCGGGATCAACTCGCCTGTCAGCAGCTTGATTAGCGTCGATTTGCCAGCACCGTTAGGGCCGATGATAGCCACGCGCGAGGAAAGTGACAGCTGGCAGGAGACGTCGCTGAGCGAAGGCTTCGGTGCGCCGGGGTAGGTGTACGAGACGTTGGTCATGCGGATGATAGCACGGGTCTGAGACTTGACGCCGGTGAGGATGCCAGGAGGGGGGAACTTGAGCTGCACATTGGACGCGGTCAGGGTGTAGTAGCTCTTGGCCTCGGGGCGCTGCTTGACGAAGGCGGCAAGATTGCCCTTGTAGTGTGAAAGCTTCTTATTCGGCTCGTAGTGGTAGATATCAGTGGTCACGTTGTCGAGAAAGGAGGAGTCGTGGGAGACGATCAGACTGGTGATTTCAGTATGCGTCTTGAGGTAGTTCTCAAGCCACTTGATGTTGGAGACGTCGAGATGGTTGGTAGGTTCGTCGAGCAGTAGCACATCAGCGCGTTGCAGCATGGCACGGGCCAGAGCCAGCTTCATCTTCCAACCACCGGACAAAGAGCCGACCTTCTGCGACTGCCTGCCCTCCGGACCAGAGGTGAAGCCGAACTCCTCTAGGACGTCGGAAATACGCGCCTTATCCTCCTCGGCAATAAGGGGATCTTTCGACACGTACTCGAGGATGCTGATATCGGCATCTTCACCCTGGTTATGCTCAACATAGCAAGTGCGCAGCACATCCTGAGGAGGGAAACCCTCAAGCTTGCCAGCAGCAATGCTCTTCATCAGAGTTGACTTGCCAGCGCCATTGCGACCGCACAAGCCATAACGGTGGCCCTTGAGCAAGCGCAGGTTTGTGTGTGACAGAAGGAGCATACCGCCATAGGCCAGCGAGAAGTCGGCGTTGACGATTTCGATCTCGCCATCATCTTCTTTTTCAGGCTCGCCATACTTGCGGTGGTCCTCCTCGACATAAAACTTGTGAACCGCAGCAGCGACAGCATCAGCAGCAGCATTGAGCCCTTGCAGATAGGGTATGATGCGAGCCTGGATGCGATCCAGCTGGCGGTGGTTGACGTCCTCGCTGACCATCTCGCAGATATAAGGGCGAACCATGTGGAAAGTGTCGGTATCAACGACACCTCCCCGATTCTTGATCTCAGTATCTAGTACCTTAGCTACATCTTCAGCAGCAGTGCGCTCAACAAGCGCCGCCTTGTCACCTGCCATAGCCTTGTCCATGACCTCCAGAGCACGCGTGGCCAGCTCACGTACTTCGGGAAGCGAAGCGCGGTCCACGACGCTCTTGATGCCGGGCTGCAGCTTTGGCAGGAAGGTACGGGCCTCGATCGGGTCGTGGACCAGCTTGGTCAGGTTCTCGGTGATCACAACGGTCTGGCGTAAGACTTCCTGTGGGGTAGTCGGGTTGTTCAGCGAGCGCTCGAGAAAGGGCGTCAGTAAGGCCAGAACGGGCGAGGTGACGACAGCGACGAAGGTCGTCTGTGACAGGGCATGAATAGCCTTCTGGAGAGCCTGCGGCGAGGGATGGTGCATGGTGTCGATGAGTAGCGGAATACGGGGGGCGACATCGTCGTTGGAGAGCAGGGTGGTAAGCGACGTCATGGTCCTGACGGCCTGCTTCTCGACCTCAGACTTCATATCCAGCATGGCATTCTCAACAATCGGGATCAGACCAGCCAGCTTCGCGCCCATGGCCTCGCGTAAGAAGTCCTGCTCTTGGGCCTGCTCCTTGGTGCTGCCGATGACAGCCTTGGCTTTATCGGCCATCTTCTGCATCAACTTCAACGCACCAACGACACCCTGCCACTTGCCGCCGGACTTCTTGATGTACTCAATCAGTGCGGGTAGCAAGCCAGCAAGCTGAGCTTCAATGCTGAGGTTGGTGACCAGCGCATCGATGCCGTACTGGGCGGCATCACGAACGACAGCGCCCTTGTCAGCGAGCGCATCGAGCGCGCACCCCAGAAGACCGCCATCTTTCAGCAAGAAGATGACCTCAGAGACGGGCTGACGTGGTGGGAAGCGCTCGAATAGGGCACCAAGAAGGTTCTGGGCGCCCTCGCGACGGAAACCACTTTTCTTGTCGGCAGCGGCCTTCTTGATCTCGTCGAGGATGCGGTAGGTGTACAGGCCGCGGAAGCCGACCGAGCTCAGGAGCAGCTCGCAAAGAGCATAGCAGGCATCAATGGATTGATTGGATGTCTTCGCAGTGAAGACGACGTTGAGGATGGCGGCGACGTCCTCAGGGGCGGGAGGAGGGGCCACGCCGTCGGCGACCGTGATGGGGACCACCATGTCGCCGTTGCTACTACAAGTAATCGTTTAATTAGCCGGGCTGAAAACGGGTGTTGCGATACTCCTGAGAGCAATAATCCAGAAATTCTCAGGAGTTCCCGGACCTTTCAACACCCTGTGAATGAGAAAAGCAATGTGTCGTCGATAACCGACGACAGAAAGGATGGGAGGGTTGGATGAGAAGTGGCAGTCTTGGGCCTCGCCCCTCGACCTGTTTTTTTTTGTGCCCAGGCACCTTGACCCGCCGTTATCAGCGGCTTATCAGGCATTCTATTGGCAAGGGTCCTCTTATCCACGAGCTGATCAGCGGGCTGTATGTTACCGTCATTACAGAATACACAGCACTCTCTTACACAGGAGGGCCGTTGATCTCCTATCCATGATTGCTTCAACGACTTTCTTCAACATCCATCACGGACCAAATGCTTTCAAATTACGCTGTTAATTCAACAATAATCTGGAAATTCTAACCTTTTGTCTTCTCCGTTTCAGCGTTTTTCTCAGCAATCGACCAGGCTCATCCGAAACTCCTTCAGGGGCATCCTGTCAACGCGGTACCTCCCCCTCATCAAACCCAACACGCGTCATGGAGTTCTCTTACCAGGAATGACGACTAAGAAGTGCAAATGGACGCTTTTGAATTGTAGAAAGTTACGTGGCAAATTCAAAACGGACATCGAGATCAATCAATACTTGCCATCCTCATTCAGTGTAACTCTCCAGCTGGATATCATACCCAAACCTGCCATTGCAGACATGAAAGTCCATTCTCACAACACCAGCTTGTCATGACTAGATCGCACCGAAACACCTTATTTCTGTCGTATCTGAGTGGTACAGGACAGCATTCAACTTGAACAACTCCTTCTGTGGCTGTCAGACTACAGACTCCCTTGGTAAGACTGAGCCGATAATAGCCCTCGTCGGGGTCCTGGAAGATTGGTATCAACCTTCTTTCCCAGGACATTGACCTTCGACAGAAGCCCAGGACCATCTTGGCGCTATTGAGGCGGATGATCCCATATCAAATGCCGCGTTACACCCGGGTCTCGGACTTCCAGGCGCGAGAGCAAAGCTTTCGCCAGTTCGTCCTGTTGGATCCCGATACCAGCGCATATCCGTCATGATCGAGTCCTCCTACAACCCAGCAAGATATCTGCTCCTCTATGCTGTTTCATCTCATCCGCCAATCCCGCTATAGCCGGCAACTTACCACTCTCGCCAACCTCAACGGCGCATGGCCATCAACCACACGGTACCACATTGTTCTTGAATTCACGACCTTAGCCCAACGCTCCCAGTACCGCGGACGATACAGCACCATTCCCGACCAGAAAGTAGCAAGTGGATAAATAGAGGAGCAGAACAGCACTTTCATCGCTTCCTGGTCACAATCAGACGGATCCGGTCATCCTCCACACTCACAATCATGCAGCTCGAAACAATCCCATAGGATCTCCTCCCTCCCAGAGTGTAGGACCTTAGGATCTAGCATACGCCCTTGGAACGTCCACACTATGGCGAAAGCATTATTCGGCTCCGTCCAATCTCCTGCGCAGAAAAATGGTGTATAGTACGGTATTTTCCGGATCCTCACGCACCCGATTTGTTCGCCTCTCCCGGGGTTGCAGAAGAGTCCTTCATGAGGGGAACTCACACAAGACGCGGAGAGCGTGATGCATGAGTTGCGAGGATGGATGCCTTACGGGAAGATTCATGCTTACAATCCTCGTTGTTGATGGAGCCTTGGATGATGCAGAGTACGTCGATCCAGAGTTAGCGAGTTTGCGGCGCTCAACGAACTTCGATTGCCTTGATGGAGGCCTTTGGAAGGGAAGACGAGTGCTTTGGAGGTTTTGTGGAGGGCGAGTGTTGAGGGGATGTTTTTGATGAATGGTTGCGTGGGGTTGCCCCAGCAGTAGGAAAGGCAGATATATTAACCTTTCTCTTCAGGTTGTGCTTCATAGAGGAAGATGGGTTCTGACGGACTGCTTCTAAGATTGAGAAGCTGCGTCACGAGGTTGAGATATTGATTTGAGGGTAGAGGGCTGCAGGTCTTTTTGTCCCGAGAGGAATTGTGAAAGCCAGTGTTTGATCCATTGGACAGCGATGAATGAACCAGTGGAGTGGATTGACGGGAAGTTGCCCCTGGAGATTCCCGGGCTTGGAATGCCTGAATGGTTTGGGATTTGTCAATTGAGATAAAGAGGGCAGGTAGGATTCAGGATAAGCACTTATCTTGGACCCAAAGCAGCGTCAAGGAGCAATCAACAAACCCCTTCTCCTTGCTTTTCAGTCTGAGCGACCTCAGCCCGTCCAGCGCGCCAGATATTTTCCGATGGTAGTGTACGATAACGTGATATCCTCGACCTAAATTCTCTCTCTCCCCGTAGTCACCTGCTGCAGCAAGTGTTGTCCTCATCCTGATAAACAGTTAGTTCGAGGACAACCTCTGCGCTAATGTGCTTTAACCTGCTCCGGAGCATTTTGCCGCCCCAACAATAAGGCTTAGCTAAGGGCTCACCATCGAGGTTGATGGCTTAAATCTGCTAAATTCGAACTAGGAACTTATGGACCAGTTGCCCTCCAGGAGTTCCCATCTCTGCTGCAGAAGGGGTGGCTGTTGTTACAATTTTATGGATAGTTGTTTCCATTTCGTCCTCGATGATTCTGGGGATTTTTTGTTGGGAAAAGCTATTGTATCCGGTTGGTTGAAGCTGGGGATCAGAAGGTTGTCAGTAAGTTGAATAGATCCACGTAAATCTGAAGTTTGGGATAGTGCGATGGGATTGTTGTTGCGCGCTTGAGACTCAGCTTGGGTCGGAGAGCAAAGCTGGATTTGATCAACCGCTCCTGAATACATGTAGTATGGAAGCCCAAATGCTTAAAGACGCTGTCATCACCATGGTTTAAACTCTTGTGAGGAGAATCTGTGTGCCGGGAATGGGTTATCGCTCTTTAACGTAGTTGTCAAACTATGTGGTAAATCTCTCTCTGATTCTTCCCCGGCGGCCCCAGCCAATCTTTCCGTAAGATCTGTTTTCTTCAAGAACCATGTCCAATATGCTAAATGCCATTTCTCCCATTGCAGCCACTGTCTCTTCAGTCATATTGCTCCTGGACAAAGACTGAATTGACTGCACTCTCAAGACAGGTAAATTTGACGATATCAGTCTTAATTGTACCTTATATCCAGCTTTACATCCCCACCTAATGGCTTCTGTTCACTATTAACGACGCCTGATTACTAACAACTCCCAAGACACGACGTATCACAGCCAACAGTTGGCCAGTCCTAAGTCCATGCATCCCCTTATACGATCTGTACGCAAGCGGCCTAATATTAGGCCGGTAGTCATCTTCATCAGACGGCTGAGGAAGCCGACTGCTTATCTGAATTTTAAGATGCTTCCTATATGCAACCTTAAACTGTGGTCGTGTGGGAAAGTGTATGAAATCCCACTCTTCCTAAGCGGTAAGTCGGGAGTCAGTCGCGTAGTATCTTGAACTTAGAACCGTGTAGCTGCTGCCTAATCGTGTTATGCGAAAGCATCTAACTCCGCAGAGACCAAAAGCTCAGCCCGTTCCAAGTGGGTTCGTTGCAACTCTGTGGCCGAGGGGAACGGTTCACCCGAAGCTTAGAGGAAGCGTGGTGGCAAAGCTTAGCGATCTATTTCCTCGATGCGATAGCTAGATGCAGCGTGGATATCTGGCGGTTTCTGAGATCCCAAACTACAATATTTAACTCGGCGATGCAAAGTGTCAGCCAACAGATTGCGGGATGGGGGCATAGCGAGTCTGGAAGCAGAATGTAAGATATCGAAGCAGTCACTCACTATGAGCCAGGGCCCTGATAAGACAACTGCAAAATTCAGCAGTTTAACATCTCAACTTACCTTGCTCTAAGATGAAGAGCCCGGCAGCCTGGTAAGGATAGCTATAAACACCATGTCTTCGCCGCTCAATGTCCAGACATAGTCACGTTCCGTATGTCTGGGAAAGGAGCAACAGATTAACTGGGGGCTAATGTCTAGGCTCCAAAAGCATAGTCTCAATGCAAGTCTTTGTGGACGAGTAAATCGTCCGTCTCTGATCTATCCATAGGGGCATTACCCATGCTATTGACACGGTCCAACACTATCGAACAACCACTAAGCTCACTGTCACAATCTTGATGCTCTCGCAGCTCTCCTATTGCACATATGTAACATCTTAATTTTCGTACACAAAACATTGCTCACTAAACATTGGACAAGTTCTGAGCTGCACTGCAAGCCTTGACCCATTCTTCAGCACAGGGATTCAACGCCAACTTGCACAGAAGCCCAACCGATCTCCACAACATCCACGCAACACCGACAGTTCCAGTCTTATGGATCACATCCTAATCAATCCGCAGTCCGTGCCGAAACGCAGAGCTCGATTGAATGAGCAACACAGCCAGAGAGAGGGACTTTGACAAGACCTGATGCAAGATCCATGCAGCACGTGGCTTTGTAATAGGTGACCAGTCAGAGGATTTGAAAGTCTGATCCATCTTAAAACCATCGTGCCGTTCGGATGAACGGCCACCCCCAACTATAAGTGTTACCCAGCTCCGTTCCTGTGCCACGTGTGGCTTGTTAGCTGTGGGGGTGGCGGTGCATGGCCAAGTGTGTTGTGCACTGCAGTGACATCGGAATCAAGGTGTCACAGCTCAATGTTTGGCAATGGAAAGAAAAGAATGTGGGTGAATCGTTCAGTTGACCAGAAGTTGAGTCTAATCAAGCAAGCAAACTAACAAACAAACTTTATCACCCAACCGTCTGTATATCACCCCACCATGGCTTGCTGACATACTGGCAGTGGTTGCCAGGGCAGCCGAAAGGGGCCAAAGTGCCCCTGAGATTCTCCGCTTTTGTCCATCCGTTGTTTAAGAAGTCAACAAGACCAGATGTGGCTAACACGCGGTTAAAAAGGCTCGTGAAGGACTAAAAGAACTCAGACAAATGAAATCTACATTCCGGAGCGGGTAAGGGTGAAGATAAATGAGTACTGTGGGTTGGAATGATCTATCCAAACGCGAAGTCACAAGGTGGAGAATCGGAGACAGTAAGGCCAGTTGCTTGCTTGTGTCATGTCACAGGCATGCTTGCAATTAATAAGCTGTGAATCATATGTGTCAGTCTTCCTTTCACGCAATTTGAGCAATGCAGTTGAAGACTGAGCCAGTGCTTCAATGTGATATACCTGCAATCATCAACCCGAAAGCTGCACTCCTCCTAGGCGGGCTTGGTGGGGGAGTCGGAGGGGGATTTGGCGGGCGCGGAGGTAGGGGACCAGGCCGCGGGTTTGGAGGAGGGGTCGGTGGAGGACGGGGACCGGGGCGAGGTGGCAGGAGCATGGGGCAGAAGCCGAAGCTGTGGTCGAGGCCGAAGCCGTTGTCCTTGAGGAGGTCGTCGGTTGAGTCCCAGTCCAGCTGAGTGTTCCAGTCTTTGAAGCAGGTCCCAAAGAGGGGAATGCGGAAGAGGAAGTAGTGAGGAAGGTTCTTCGTGTGAGATGAGGTCATTGGATGGTTTCTGCGCGAGCTTACTGGTCTCGTTGATTTAGCTTGACTGCCTTGGAGTTACTTGTTGGTTACTTTGTGTTGAAAATTCAGCGAACTTATCGATGTTGTTCTGATGAGCCTGATCATCCAGAAACCGTGATCGACGCGAGCAGCTTGAGGGGTTTATATCCTCGATCTGAACAAGATTATCCGGCTCTATACCTACCTTGACACTACGATGTTGGTAGGCCTGAGAGCGCCTTCCAATAGGATGCACAATGCACTCGATTCAATATAGCCCCCTGACCAGGAGGACAAAACCGGGTTGGAGTCAGGCCTCTGACAGGATAGCTTCGATTCTGGGCCGCAGAAACTAAACTGACCGAGGGATTGGGGTCAAAAATGCCGGGCAGTGCAGCCAGGTCGGGGGTGGGGAAGCTTATGATGCGCCTCGTAAGCTACGTCATTGACCAGATGTCGCATGGGAAAACACTTTAATGGAATTGAAGAAAGTGTAGTTTTTAGGGAGTGTGTAGCGATTGATCAGCATTGTGTAAGAGATTGTAGAGGTGTGGCCGGAGGGATAAGGTCGTCTTCGAAGTGATAAAACCTCAGGAAAAGCGTTCTCTTGTCAGAATCCCAGGCAGCAAAGGAAATCCAACGCTGCTGCGTAGTCTGCCGCGTGCGTGTGTTAGGTTAATTGGTCATTTCGATAAAGGATTAACAAAATTTGATGACTATCTAGTATAAGTCCAATGTGGCCCTCTCGTGAACAGGGAAGTGAAGGCTAGGACTAAGAGATATCCCCAGTTATTGGACGATGTCCTCATTAGTTGCCTGCTATTGGCACTTAGTAGGGCAGTTAGCACAGAGCAACACGATGGAACAGAATAAGTTGGAGTATACTACTCCCCATATCCCACTGAGGGAGCCGCTACAAGACAGCACTCTGGAGAGTATGCCTTACCAATCAACGTCCATGTCATAGCCAGCCAGCCTCAGCGAGGGGCCGGCACATAGGGAGCAGCAGTGGGTGACTTCGGCTGTCGCAGCCATCATCAGCGCTGTAGTCTAGCCTGCAGCCCGCAGCTGCGGATCGAGGTCCCGAGAAATCGGTTCGGTGAGACTGTGCCGGTCAAGACAAGAGGCAGAAGACACAGATCAAGGAAAGCGCTGTCTTGAGCTGGACCGCACGGCAAGTCACGAACAGACCGTAGAGGCTTGTCTAATATCATGTCTTGCACTACAGCAAATTATCATGACACAGTCTTCGCGGAGAGGACCAGAGAGTTATTGAAAGTTTGAGGTTACAAATGTAGACATTTGACAATTTATTAAGGCTTGCAGTCAAAGGAATACAGGTCAGCCACCTCCGGGGAGAGATACAACGGCAATTAAGGGACCCAAACCATGGGAGTCAAGGGTACCGTACCATGTCCCTGGGCTCTCAACCCAGGTCGATCCCAGCTGCATGAGGCAATGCTAGTGGATAACCCGGCGACGGGAAGCCATCGCCATGGCTGTCTTGGCCTCGTGCCCTCCGCGACTTATCTCTCAAAGGCATATCTTTCATCGCAATTAGGTTCGTCGATTTGTTACATGGCTGTCAACTTGGCTTATTTTTTGCCGCGGTTAAGAACCGGTAATATTCGCCTTGACTTCATGATATGGCAGCACCCCCATGACGGCTCAATCGCCAGAAGCTGGCCGATTTATGAGAAATCTGTCACCAGGGACAATAGATGACCAGGCCAGCGAACAGCCATGGTTCACCTGGTTGATGCGACAGGAAAATCAATCGTCCACAAAATCACGGCTAAAGACACAGGTTCCCGGAATTGTCCATTAAGCGTTGGCATGAAAGGTTGTTGCACGAAGGAACTGCTGTCCGGGGGCCCATTTTTTGCGCCTGACTGCTAGTTGAAAGGGCTGCACTGTGATGAGATATGAGGACAGTCGTCCCAGATATGCCTCGAGCGTCGCCTTAGCACACACCCATGACTCGAAAAGGCGACATTTGGTTTCTCAGAGCGAAGAAGACCTTTCAGTGGATGATATTCGATCAATATTCGTCCAGTAGAATAATCATGCATGTCCCGCTGCAGGTATCGTGGCCATGCTCACCAACAGCTGCAGCTTGACGTCATCACCGTCGAGTCTCGATTACTCGAGACCAGAGGAACGCCATACGTCCAGGTCTTTAATCAGACATCAATCTTCATTAACAAACCACAGATTCGGTGCCTTCGAGGCAAAAACGCATCAAATTCAGGATGCATCGGAGATCCCGGTGAGCCAGTGAGAATGACCACTGCAAGAGCCTCACCACAGGCTGTCTATCTCACGTGCCAAAGCGGCGTCCTGCCGTCAGCACCCAAGGTCAGCATTTAGAGTAGGGCTGTTACCACTCCCCCGGTTCACATTAAACTTAGGCTGACCAAATATTGCGGCCAGAAAAGACCAGAGAGGCAGCCACCATATGGTCGCTGTTCTGAGGCCAGCTGACATAGAGACAAAAATATATCAACATTGGTCTCAGCCTTATAAGCCACTCAGCTCAGCATTCCAGCAGTTTGCGGCTGGTTGTCTCTAAAGAAGACCATTGATGGCGGATTGTTAAAGTTAAGACGGCAGGGATAGACCACCTTTGAATCAGATATCCAGCCAACAATAAGCCAACTGTTCCAACCTAACAATGAAGCAGGCTCAGTTCAGGATTCCTGAGTACTTATTGTTTGCCACAGTCAGTCAATTCGATACACACCGGAACATCTGCTGACCTGAAACTACTTTGCCGAGCCACAAAATCAAGTCCTTGAATTTGGTTTTGGGTCCCGAACGCGGAACCCTGTTGGCAGCGCCGCATGTCGGGGGCCGCCCGTAAGCCAAGCTGGGCCGATTGAAGATACTGGTGGTCGCGGCCGAAGCGGGCTTGTGGAATTTGTGATGGCTGGAGTGACCGCACTGCCCGGCGGTCAGGCTCGTGTTTATCCTCGGAGAATGCTGGAGTCAACCCGTAGAGGCAGTGCATTCAAGAATTCACTGCTACTGAAGACTGGAATGTGGAATGATACTGAAATGTATGACAGGTTCGAAGGTTCATAAATAAAGCTCATAACAAGAATATGGCCCTTCATGAAGAGATTGGCGCTCTAACACAGTATGGTCCATGATTAGCCGAGTAATAATAGACAAGTAGGTACAAGGTAGGAGGTGGGTAGCCGGGGAATGTTTATTGCTATCCCCTCATCATCCATCCATCCTCCAGATATCACGTCTTTTCCTCGCTTTTCTTTTTTTCCTTCCCAGAAAGATGACTCCCTCACTCCCAAACGCCGAATCCACAATCCACAAACCCAGCCGGATGCCGTATTCTTTACTCTCGTCGTGCTGTCCGTAATGAATGATCCGTTATCTACGCTCATAGCTCCTGCTCCGGCTGCGCGTCCTGCTACGACTGCGACTGCGCCGGTCATAACTATCGCGACTGACGCTGCGGCGGCGATCATAAGATTCATTGCGACGGCTACCTCCGCCATACCTGCCACCACCGCGGCGGGGAGAACGAGAACGAGAGCGAGAGCGAGAACGGGAATCATAGGACGCAGATCGCGAGCGAGACCTTGACCGAGTGCGGGAACGGTACCGACGGCCACCGCTAGGCGGGGGCAGGGGCGAACGAGAGCGAGAGCGAGACAGGGAACGTGGGCGATAGACGTCAGAGCGGGAAGCATAACGACCGCCGCCACGACCGCCGCCACCGCCAGGCATAACGGCACGAACATTGGCGGGGGGACCACGAGGGCCACGACGGGCGAGAGGAGGGGGGGGAGAAACCTTGCGGCGAGGCAGGACAATAGAGACGTGGATGATGTTGCCGTCGAGCTGGGCTTCATGCATGTGGGTTATGGCTTGTTGAGCGTCGTCCTCGTTGTAGTAGAGGATGTAGGCTGTGCCACGGTTGGTTCCAGCTGCAAAAGAGTTAGCGATGTTCAAAAAGTTGTAGCAGAAACATGCGCACGTACAAACTCTGCTGATGGGCAGATCGAGATCCTCAATCTCACCATACTGGCCGAAAATTTCCCAGAGATGGTCCTCAGTAATGTTCTTGGTCAGGCGCTCAACCACAATCTGCAATCCTGTCAGCCGACTTCCTCCAGAGCAATATCGTAGCCAACCGACCTTAGTCGACCTCTGGCGAGGGCTCTCACTCCGAGAACGGCTTCTCGACCGGCTGTAGCCGCGGCTGTAGCTGCGATCGCGACCGCGCGAGTAACTCCTGGAGCGACTGCGGCTGCGTGGAGACCGACTAGGCGAGCGACTCAGGCTGCGTGAGCGGGTACGGCCACGGCTAATGCTGCGACTGTGGGAGCGAGAACGAGAGCGATAGCGACCACCGCCGCCGCCATTGCGCGCTGGAGAGCGAGCGCGCGAGTCTCTGCGTCTGTCCATGGATGTTGGCGATCGCGAGCGACGCGAGTACTGCGAGGCTGGGGTGCGCGACCGAGAGCGAGATCTAGAACGCGGCGAGCGAGTGCGGGAGCAAGACCTAGAACGAGAATGGCGGTCGTCGTCCAGAGCCATTCGGTCGGTGGCCCTTCCAGGAGACGACATGGTGGCTGAGGCTGAGGCTTGTGGCGCCTGTGGCACGTGTTGCGCAGCCCAATTGGCTCGTTAGGACGGGGCAATTGGCGAGGCTGAAAAAGGCTGGGATGGAGGGCGCGAAATGGTTGCGTTCCTGCCTGTTTTGCGGCAGGCTCATCAAATCTGATTGTGCCCGAGAGCCACCCAACAAAACCGAGCTTCTGGTAGGTGAAAGGTTTGGAAAGAGCTGCGCGCTGCTAACGCGCCGCGCGCCCTGCACGTGATTGGCCCACACAGGCTGTTTGCCCCACTATGCCCCACTCCATCTCTTTGCGTCATCCACACCCGCAGCCGCTGCGCTTTGGTAACCTTCCATTTCTCCAGCTAGCATCTAGAACGCGATTAATGAGGTTTCAAAAATAGCAACTTCATCCAAAAGCCAGCCCAGGCTTGCGTTGTGAAATTGCTTGCACAGTGCCGGCTGCAAGGACTCGAGATGGTGAATATTACCCCCAGCCCTCGTCCTTGAAATCCTCAACACGTTGGCCTTATTCAAGCTGTTCTTTGCCTCGTTGTCAACACCTGAACATCATTTCAAGCCCTCTCTGTCTCTTTCATCCCTTTCCCGACCTCTTGAATGTTCTCGCTATATCCAGCAATCCAACCAAGTCCGAAACCCAACATTCTCTTGTTTCAGTTTCTTGGTTTATCCCCTCCAGCACTACGATCGAAGAAGCCTACGTGATGAGAAATCAAACATGTCCGAATCGCTCGTTGGAAATCTCCTTGCCCTGTAATATACCAGCCATCCCTCTGACCAGCTCTCGCACAGCCGCCGCGTGTGTTAGAAAATTCAGCGGTAATAGCTCACACTGTTAGAGCAACGAACACAACACGATCTGCGATGCGCATGTTGAGTTCAGTGGCAGCGGCATTTTTCTTGTTTTCCTTCTCCTTCTCCTTCTCCTTCCTACGGGAGGTTGTTAAACCCGTGTCATCTGATGGTCGAGTTGATCCAGACCGACAAGACAGCTATGGCCAAATGCCGCTGAGTTGAGCTGCATGTAATGACCATGCGGATGTTGAAACTCTGTTATCTGGAGGCCGAATGGATCCCTTCCGGGGAGACAACTCTGGCCGAACGCCGCTGAGTCAGGCTGCGAAATATGGCCGTACGGAGGTTGTTAAGACTTTGTTATTTGATGGCCAAGCGGATCCAACCGACAGGATAACTATGGGAAAACGCCGCTGAGTTGGGCTGCAAAGTATGGCCATACGGAGATTATCGAAATTCTCTTATTTGACGGTCGAGTTGATCTGAACTTAGCAGATTATGATGAACAAAATCTCCTTCAAGCTGCCCTTGCAAGGGCTCCTCGAAAGATATGGAGCGATTTTAGCAAAGAGAGACACCCTGAATCCTTGTAAAGCCCTTGCAAAGAGGGGTGGTTCTCGTGTAATATGACTTTCCAGGATTGGCCCAGAAGGTTCAACTGTTCTTAAACTGCATCATGTATTTGTGCGGCGAATCCGATCTCTGTAGTTGTTATTTTAAAAGAGTGGAAGTATGAGGATGAAGCATGGAATAGTGGATTGAAAAGTGCAAAAGCAAGCAAGAGATAAAATAGCACAGTCAAGCTATAAGGAGGCCTGGACTGTGGACGGCCGACGAGTGATGAGTGTATATCACAAAGTGCAGTGATACTCAATTTGAGCATCTGCCACAAGACTAGATTAGTTATGAAAGGTTGTTTTGTGGACCTCGTTAGCGAAGTGAAATAATTCTGCTTTGAGACTTTTCTTTCCAATTGCCACCATGATCTCTGCCGGCGGCCATCCGAATTATTATCCCTGAAGCCGGTGTAAATAACTATTACCTAATTTCCCGTTTGGTTTCCCTGGGCTGGATTATCTCCGATCGGATAGTATGCCCCCTGACCGTTCTCCCGCCCTAGTGTTATCACTACTTTCCGGTGTTTCGGATAGTATGAGGGACTAGAGCCTGGAGGTATTAATCCTGTAAAATACCCAGTTATAGCGCATCACAGGTTGCCATCATGCCTTATACAGTTTACGTTCAGGTAGTCTACAAACTAGGTTACAGGCATGCTCACCGGTGCCGTAAGCTTGACCTAGGCGTAGGACGGTGTTCCCGGTCGACACATAGTTTGTCACTAGGCCGCCTATTGTCTTTGCTAATTACTGTACTATTATTCAATCTAGAGTTGACGTACTCAGTTAAAACGCCAACATCCGACCAACACTCCAATATCCTTGCTTGGATTTCCAGAATAATTCTCTCATAGAGGTCTTTTTTACTACAACGCAAATTTAGATACGAACAACGAGCAAAAAGGATGACTTCCCATAGCTCCTTATCTTAACGTTCAGTAATCCTAAGGCTGGATTTTAAGTTCGATAGCTCTCGGGATATTGCCGCGTCTTCGTCGCCATTAACGCGCTTCCAGATCTCACAAACTACCAACCAGCCTACCTACTCTCAGTTATATTACAATCTCCTAGAAGAGACCAGCCTAGTGCAAAAATCAACCAAAAAAGAAGTTCGCAGTCCGATGAGGCATTACTATGAGATTTTCTAGTACTATTTGAACACATCTAACTTAGCAATAAAATCTACCTTCTAGGCACAAGAGATCTGATACCAAGACTTCTATCGCTCTCGCCCTTCAAGACGCCTGACAACAAGCGCGCACTGCGGAAACTTGCAGTAGATGTTGCACCTGGAGCTCCAAGGCCATTGTTCGTGCCTTCATTACACTTTTCGCCCTTCCCGAGGATGCAATTGCCGCAAACGAGAGGTTTCCACGCGCAGTTCTTTCTACGCCGGCTCTGAGTACCGCAGTTTAGAGTGCCGTCATCGCATTCCTCACCTTCCTCTGCCTTCCCGTATGTATCTTCCGGAATCAACCATATATTTATGTTGTTCACAATCATTCCATCTCTGATGTCCCTTGTGTTGGCAATCGGGATACCCCTTTCCTTAAACTGCCGTGTCCGTGTAAGATCAACAAAGTTGTTACCATAGACTGGCAGCTTCCACTTGCGGTCCGCACCGCACTGGCTCTTAGCCTTGCCATTCTTATTGCCTTCATCACACTTTCGCCCCTCTTCTACCTTATTTTGCCGTATATAACCCATCCCAGCTCGAATTTATGATCAAAAATCCCAAGATCTGCCCCAGACAGTCCTACCATGTAGGTTGCACAGCCGGCCGGCCATGTGAACACAAACCGCTGCGACATGCTTGCGCTAGTGCTAATGTGCTGAGCAGTGTATTCTAGACGACGTCATCGTGCTGATCGCCTTCTAAGGTCGGTAGGGCGAGGATCCGAGCATTGTGGAGTCTGATCCAAATCGAAAAATGTGTGGTTCTGCATTGTCAGGGCGATCAGGTTGCCTCCGTCTTTATTTATTTACTTATTATGTTTCTCGACGTGTCACCACTGGGGTGCTAAGTCGTGCCCACGGCGCTGACGGGCAAGAGCCATATAGGCTATATTAATTACAGGTGACGCCGGAGGAAAACCCGCGTGGGAGAAAAAACAGACGTGAGATATTGAAGGGCTGTTATGTCACATGGTTGAGGGGAGGGAGAGTGGTTCCGGAGAGCTGTGTCCGGCCCTCGGGTTCGAAGGGGGGTCTGGGGGGAGAGGATCAATGTGGAGAGAGGGAGAGCCGTCACTGGGCAGGGTTCGCAAGCTGTCCCCAGAGTTCAACCCGGGAGACTCTATATTTGAAGATCTGGAAGGAGGACCGGAAGACCCTAGGGTCCATCCTTCCCGCGAGTGGGTTATCGAGGGAAACAAGAGGGTAGGAGAAGAAATGTCCCCTGGAAACCACCGCCCCGTAGGACACTTTTTGACATCCTCCGGCAGGTGTTTGAAGCGCATATCATACTCTAAGAAGTCTCCGTGGCCCGAGGCTTCAGCCAACCAACGCGAGAGGCATTGACAGGAGAACCTCTCAAGAAATGGTTTAGCACTGTGCCCAGCCAGCAGGCCGAGGGGGGGTTGTTAGCGCGCCACCAGCTACGCATATCCGGGGAAGGCGCTCGTCGTTTCTTGGGGGGACAGAGGGGAGGCCGAGCACACCTTGATCCCTAGGTGCTTTGGGTCCCATAAGAGCTTAGCCCTGATCCCACGGGCCGCTTGGTGCAGACGAGACCGGCCCTCGTAAGGGGGTCAGGCAAGCCTGATCCACAAAGGGTGGTTGGCCGGCAGCATCTATACGCGAGCTCTCCACCTTGCTCTCTCTCTGTCCGCAGATACTCTGGGTAGAGGCCAACTAGCCACCAGAGCCACGCGGCCGGGATCGTTCGCTACACCGGAAAGATCACTCTGAGTGCCGCGTTTGCGACCTTGGTGAGGAACGATCACACCGGCGTAAGTCTAGATGGGACTAAGCAGCCGTTAACCCCGGGCCTAGTTTGGCCGGTGTCGAGTTGGACCATGCCATACAGGAGGGAAGGGATGACGACCGTGTCGAAGATCTTGGGGCCGGCCGAGGGGGGAAAGCCCCGAAGCCTCGTGTTGGATAAGCGCTTGATCAACCCCACCACCGATGCTGTCGCCGCCGCCCTCAAGGCTGCTTGGGTCACAGGGCTGAGCTTGGGGTCCAGGGAGACTCCAAGCCACTTGACGGACTTACCAGGGAGGAAGGATGTCCTCTCCATCTGGGTCAAAATCGTTGTGGGGTCGATCTTGCCACGCCTCGCTCCGGTACCGCCCGGCCGGGGGGGGGGGATGTAGAAGACCTGCGTCTTGTTCGGGTCGACCTCGAGGCCGAGCCCTCGGGCCTTGGTGCAGAGCTGGTTGACTATAAGGGACGCATGGTGGGCCAGTTGTATCGGGTGTTTGCTCCACGATAGTTGCGCATGGGGCTGCCTTCGTCGTGTAGTTACCGGGAGACCCACAGGGCAAAATCAAATCTGAAAAGGCTTGGAGAAGGCTCGGGCAAGGCTTGGATGGCACTACAGCAAACGCAAGGAATCTTTGATCAGTTTCTCTACTTTCATGCTATTACTCTACGACTGCGCTGCGAAGAAATATAAACCCTTCGCTACCTTCGATGTGTTTTGCTGTAGGGATTAAGGCACCAACCACCTCGAAAGCATTCTTGGTATAGTTGCGAGTCACTCGAATGGAAGCTTGACTACGAAGTCCTGTTTGATCGCAAGATTTTCAATGTGGACACTGATCCTGGTCATGACTTTGTTCGCATGGTGTTAACGTATCACTACATCGAGAAAACTTATGAGCCAGATACTGGAGAGCCGGACTCGGATTAAGCCTAGGCGCAAACAGTCCCCAGAGTATAACAAGTATCACCCAATGTTTGAATATTGGTGATGTGTTTCAGCACCATTCTGGAGCCAACATGTTTGGATCATCAAGTCCTGAAGTACATGAGAGGATTTAACCATGTCTCCTATTTCCCTCAGCAATACATGGCTTAGGAGTTCAGGATAAAGAAAAATGAAGTTGAATCTTTGCCGGAAACGGGGTATTTCTTTGTTTTGAGCCACGTCTGTGGAAACTGTTGAGGTACTGGGATCATATGGTTGTGTCTTCATCAGATATTTGTTGTTTGCATAGCATTTTCGCGCAATGTCGTTACAGACTACGAATTTAAGAGTAAGGGCAGTACATGGTCAACTTCAACTGCAACATCAGGTCTTTCTCTGATACAACGGGATAACCGTAGTAACATTGGTGTAAGCACCTCTGAGTGTCAAGTGCTTAATGCTAAGGTCCTTTCTAGCCTCCTATATGATTCTCAAAACCGTTACCATTGCTCTCCCTCGAATAATGATATTCTTTAACATACTTTCAACCGACCTTCCCCCATTTCCGACTTAGGATTGACCTCGCTTGTCTCGCGACAACATTAAGGCACGATGTGACAATCCAGACAGACCTCCTGAGATGAATTCGAGAGATGCCAGGCTGCTAGACTGAGAGACAGGAGTTCTCACACAACCAAAGTGGCCGTTGTGGTCACCAGTTGGTAAGCAACTGTTTGCATTGCTGACTGGAGAGCTTCTTGGGCTAGATGGCCCTGCCTGGAATCTATCTACATCACATTTACCCTTGTAGCTTCCCTTGCTCCTTCCTCCTCAATGGCACAGGCCGTTGAGGTTCAACACCTTTGGGTGTTACAAAAATTGCATGGATAGAGGATATTAAAGTCATGCTGTGATACTATTTTGATCTTGGCAAGGATACTGCATGCTCGAACAATCGCGAGACTCAAGCCAAGGGAATGGAAAAACAATGGCGTCAGTGAAGAAAATCATTCGAATTATAATGACCTATCATGAACTGGTGTCATTTAAGCGCCCTAGAATCCATGAGCTCCTCGGTTATCAGGCTTTAGCTGCGAAAATCGTCAAAGATTTGGCCGATAAGTGTTTTCATAAGAAATAAACTCTATCAAACCTTCTGAATCAACATTATTACAATCTGCAGAAGGCTCTGTGAACCTACCAGACAAATCTAGCCCTAATTTGATAGTTGGCTCTTTCCATGGTTCAAAGGTGAAGAGTGGAAACCGGAGAGAAACAGAGTAAACATAAAAGCCCCAACAACTGTAAACATAAAATATTAAAGATTTAGATCCGTGTTTGAAGTATAAGAAGCCATATGATTAGTAGTCGAGCGCAAATAGGTCAAAAGAGAAAGAAAGGTCGAGCAGAATACGAGGTTGAAAGCGTTATCACGTGAAATGGCACGTGAAAGTTGCGCATCTCCTATTTCACTTAGGTGGGTGACCATTCATCTACCGCCATGGCATCAATTTACGAAGCAGATTTTTGCCATTCATATCAACATGTTTTCAATCATATTCTGGTATTCTGGCTTCTTGGTATTGAAGAAGGACAGCTGCGTTCTCCAGTCACGGCCAAGCACCGCCCTGCGGTATCTGGGGGAATTTCAAACAGGTTCGGTATCAGTTAATGTTAAAGTACATTTTCTCCATTTGTAGGAGTCAAAAACGGACAGCGGCCCGCCAGTGGTAAATTAAGGCAGATTTCTACGCATCTTTTCAACGGCCACCTTGGGATCCACCAGGCGACCACCCTCGTTTACCCAACTTCCAAGACACACGCATAATACCTTGACTCGCAAATAATCTCCTCGAGTTTCCAATCATTTCCTACGCATGAAAAATATTCACATGTGGGCTCATTCGCTTAACTTTGACCTTGTGGCGCTGGTCCTGATGAACGTCCCTAGTTCCTGCGGTCTGATCGCTTGAGCATCCCCCAATCCTTACGCAAAATTGCAGCCCAATGCCACACCACCCCCCACCACGGGCTCTGTAACGTTACATGAGTTTGCCATTAAGCTTATATTGTATCTTGGCACTTCTGTTCTGCTGCTGGTTGTAGGCAGACTATTAAGGGCCGAAATGTCCGCGATAGCATTGATGGTCGGCTTTGACAAAGATCCTCCTGAGGAATCCTTTACCTTGCTCAGTCGTAAGGTATCGTCTTCACCTCAATCTCTTCACTTGTTTCTGGCTAGTCGAATCTGCAAGGACGTGTGGCGACAAGGCGAAACATGCACCAAACAACTGCGAAGCTGGGGCTAGCAACACTCATGGTGCTTGCCCGGGTGCCTACGACGCTTGGTTCACCACAACGACAAATTACAACTAAAACCAGTTTCGCTTGGACAATAACGACTTATATAGTTGAGAGTGTTTACTACGACACGTGGACTTATGACTTTTGGTGGTGTACACATATCACCTCACTCCTTACCAAGGGATGGTGTTCGGAACCACACCCAGTTACAAGGAGCTGGCTACTTTGGCCGGGTGTTAAGGGTTATATACCTCGCAGCTTTGCGCGGTTTGCCAGGGGTCATTTGCGTGTGGAAACTTGATCGGAGCTTTATCTCCGTTGGCACCGTGCTGTACTCTAATCCTAAGCCGCCCTAGAGATTATGCAGATATTTATTGACTTACCTACATCAGAATTTCTCTTTCCAGGAGCGACTTTTCGCCTCGCAGTCATAATCGACCGTAGACAGATGTCACGACCAACCTGTAGCTGGTTCCTATCATGATCCAACTAATCAGGAAGATAGGGCTCCTGACAACATCAGGTGCCCTGTTAACGCTTCATTTGCCTACTGCCCTCTCCGGTCCTCCTCCTCCTTGGGCCTTCTCTACTCTCCCCGAAGCTTCAAGATCTATTTGGTGGAATTTGACCACATATTTGATTCCGGCCACGGCAGGATACAACTTGAACGGGGATTGCTACACAATGAGCTACTTAGGGAACGAAAACTAGCGATACTGTTTGACCTACAGGACAGCTGAGCAGTACTACCCTGTTGCCGCAACCGCCACACCAACACTCTCTCCAACTAGGTCGTACTCCCGGGTTTATCCGGAATATGATCTGGTTGAATACTTCTATGAACTCCCTCCAGATGCTGTCGCTAGCCTTGACATCATCAGCAGCCCTGTAGATCGATATGCAGCTACGACATCCAGCGACTGCACGCCCGGTACTTACACACAGTATGCAGTGCCAGTCACATTCAGAGCACCTGACAAATGCATTCCTCACTCCGACACTTACATCTACTACAACAATGACCTCGAAACGCGAATTCACCCAAAAGTTACCCATTTTCTAAAGCCGACCAGCACCGCTACCTACACTTATACAGCCAGCAGTTGGTTGCGGGAGACTATGCCCCACAACAGAGTTCGCACCAAGACCTACGCTGTTGAGTACAAAGTTGTCGTTCTCTACCTCGACCCGAAGGATGTCCCAGGAGATCTCTCGGACCCGGAGCGTGGTATCAATCGTCGGTTTTACAGTATGGAAATAGACAAATGCCATTTTACATCACCCAACACTTATACGGTCGGATTACATGCCATCGGCCGCGTCTACTTGTCCTCCTATTTTCATCAGTCAGCCGACGGCTATGGTTACTGCGAGCAGCGGCAGCAGACTGCAGAAGCGTATCAGTGTCGTTCACTTGGTTTTCCTGATTGGCATTTGGGTGTTGCTCTCTTAGGGGACCGCGTGGTACATGATCAGTTTGTCGGAATTTGGGGCTTTCTTCAGAAGACTCCTGTCAGCTCAGCGTCGAGAGGAAGAAGGATGCGGGAGAGAAGCGTCCTGTGCGCCGATTAGGTACGCAAGCCAGGAACAGGAGATCAAATCTACAACTAGTTCAGATGGATAGATGTTTGTTGAGGTTTGTACATAAAGGTTTCTAGTACAGTCCGGGCTTAGCCTGAGGGTATACTGCACATAATTGGCTTCAAATCGCTGACCTGGCCTATAACAACATCTGAGAAAGAGATAATGCTATTTAGCAGGTTCTCTTAATATATTGCTTATGTTTGCCAACATTTTCGAGGTTGCAACAGCAGCCGAGATGTTAGTATGGCAGAGGATAGTTCTTGATTTGATACAGTGTCAGAGACTTTATCCCTTGGCAGGGCTCGTAGGAGTGATGGAGCATGCATTGTAAACACAAGGCCAATTTCCATCGTGACAATGACAGCAGATGTCCTTGACCACATTTCGGCCATCAAGGATACCTTATTCTGGTTTTTTTACCATCATCTATCGCCGTGCTCGTGGGAAATTTCTTATGCGATGTTAATATGCAGGTAGCTATTCGATGTGTCAATTCGAAATTATCTAGCCACAAACTACCACTATGGAAATGCTATTCCCAGTAAGTGCACGAAATAAATGCTCTTTTTCCATACATTCACTTCAATTTTCAGCCTAATTGCAGTTAACGGCCACCTCTGCTCGAAGTTCAAAAGTCGAACCACCCTTTCACTCAGAGCAGCCTCATGACAGGCCATACCAGCACTCAACTCACCATGAACTCACTGATCAGGACTCCTTCATAAGTTCCAGAACTCAGAACATTAGACATCTTAGATGGGGATCCGCCGTCTTCTGCAGCTGCATATTATGGTGTCCCGGAGCTCTTAGGGCGCAAGATAAACACTCCTAACGTCAGCGTCGCGAACGAAAATAAATCATCCTACTGATAGATATGTACAGCTGCTTACAATCTCATACCATCGTTAAGAAGTATCGGTATGGTTGGACTTTGGAGTCTC